TCTCGACCCTTAATCTTTGTCTGAATTGAGGTCCCGCCACCCCCCCCCCCCATCCCGTGCGAAGCGCGGAAGCTATGACGTTTCATTAAATTATTAGAGAAAGAAAACGATTCGTTGTACCGCTCTCGACTCTAAATCTTTGTCTGAATTGAGTTCCCGCCACCCCCCCCCCCTCCCGCGCAAAGCGCGGTAGCTTTGAAGTTTTATTTAATTATTAGAGAAAGAAGACGATTCGTTGTACCGTTCTCGACTCTTAATCCTTGTCTGAATTCGGTTTTCCCCTGCCCGCGCATAGTGCGTAAGCTTTGAAATTTTATAAAATTATTAGAGAAAGAAGACGATTCGTTGTATCGTTCTCGACCCTTAATCTTTGTCTAAATTGAGGTCCCGCCACCCCCCCCCCCCCATCCCGTGCCAACTTGAAGCTATGACGTTTCATTAAATTATTAGAGAAAGAAAACGATTCGTTGTACCGTTCTCGACTCTTAATCTTTGTCTGAATTGAGTTCCCGCGACCCCCCCCCCCTCCCGCGCACAGCGCGGAAGCTTTGAAGTTTCATTAAATTATTAGAGAAAGAAGACGATTCGTTGTACCGTTCTCGACACTTAATCCTTGTCTGAATTCAGTTTTCCCCTGCCCGCGCATAGCGCGTAAGCTTTGAAGTTTCATTAGATTATTAGAGAAAGAAGACGATTCGTTGTACCGTTCTCGACTCTTAATCTTTGTCTGAATTGAGTTCCCGCCACCCCCCCCCCCCCTCCCGTGCGAAGCGCGGAAGCTTTGAAGTTTCATTAAATTATTAGAGAAAGAAGACGATTCGTTGTACCGTTCTCGACTCTTAATCCTTGTCTGAATTCAGTTCCCCCCACCTGCGCTTTGCGCTGAAGCTTAACGTTTCATTATATTATTAGAGAAAGAAGATGATTCGTTGTACCGTCATCGACTCTTTATCTTTGTCTGAATTGAGTTCCCGCCACCCCCCTCCCGCGCGAAGCGCGGAAGCTTTGAAGTTTCATTAAATTATTAGAGAAAGAAGACGATTCGTTGTACCGTTCTGGACTCTTAATCCTTGTCTGAATTCAGTTTTCCCCTGCCCGCGCATAGTGCGTAAGCTTTGAAATTTCATTAAATTATTAGAGAAAGAAGACGTTTCGTTGTACCGTTCTCGACTCTTAATCTTTGTCTGAATTGAGTTCCCGCCACCCCCCCCCCCCCCCCTCCCGTGCGAAGCGCGGAAGCTTTGAAGTTTCTCTAAATTATTAGAGAAAGAAGACGATTCGTTGTACCGTTCTTGACTCTTAATCCTTGTCTGAATTCAGTTCCCCCCTCCTGCGCTTTGCGCTGAAGCTTAACGTTTCATTATATTATTAGAGAAAGAAGATGATTCGTTGTACCGTTCTCGACTCTAAATCTTTGTCTGAATTGAGTTCCCGCCACCCCCCCTCCCGCGCGAAGCGCGGAAGCTTTGAAGTTTCATTAAATTATTAGAGAAAGAAGACGATTCGTTGTACCGTTCTCGACTCTTAATCCTTGTCTGAATTCGGTTTTCCCCTGCCCGCGCATAGTGCGTAAGCTTTGAAATTTTATAAAATTATTAGAGAAAGAAGACGATTCGTTGTATCGTTCTCGACCCTTAATCTTTGTCTGAATTGAGGTCCCGCCACCCCCCCCCCCCCCATCCCGTGCGAAGCGCGGAAGCTATGACGTTTCATTAAATTATTAGAGAAAGAAAACGATTCGTTGTACCGCTCTCGACTCTAAATCTTTGTCTGAATTGAGTTCCCGCCACCCCCCCCCCCCCTCCCGCGCAAAGCGCGGAAGCTTTGAAGTTTTATTAAATTATTAGAGAAAGAAGACGATTCGTTGTACCGTTCTCGACTCTTAATCCTTGTCTGAATTCGGTTTTCCCCTGCCCGCGCATAGTGCGTAAGCTTTGAAATTTTATAAAATTATTAGAGAAAGAAGACGATTCGTTGTATCGTTCTCGACCCTTAATCTTTGTCTAAATTGAGGTCCCGCCACCCCCCCCCCCCCCATCCCGTGCCAACTTGAAGCTATGACGTTTCATTAAATTATTAGAGAAAGAAAACGATTCGTTGTACCGTTCTCGACTCTTAATCTTTGTCTGAATTGAGTTCCCGCGACCCCCCCCCCCCCCCCTCCCGCGCACAGCGCGGAAGCTTTGAAGTTTCATTAAATTATTAGAGAAAGAAGACGATTCGTTGTACCGTTCTCGACACTTAATCCTTGTCTGAATTCAGTTTTCCCCTGCCCGCGCATAGCGCGTAAGCTTTGAAGTTTCATTAGATTATTAGAGAAAGAAGACGATTCGTTGTACCGTTCTCGACTCTTAATCTTTGTCTGAATTGAGTTCCCGCCACCCCCCTCCCGTGCGAAGCGCGGAAGCTTTGAAGTTTCATTAAATTATTAGAGAAAGAAGACGATTCGTTGTACCGTTCTCGACTTGTCAGAATTTTCAAAAATATTTCTTTGTCTGCTCCTTTTTCGTCCTATGTCCTCTTACTGCCCTTACCGCGCCTGGCTACGCGCCTGCTTTAAAGGGAAAATAAAAAACAATCATGATTGTGATAGCACACAATTAAGTTAGTAGAAATGAAAGGAAAAAAGATCTATTACACCAGCCATGGATAAATCACGGCCTGGAGCGTCATAGTTTTGTGTTATCGGGCAAGGGCCGGGGCGTAGCGACCAAGCGAGATTTGCAATGTTGAATGCTGAAATTATGCATTCTAGAAAATCCCTAGGCCCAATTTTTACGTTCTTTCCGCTATATTTCTTTCTAGCTATATTTCTAAATTTCCTGGGGGACGTGTCCCCCTATCGGGCCCAGGATTGCCGCCCCTGTCCACAAGCGAGTTGGTATGAGCTGAATCCAAATGAAGGGCAAAATAAGAGTTGTGAAGCGGCCCTATATACCGTTAATTAAAATGTGACTGTTGAGTATATAACTTCTATTTAAAAGACATTCAAAATATTGTGCCCTTTTCAAATTTCTCACTAAAGAGAGATGACCGCAGGGGCTGTTAACGTTTAACTTTGAATCCGCGGCTCGAGATTTTATGCGGCCGGCCCGGCCCCCTCTATTCAATAACGTTTGCCAAGCCTTCTGGAATGACCCCAAATCTCCCGATTACAGCTTTCCCTTATTCGTCGTTACTGTCACTTAGCGCCATTTCCTTGTCTTTCCCCCTTTCTCACCCGACTTTTCTTTTCCCCACCCCCCCCCCCCCCCCCCCCACCCACTCAGTGTTATATAGGGTACGCACATGTATGTTCCCTCTCTTTGAAAGCACCCCTCTATCTCTGGTGCCGGTGGGTAAAGTTAGTATGGGCCGGATTTTTGTGTATTACGGGCCGGACTTTGTTGCGTGAAAAGTAACTCTTTATCGAAAATTTTGGGAACATAAATTCGGTCCCTCCGAGGGAGGGAGGGAGGGAGGGGGGGGGGAGGCTTTCTTCTTTATCTTTTCTCTTCTCTTTTCTTTTCTCTTCTTTTTTCCTTTCTCTTCTCCTTTCTTTTCTCTTCTCCTTTTTTTTCTCTTCTTCTCCTTTCTTTTTTTCTCTTCTTTTCTTCCTTTTTTTTTTCTTCCTTTTTTTGCGCCGCCAATAGGGGGGGCCGCGGCCGTTTCGGCCCCCCCCCCCTGGATCCGCCACTGGCAATAACATTCCCACATGCAAGATGACAACAAAGAGATTCGATCATATGCCCTCCAAAGAATGACAACATGAGGTGCGCCATCCTGTGATGGCGCACTTCATTTTGTTATTAGTGCCTTGATTTGGTTGATGTCTGTTCAGCAGGGGTTCAACCAGATCAAGGCACTAAAGAGTTGCGCTTGATCAATCGTCAGTCCTCTACTTAGTTTACTCAGTCATCTAATCAGTCACCTATCTCACATGTACACAGTTGCTATTGATATAAATCGCAAAAAAGTTGCGTTTAACCGCAACTCTTTAGAAGACGGGACATACGTTTTCCTATCTGACATGTCATTCCCTAGCTCTGTCTCCAATTAACTTCCAGACTGTCTTCTCTGATCACATCTTTGTATACACAGACGTTGTGTTGATTTAAAAGTTCGATTTGAAGAAGTTTACATGCAATATTTCATAAATCTTTGAAGATTGAATGTTAGGAACGGCGCATGCTAACTGCAAACACAAGGAAAGCTGTCACTTTTGCCTCAAATAGCATCATATAGCACTAACCATCATAGATATTTGTTCTTTAAAAATTTTTCTTTTTTTTTCTTTTTGGTATCTACATCTTCTTCTCTAACTTTCCAGTAGACGTCATTCAAGGAACTATTCGCCTGCTTGGGTTTTACTTTATTATCCTCATCAGTGAATATTCTCAATTTGTTGTAAGCTAGGTTGATTTCCTCTCTTGCTTCTTTTACCCTTGGGTCCTCCGAGTATGGATTTTGCTCGCTTCTCTTCTTTCTAGGCGGTAGTTCCGTTACCACTTTATTGTTCACTTCAAGCTGGTACCAATATATATCCCTCACTTTTATCTTTTAGCATGCTGAATCTGGGGCCTGTTTCATCAAACTTCTTGTCGATAACAAGTGCCAAAATTCTATGACAAATATGCTCTCAGCCAATCAAATTCAAGGATTTCAGTAGCTTATAGCAACTGTCATATCTTGTTACTGATAACAAGTTTTATGGAACAGGGTACCGTTGCTGATTTCTATACTGTTTCTTTCTTTCCACTCCTTATCTTCTTTTAAGACAATCCAGTCATACAAAACTCTACTTTTCTTCGGGTGAGGGGGGAGAGGGAGGGGGGGGGGGCTACATTCAGTGCAATGCAGAATTGATCATGAAATACATTTTATACTATATATTACAAACACACACACAAAGCTGAATACATTGTGAATCATAACACCAACAATGTAAAAGCTGGTCACAATGGGTAAGGGCGAGAAGTAATTCTACATTAACACAAATAAATATTATTTAAACACCAAAGTTTAAACATATTCAATTCATCTCTTTATTACCACTTTCTCAACAATGTTCCAATACATAATTACATATATCCATATCAAATTAATCATGTATGTCCATCGGCACTTGAATGACACATGAAAATATCATTTTGCAATGAGCATGTGATGTATTGTGACAAAAATATTAGCTTTACAGTAGATTTTCATGTTGGAGATTTTATCTGCGCATGAATACACATTTCACCTTCTATCAACTCCATTGATGGACGAAACCATTTTGATTATTTTTTTTAATCAAAAGCTTTGAATTCCACCATAAAAAGTGGTTTTTAATCTATAAGAAAAGGAAGTACCGTAGTACAATACAATTTTGTGACAACTGAAAAGCAAGAAGATTTTGTTCCAACATGACATATGTCCATCTAAAGAAATGTGGAATGAATTTAAAATTCTGTGTCCATTCTGAAAACTTTAATTCAGCCATGACACATCACAGAACATTCTCGGGCAATAAGCTTTGAAGGCATTCATATGAGTAATCCAATTCTTTGCCGATTTAAGGGACATTGCAACAAGTCATTAAATAAGCAACCGTCATCCAACAGTAGAGATACGACATCGAGAAGAATATTCAAGTTTCTTCATGAAGGAAAAAGTGTTCTCAAGATGACATTGAAGCACTACTATTTGCAAATTTTTTAGGTGTAAATATAGGTGTAATGGGGTGGGTTGTAATTCTACCAGGTCACAAAAGCAAAGAACATGTATACGAGACACTAGGGGACCTACAGCTAGAAGTACTTCCCAAGGGACTAGGTTTTCAAATATTACTGCCTTAATTAAAGGCACTAATGATCTGACTTGGGTTTTGAATCTCCATTTTTCTGGCTCTTGGACTGTTGTTAAAGTTGCCAGTCAATTTCACTTGCTAGCAGAGATGTGTGTGGGGTTTTTTTTTAATCATGTAAATTCTGATATTTTTCTAATCTCACTGCTCCAATAGTTCGATCTGCGTTATATACAAAAATGAAACAGGAACCTTGGTCACGGCCAGGGGCGGATTCCTGAAGGAGGAAGTTTTTTTCAATTATTTAAGCATAAAGACACTTAGACGAATCTAGAAAAATTATAACCGAAGGTTGCGGAAATTACCCATGATATTTTTTCCTGAAAAAACGAAGGAAGAACTACTTATTGTGATGACCCAATTCTTGCAGACCCGATTTTTCTTCTTCTGGATCCGATAACGGAACCCATTAAAATCGGTGGTTTATGGGTTACCAAGTCTACAGGTCCAAGTATGAGGGCTTCATTCGATGCACTCGAATGTTGCTGATATACAGATTCGACGCCTGCCTTCATCCATTCACCCCATTTCTGCTTCACGCTTCATCTCTGTGCAATAACACTTTTCTCACTTGGTCTCAGGTGCACTTATATATAGTCTATGGTGGACCAGGCATTCAAAGATGGCCACCGCTTTTGGGGAAAATACTATGCATTCACGTCCAAGTTCTTATCGTCCTTGAGTCCTTTTTTCTTCTCGCTCTCCTCATTCCATCCCTCAAGCCCCTTGGGAAGGCTGGTGTCCTCCTCAAAGCTCCCTGTTCCCTCTACAAAGTCTTCATACGTGGTCCTCTCTGCGAAGGGCCGTTTGCCCAAGAGTTCCACCATGTCGTCCTTGTTGAGGACCTCCCGCTCCAATAGCCTCTGTGCAACCTAGGTCATGAAGAGAGGTCAAAGGTTAAAAGTCAAAGGTCAACCTAGCAATTATCTACCTCATGATTTATCTAATACAATGTGTTCTGATTTGACAAACTCTCTGAGGAACCCAGACAAAATTATACCCTGTAAAAACAAATTTAAACAACAATATTCACTACAACCTCTGTTCTTATCCATACTGTTTCACGATACTGCTAATGAATTGAAGAATCAAATCAAATAACGCATACATTATTCACTCCCTGTGCCTCTAACTTTATGACCACACATTCACGAATGATCTTTCATAGGTAACATCTGATATTTTATCATTCTTGCTTCGTTAATTGGAATATTTCAACAATCCCTTTATGTTAGCTGATCTTAATCTTTACATGTAATAATACATTATTATATTGTAAGGTTTCACACTAAATGTCAATGGTTCTTCATAATTAATATATTCAAACATATTATGTAAACAAATTTACAATTATAACTTTAATCATTTATGATACTGATCTTTATTCTATACCTGAATATTTTACTATAAAACTAAATAGAATAAATCCAGCTTAGAATAATCAAAGTTTATCTGTGAAAAGAAAAGGAAAAAAAAGACTTTCTTTTTAACGAAAAGAAAAAAGAAAAAAGAAAAAATCAAAATCAAAATTAACTGGACCTACCATCTCTACATTATCCTTGTTCTTCTTTAGGAGATCCAAGGTTGAATCATAAGCAGATTTGATCATGGACCTGACTTCTTCATCGATCATCTGAGCGGTCTGTTCACTGTAGGGCTTCTCTAGGACCATCTCACCCTGCTGTGGCATGTCGAAGGAGACGTTGCCTACCTTATCACTCATGCCAAACTGAACCACCTACAGAATGGGAAAAGAAAAAGATGTTCAAGTCCTAAAATGATAATCACAGCCCTAAAAACAAAAGCATTAGCATATTAACTTTATTTCAAATCAACCCCCCCCCCCCCTCTATACCAAGACCACTACTCAAACCAATAAATAAATGCAGAGGTATTTGTAAATTAATTTTTAAAAATCTGTTCTATTGGTCATAGCACGCATAGAACAAGTAAAGCCCACTAAATGCATACCTACCAACCTTTCATAGCAAAAAATAGGAATCTTTCAAGGCAAAACTAGCAATACTGTAAATTTCATATACTTTTCACACAGAATATTTCAAAAAATAGGAATCTAGGGTTCAAAACATTAGCTTGAAGACCAAAAATAGAAATGGCTGACAGCTATGTAAATATGACACTCAGCTATAAGGAGATTTCTTCTACCCCATTGCAAGCCTGTAGCCAAGCCAAGCCTACTTACCTGTGCATATGCCATCTGCGTGACCTTCTTGAGGTCATCCTGAGCACCCGACGTGACCTTGTCGAAGAAGATCTGCTCCGATGCACGTCCCCCTAGCGTCATGCACATCCTGTGTAGCATCTGCTCCTGGGTGAATAGAAAGTGTTCCTTAGGCAAGTACTGGGCGTAGCCAAGACCTTTTCCTCGTGGGATGATTGAAACCTACATGTAGGTGTAAAGATGTCAGATAAAATTGATCAAGAAGCAAATACATATTTGAACGGAAGGGCAACTGCACAACTACACAAATTAGTTATTTAAAATCGCTTTGTGGTTATTTGATAGCAATATTCTCCCCCCCCCCCCCAAAAAAAGAGCTTATTTTCAAGAACTGTATATTATTTCAACTCAACATCTATCTTTGAAAATCAAAGGAGGAGGAGGATGGGGACAAAGAGGAAGAAAAAGAGAAAGAAGATGAAGAAGGAGAAGAAGAAGGAGAAGAAGAAGAGAAGAAGAAAAAGAGGAAGATAAAGAAAGACACGAAGGGAAAAAGATATGAAATTACTTTTTAACTTTATAATCTGTTTCATCAAAAATGGCAATAGCCATCACACCGATTGACTGGTAGTTAATTACATTCCTCCTTGTTTATAGAATTCAGACCAGACATCAACACTCAAGTTATTTCTAGTACATTTCCCCTTTTCTGAAATCTACAAGCCTGCCATTGTTTGCACATTCTGCTTGTGTAAATTTCACAGAAGCATGTCCTGTGTAATATACATATAATCTTCAATCTGTCAATCAAACGTACCTTACATGCTGAAAGTGACCTACTACTCTCTGAAACCAGGTCAAGTTCATTGACACTGTAAAAGCTAAAACGTGCAAACGTTTTCCCTTCAAAACATGTTTTGATATCCAAAAGGTTGCCCTTATAGTGTGGTACAGTGTGCCAAAGTTGATGGGGTTAAAATTTTCCTGAAGACACCAAATTTCCCTATTGCACGTTATATAAGCCATTTTGGCGCCCAATAGGGACCCCCCAGGAATTAAGGAGGGGTCTGAAAATTTGAACCCCATCATTTTTGGCCAATTGGGACCCTTTTGAAGCCAAAACAGCAAAAAGAAATCAACCTTGGCACAAAAATCCTACGGGATTACATACCATACCGCACTATTAAGACTTCAATTTTATTAATCAAATGTTGTTTTGAATTTATTATTCAATGCTTGCCTTACTGTTGTCATATACCCCATCCAAATTAGGTGCTTCAAATAAATCATTAATTTTCTTTGGTATGAAGGAAATGCTGAATAGTACATTGAAGAGGACAAGTGATTAAATTAAATTAAACAATTAAAAAGAAGAATGAAATGGCTTACCTTGAGCAGAGGGTCAGCATGCTCCAAGAACCAGCCTGCTACAGCATGGCCTGCCTCATGGTACGCTACAGTCTTCTTTTCTTCTGGTTGTAACACTTGTGTCTTCTTTTCAAGACCTAACAAAAGGCAAGAACAATATAAATGAAACATAAAGAATCACAAACAATTGAAATGCAATCTGCAATAAACAATGATTAAAAAGAAACAAAGGTTAGCAATTTGTCTAGGTTGCTAAGTTGACAAACCAAATAAAAAATAAAGCCAAATAATAAAGTCTGTGAACCATGTGATCCACAGTCCGGTGACGTATCTCCTAGACCACGACACTTCTACATCAGTGATGATGATTCATGTACAACATTATGCTCTGATAACAATTGCTTTCAAAACATTTCTGTGTAGCGATTCAGAGTTGAAGACACAAGTTCTCGATGCCATTACACTTCATGAGTAATCCTTAGATATGTACGTACTCACCTGCTACGACTCTTTCAATGGCAGCTTCAAAGTGAGAGTTTTCAATCTGATTGAAACCATGTCTAGCAGCTATCAAAGCAGCTTCATTGCACACATTTGCTATGTCAGCACCTGGACAAAAGTGGAGAAAAAGGAAGGGGTCAGTTAAATTCTTCATAATAAGATTTCTTTACCATTTCCATTCATACGCAAGGGCATCAATATCGAGGAGGAAAGAGGGGGGGGGGGGGACACGTTCCCCCCACGATTTTTCCTAGGGGGACATCACATCAAATGACCACCAGGAACAACGATTTTGTATACACTACCCCCCCCCCCCCTGCCTATTTGCTGACTGGTTGAGTCACCGCTAAATATTTCCTCACGAATTAGGAGGAAAAGAAATAGTGTGCTCATTACCCCAAATGTAGATAGATGCCTTGCCAAAGATCGAACCCATGACCTTTGCATTTAAAGTCAAGTGCTTAAACCACTCGATTACCAGACCTCTAAGTATATATGTTTGCAGTTTGTATCAACCTACCTGTAAAACCTGGAGTGAGAGCAGCTAGTTTCCTAGACATCTCATCCATGTTTACCTCTGTCTTCAAGGGCTTCAAGTGAACCTTGAAGATGGATGCCCTAGAGAAGATAGCAAAAAAAAAATTCACAATCCAGTCTTTAATCTCAAAGAATAAAAAAATGGCAATAGTCGATATAATCGATATAATATAGATAAAGTGATAACATGAATACACATAATTTAGAAGTACTATTAAGCTGCGTGAATACAAAAGGGGTGAAATAATCAAGATCCTGTTACCCTAAGCGAAAAAAATAATGACATAAACATGAATAAATGAGACACTGTAAAAAAAATGCTTAGTTTCATGAACAGAGAGCAATGAAACATTCAAGATAAAGTCTTTGTTCTCAGAAGGTAAAATAATGGCAACATTATGAATGCATTCATCATCATCACTTATTAAAGTCAGCATTTCAATCTTACGAGGATTTTCACGCCGTGATGCCACTCCCTCCCTCCCTCTCTCTTCTTCTTGTTTCGAGCTTATCGAGACCGAATTTAATAGTTTCTGTATTATTTCTTAATATTATTGAAGACAAATATTCATGCCGGTTAGTGCTATTTGATGAATATTTTTTGTTAAATCTAAAGGCATAAGAGGCGGCATTATTGCTTGTTGAGTGTCAGACGGACACCCATCATACTACATACCTGCCCTTGATGTCCGGTGCACCGATGTAGATCTGTCGATCAAATCTACCAGGTCTCATGAGGGCAGGGTCTAGGATGTCTGGACGGTTTGTACCTGCTAAGACTACAACATTGGTGGTGGTGTTGAAACCTGAGAGGAGAATAATAATAACAATAATAGTTAAACGTTTTTGTATAGCTCATAACACAACCATGGAATTGTGCACTGGGTTCATAATTGTGAGATTTTACAAAGTGCTAAATAAATATGTTTTCAAATTACTTCTAAACTTTCCATATGTTTCTATATTTCTAAGGTATTCCGGCAAATGTAAAATAAATTACTATAACAAATTATGACTGTAGAATTATGGGGATTCCAGATCCAATACTTCAGGTTATACAAAATTGTAATACACTTTCACAGGGTTTTAATGCTTTGTTACAACAGATAATATAATGTCTTACAATTTAAATGGAAGGTATCACAAACAAAGTTCTTCTTGTTTTCTCTTCTCTCTATACGTATGTTAAATTCATACAAATCTAAAATGAATCCAATCTATCCATCCATTAATGTTATTCCTTCTACTAGCAGCTGATTGAGTGTGTTCTCCTGTTCACTTTGCCCTCCAAAGTTACTCCTTCCTCTCTTCTTTTCATTTACACATCTATCTATCTATCTATCATCGTATTCCTTCTTTTCACTCACCATCCATTTCTACTAGCAGCTGATTGAGTGTGTTTTCCTGTTCACTTTGCCCTCCAAAATTACTCCTTCCTCTCTTCTTTTCATTTACACATCTATCTATCTATCTATCTATCATTTTATTCCTTCTTTTCACTCACCATCCATTTCTACTAGCAGCTGATTGAGTGTGTTTTCCTGTTCACTTTGCCCTCCAAAATTACTCCTTCCTCTCTTTTTTCATTTACACATCTATCTATCTATCCATCATCTTATTCCTTCTTTTCACTCACCATCCATTTCTACTAGCAGCTGATTGAGTGTGTTTTCCTGCTCACTTTGCCCTCCAAAGTTACTCTTTCCTCTTTTCCTTCCCACAGCATCGATCTCATCCATAAAAAGAATACAGGGAGCATTTTTCCTTGCCATTGCAAACATGTCCCTCACCTTGAAGAAAAAAAGGGATACCGTAATGAATACATTTTCAGTTCGAAGTAATCAGAATGCCATTCAAAAAAACATTGTAGATCATAGTTATATTTGGAAGGGAGATCGAGTTGCAAAATTCTCCCATCAAAATTCTTAATCCCTCTCCCGATTAATGAAAAAAGGAAATATCAAGTCACTTACTTTGGGGGACCAATGCCTACAAACATCTCCAAAAACTCCGAGCTACTGACTGTGATGATCAGGGGCGTACGCAGGATTTTTTCAAGGGGGGGGTTTTAAAATATTTTGCTCCCGAAAATTTGAAAATCGCGCCGGCCGAAAAGTCGCTCAGTGGGGGGGTGGGGTAAGCGGACACTTTTTTTTTTTTTTTTTTGGAGGCCAAAAAAAATCGCAACGACTCAGCCGGCAGAAAAGTCGCTCAGTGGGGGGGGTAAGGTCACCTTATTTAGGTTAGCCGTGGGTATAATTTTTTTTTTTTTTTTTAAATAAAAAAAAAAAAAAAAAAAAAAAACCAAAGGGGGGGGGGGGGGGTTTTAGGTTTTTTTAGGGGGGTTTACATACATTAAAATACCAAAGGGGGGGGGTTTGAACCCCCAAAACACCCCCCCTGCGTACGCCCCTGGTGATGATATTCACATTTGCTACACCCTATGCACCAATGGCTAATGGTACACAAAAATGTTTCGGCTGTGTCCAACAATCCCTACACTCTAATCCACCCGCAATGTTAAATAGGACAACAGCTATATAAAGATGTATGCTGAGGTTAAAGGTATGGACCAGTTTTGGAAACGCCCCCCTCTCAAAAAATGAAATGGAAGCTCTTATTACCAATCATGTGAAAGAATATGTTTTGACTAATACGTGATGATACAAATTTTGCCGTGAAACCGCCTACTAATTGATATATTTGGTAAATTATTATATCTATCCGGAGTGGATAGATATTGCGTAGTCCCATTTACATCTTTCTGTGTACAGTGCTTGTAGCTTTACCAAGACTGGGCCAAATTTCTTATCATTTTGATGATTCCAGAACCTTGCAGTACACATCAATAGTTATATGCTAGATGATCAACCTTTTCTGATCGATTCCACAACGTTTCTTTCACAATGCAGTCGCATGACCAGAACTGGTCTATGAGAAAGCAGTAGATCTCTTTTTCTTACCCTTGAGGGACCAACACCAACGAACATCTCCAGGAACTCTGAGCCGTTGACTGTGATGAAAGGCACATTAGCTTCACCTGCTGTAGCCTTGGCCAGCAGAGTCTTACCAGTTCCTGGTGGTCCAGATAAGATAGCACCCTAAGATAACAAAAATTAATAAAACATGGGTGAAAATCGAAAACTGGTCTAAATGTGCTCATCTCTACTTTTCTGTCCACCAATATTACTTCAAATTATACACTTAATACAGGAGATCACTCAGATTCGCTTGGTGACATTTACTAAAATTTCTGTACCCCCCTACAGTAGTTAATCAATACAAGTTTTGTGAAGACCATCCCAAGGCTCCATCTTGTTGAATGGTTTTTCAAAAGGCAGTCTATGGATTTAATCTGAAATGTACTTTTTATATATCTGAGACAAAAGACAAGGCTCTCAAAGACAGTATTAAATATCAATGGTTTCGGCACTGAATGGCAAGAACAGCACAATCCTGCAGTTATGGCTAAAGATAATCCATTCCTTTTGCAGTTACGATCAGATATTAAGACTTATGAATTATCCAAAATAATACAATCAAAGTTATATGTTTTAGATTACCCTAGACATACACAACAAACACTATGAACCTGATAGGCCTCTCACTATGTTGAATAAAGTTATCACACCTTACCTTTGGGATCTTGGCCCCAAGGTCTGCATATTTCTGAGGATTCTTGAGGAAGTTGACAAACTCCATGATTTCCAGTTTGGCCTCCTCACATCCAGCAACATCCCTGATGGATTGAAAATAAATAAAGAATAGATCCAATTACATATCACTGATACATTTCAGCATATTAGCAAGTTCAAAGTTCAAGGTTCATGGTTTGGCCCCTCAGATAGGATTTATGGCTAAATATCTCCTGTCTTTATATCTACAAGCAAACATTTGTTCTGTCATCCTTATCAATTAAATGAACACAAACTTAACAGCCGTGATTAAGGAAATGTCTCGCTGTCACTCTCAGGCTTTTACAGTGAGAGCATTATCTACAATACATTTTAATTCAAAACCAAAATCAATAAGCCAGTATTCTTGAGACACACATATATCCCACATCACCAACACCCTTGAAGAGGACTTGAAGCCACAAGTCCTCTCCCAAAAATCACTTACTCTTTTGACAGTATCAACAATAAAATGATTCTCTCATGCCTTATCTGTGAACTTCCCAAACCCAAAGATGCCATCCTTACCACTAACATCCCACCCTCTAGTAATAAGAGAATGACCAAACATATCAGGTAACCAAATTACTTGAACCTTACTCCAATATAACAATAATAGTTTGTTCTTATGTAGCACATTTCAGGGCCGCACGCCCTCTCAAAGCGCTTTACAGATATATTATTACCCCGGTTATCGGATTCAGGCTTACCCGCACACAATGAATGCACATTCTCCACTCCCTGGGGAGCATTTCAGCCAAGCCTCAATTTTACAAGCGCACACTTTCTCATCTAACCACATTAACTTTCGCGCATCCTACCGGGTACCCATTTAACACCTGGGTGGAGAGTGGCAAATGTAGATCAATGTCTTGCCAAAGGACATTAGTGCCGCAGTGGGATTTGAACCGCGGACCTTGTGATCTATTTTCTTATAGGATCTTGGCTGTCGACTCATCAAACCCAAAGATCCCACCCTCTAGTGGTGAGAGAATGACCAAACAAAACCAATTTATTTAAACCTCACTCCTACAGGTATGTGTCCTTTCATGATCTAGGCAGGAAACTCACCAAAACCAAATATTCTTCCCTTACCCTCCCAACCCCCAACTCCCGGTAAAGGATGACCAAACCACAGTGACTCACTTAAACCTGACTCCTACATCTTCCTTGAGGATCTTGGCCGTTGACTCGCCAAACCCAAAGATGCCGCCCTTGCCCTTACCAGCCCGGCCTCCTGTGGCAGGGTTGTTACGGAAGAGGTACAGGAAGAAGCCGATCATGAGGGCTGTGGGAATCAGACTCATCAAGAATGACCTAGAAAACAAGAAGAAAAAATATGATTTCATCATTTCAAAATACATCATTCTAATATAGGGATAACACCTTTGTAGTACACGGGTCAGGTTATAATGGTATGTTGTTCTTATATTAAAGTGGGATTCTGTCACCTAAGGCACTACTTATTAGACTAATTACAAAAAAATTTGCTGTAGGCCCCATTGCAAAATTATCATTGATGGTAACTTTGCCAACAATGGCAACTACCATGGTAACAGGGCTCAACAGCCAATCAAAATCAAGGTTTCCATGGTAGTTAACATTGATGGCAAAGTTACCATCAATGCTAAGTTTTGTGCAACGGTTACGGGTCCTGATTTTCTTGAGTAGCAGCTTAAAATCTAACTGTGTACAAATGAAGAGTCAGTCTATACATGGATTCAATTTGGGGGAGATAATTTTCAAATTTGAACTATTGGATAGTAGACCAGGGGGTGTTTCACAAAGATTCTAAGTCAAACTTAACTCTAAGTTGGACTTAATAATTATGGAGAGCCCTTTGTAGCATTAAAATAAAATATATTCAAAAGCAAAAATTTAAGTATTTTAGACTTATTGAACTTTTCATAAATTCCACATTAAGAACATGAAATCTCCCATGATAATATAAACCATGAATGATTTGAATCAACATTTTATGCCTTTAAAACAAATATAACAATATATTTCTAAAGATGCTAATGGCTTTCCATAATTGTTAAGTCCAACTTAGAGATAAGTTCAATTTAGGATCTTTGAGAAACACCTCCTGCATGTTTAAACATAAACCCAGTCACACTTTTGATTCTTTTTGCTTTCACTCATCCATTTCTTTAATCAAAGAATTATTACTCACCCATCACTCTCTGAACTGTAGACAACGGAGAGATAGTTCTGAGGTTCCATACCCAGGTTGCCCTGTGCCTGCTCTAGATTCCTCTCAAAGGTATCCACACTGCCAATATTGAACCAGACGTACCTCTGTGACATAAAAAGAAAAGAGAGAGGCATGAGAAACCTTGAAACGCATCTTCCTCGTTTTCTTTTAATGGCCGGCTGTACTAGTTTGGCCAGGAGGGATTAGACCACCCAGCCTGGTCACTGACAGGCGGCTATCTCATCAACTCAGCTCTCAATTAACATAAGAAATAGAGGACCATGGGGGACCAACGGGCACCGCTTAAGCATTGTTTTCTATATAGAGGGAGCAAGTAGCTACAAGTAGTACAGTTGGGCTTTAAAGCAAGTGTCAACAAAATTCAATACACATGGGGTATTAAAGAAGATTTTTTTTCTCCCAGAGATATTGAAATAACAGGCAAGCCCTATATGCCTCAAAAGCCCCCTTCCCGAACACATCATTTTCTTTCCTTTATCAAGGACAAAAGTTTTGTTGGAAAAAGTCCATTAAAAAAATAAGTTATTGGGTTAGCATACAGCATTGATTCTATGTAACTGCTAATATGAAATATCATATCTGGGAAAACATTCTATTGCTTCATTTCACAATGAAAAAAACCTCAACAGAGAATCCTACTTGTATATACATACCCCTTTAGAGTGACTAGCTTTCAGCCACACTCTGACAAACTTCTTGTTGACAACTTCTACTCTTTCAACCTGAAATGATAAGAGATAAGAAAGATGTAATGATAAAAATAATAGTGAAGTCTTGTATAGTGCTCATGTCTGGCACATTGCTACTCCTGGCACTCCAATATTATTAGTTATTACCTTGGCTTTAGCACGCTGCCATTACAGCGCTTGGGCATTTCAAGGGACTTATTCCTGCCAGGTACCCATTTATCTCACCTGGGTCAAGTGTCAAATGTAGATTAATGTCTTGCCAAAGGACACTGGACACAACACCTCTACAGAAATATAGCTCTGTAGAAATTTTGTTTAAATGCTAAGAGAGCAACAGAAGGAATACATGATAGACAATGACCTATATAAAAAAATCATTGATAGAAATGTACAGCTCTGTTTTACCATAGATGTTCAATGATCTATCAAGACTTTTTAAAGAATTACGATTTGCTGGTTAAAAAAAAAACTCGAAAGAATACTTTTAACACTCCTTGAAGTAGAAATCAGAGACATCACTAATGATTTTATAAACAAGAAGAGTGTTGGTTTTACAACAAAGTGATCCATCAATAGAGAAAGAAAAAACATATTTATTCATTCAAGTTTTATTTAAAATAGAGGGTAGGTACATTCAGTTTAACAAAACTGCTTTCCAAGTACGCCCAGTTGAAACTTCTCAACTATACCCATTTTGAGCTATGGATCACAAATTCCACCCAAGATTGTACAAGCACATGTATTTCTTCTGGTTACAGAAACAGAAAAAGAAACAGATGTCTTTACTGTGAATGCAATATAAAGCGACAATGGCTCTAAAATGTGGATTTATGACAATCGTTCAAAGAAGAGAAGAAGGGGCTGTTGGCTTCACCGTACCTGTCCTGCTGCTAAGAATTCATTCAGGAACTCCTTGTATGTGATTTCCACCGCTGAACCGCCCATCAAGACGTAGCCAGCCGCAATGGCGCCCCCTATGGTGACGGCTATACTGAACATCAGCTGCTGCCTGTTCTTCTCGTCGATGGGGGGTCTGCTTCCAGCACCCCCTCCTCCCCCGCCCGTCTTCCCCTGGGCCATCAGACTCTTCCATAGGTCCTCTCCAAAGTTCTTGCTGCTCTCTGATTCTTTTTTGCCATTACCGCTACTCCTTTTTGGTGCTGATTTGGAAGACTCCGCTGAAGAGAAAGATTAGAAAAGGAATTCATAAATGTGGGGGAATTGAGACTTCTAACTCACTTTACATCAAAATGTAGCAGCTATGCTTGATTCTAGTAGTAGAGCAAAAAATCAATGTCGTACTTCACATCCATAGCGAGTTCAATACTTGATATCTTTACATTGTTCATACAATGTACACTATGTAGTGCTTGATTACTAAATAAATAAAGGATCAGTGGATCCATTCAGACTGTCTCAATACTTTCTTCTTCTCAATCTCTGTTCCTTTCTCTTACTCTCTCCCTCTCTCCACCTACCTCTTCTCTTCCTCTCTCTTTCTATCTCTCTCTTTCTATCTTTCTCTTTCTTTCTTTCTTTCTTTCTTTCTTTCTTTCTTTCTCTATCTTTCTTTCTCTCTCTTTCTTTCTTTCCCTCCATTTCTTTCTCTCTCTCAATTTCTTTTTTCTGTATCTCTTTCTTTCTATCTAGGACATAACAAAAAAAAAATTCTGTCTGTCTCTTTGTCAATCTTTCTGACTGCCTGTCTACCTAGTATCTGGATGTCTCTGGCCAGCTAAATGTACAGCATTCAACATTTCACTTTTCCCTGCACCTCTGTGATACTCACATGCTTCTTTGGCCACTTTTGGTTTCTTGGCAGCTTGCTTGCCTTCTGGGAAGAACTTTTCAAACCCTTTTGGAGGCTTGGCAGCTAACCTCAGTCTGGTGATGAGACTGGATAACTTCCACGAGGTAGTCACGTCTGCATTGGTGCTGTGTAGATGTATCTGCAAATGTAAATACACAATAAGAAGGAAAAAAATCCACTGGGAATACATTCAATACCTCCACTCACTAATGACATGAAAATTAAAAGGTTGCCAGTTTTGCCACCATTCTACAACAACAATCAAGAAATGTATTACCGCTGCATAGTAACTGAACCATCAAAGGTCAACAAACATACCTGTAATGGTACATATTTTCAAAAACAGTTTTGAGGACATTTTTTTTTCTTCAGCCCGCTGCCGGTGTTAGGTTCGATCGATGAGCTGGCAATGCGAAAAAAAGGATTTTTTAATAAAATATGCCCAGTTCACCGTCTACTTTTACAGGTTGTAACTTGTAAGTCTTTCCGAGGATATATCGTTCATAATGTAAAAGTCACTGTGCTGCGTAAGTGAGAAATGCATCATGGAGCATCATCTGGGAATACATTTTACGCATTAATTGCCAACGCTTTTAATGATCGTTCGCGAAAATGGGGACGATCCTTATTTTTTAGGACACGATTTGCCCGCGTTTACGGGGATATCCTTGTTTGAATCCGGGCTAACTTGGCCCAGCTGCAAAAGCGGTCAGTTTTTGTCGTTTTACCCTAACCCTAACTCTAACCCTAACCCTAAACCTAACCCTAATTAATTTCCTAAACCTGCAAAACCGACTGTTCTTGCAGCTCTGCCTCTGGGCCGAGTTGTCTTTGACCTCGAGTCGAGTTAGCCCGATCTGGCTCCCCTCATTATTAATGCGGAGGATCCTTATTCTCGGTCTAGCTGAAAGACTGACATGAGAGACTGAAACAAGGGCACTTTAACATTCATCACGGCTCCCCTCAATGTAGTTGGTGTTAGGCAATACAAATGACAAAGCATTCTCATATTCACTGTACGCTGTACCAACACAACACAACATCGCGATTGAATTGAGTGTGCGATTTTCTCACCTGATTTACCCGAACGCTCTGTCCTAACCTCCTGCTAAGAATTCGCTCCACAGCCCCTTTCATGCGAATACAATTGTACGCCATTATCACGTCAAAGTGGCTCTCCAATAATTTATATTAAAAATCAAGCTCACAGATCGTTGTTTGTGACTTGAACAGTGTTTTATGTCATCTTTATCGTCGGTCTCAGTCGTTCAACTCGGATGATATGTAACATTTGAAATCTACGTGCAGTAGAAGGCCGCAGTACACTCGTAACAAATGACAAGGATTACGAAATCTTTTTGTGTTATGGTATCTTTTAAAAAATAACTCCGGAAGAAAGCGTACATGCGTAAATGGAAACAAAATTGCAATCTTAGACTTTATCCTCCTCTTTCTTTATCTCATTTTCTCTGAGCATATGAGATTAATCACTATTATTTTATTCTAAAGATCATTCATTCATTCTAATGTTTGATCCTGAAGTATTTTAACCACTTTTCAGGTCAACTTGGACGTCATTTTTCACAATTCTTCTAATATATCATGATAGTCCTGTAGAATATATGACAATCCTGCTGGTGTACCCAGTAGAAATAAAAGTTATTTATAGAAAGAGATTCATTAGGATCTAGTGTTGCTTGTTCATCTTTTGTTATTCCATCTGATATTCCACCTTTATTTAGTGGACTTAAGACATAGAAGCCAAAGTGAAAATGAATATACAACTAAGTCACTGCAGCTTGAACATATAGTTTTGTTAATTTTAATTCTTAAGTTTTAAAGATAGTATAGGCCTACAGTAAGTTGACATGAAAATTATGTAAATGTTGATCGCCAATTCCCCCTAGTTTTTCTCTAGCTCTCTCTCTCTCTCTCTCTCCATCCCTTCCTTCCCCCCTCTCTCTCTCTCACACCCTCAATCACTCCCTTCCCCTATCTCTTTCTCTCTCTCTCTCTCTCTCTCTCTCTCTCTCTCTCTCTCTCTCAATATCTCTTTATAAAAGAGTCAATTTCTCTCCCTTACTATGGTTACCCTATCACTCTACATGTTTTTAATCTATCTATATACCTTGTAGTAGCACACAACCTCTTGCAACCTGCTAAGGAAGTGTTTCAGAGCAAATTACTTTCATATAAACTCAAATATTATTCTCAGTCTATTTACACTTATACCATCGGCCCATGTCAGCGTCTTCAGGTTTGACAGAGAATTTACAAACACAAAATCTCAACCCTAATTGCCAAATCAATTACTGTATGCACTTATTATAAGAATGATGAAAAATCACCATGATTTTTATGAAGAACAGATACGACGATCATATTTATTCATACAAATTAAAAACACGATTACAATGAAAGAGCTGTGCATAATTTACATACGATGAATTTATAAATGGCCTTAAGTATCTCTTAACACAACATTACATCATCTGTAAGGAGATATTTGAAGGCAGCCCAGAGAGGCAAAAAATGGCCCCCTTCAATTTGTTTTAATCATATTTTTTCTTAATTCCAAAACCATTTGACAACCCCCCTCCCTTAAAATATTTTTTGATTTTTCACAATCTTCTGAAGAGAATCATGATGGGCCGAAGTGTGCTTAAATCACTCAATTTTTGCTTTTTTCAAAGAAGGGCTTTGTAATAAAACAACAAAAATATCATTGTAGAAAAGGGGATATTTAAGATTGATTCCACCCCTATCCAATCCAATCTTCAAACACAATCTCAACAATTTAATGACAGCAAGATTGGTTATTACTTCTTTAAATAATCTTCAAACTTAATTATCAGGTTACACTATCAAATGACAATCCAAACATTAGTATTCTATAAGATTCTCAACGTTCTACAAACAACATGACAATAACAACAACAAAAACCAAACATGATGATAGGTATTTATGTAGTTAGAAATTTGAAATGACACAAGTTTTTTTTCTTTCGACACACATGTACATAACAGGAATAATGGAAAGTCAAACTTGAAACATCACTAACTGTTTGCAGTATAAAAGAAGGCAAAATGATGGAATACTATTGATGAAATATTGATACTTTAATGATGATGATAATGAATAAATGAGGTCACAGTGACAGATATAGCATCGATACATGGTAGCGTAAAATTGAAGGATTGTCACTTTGTTTCAACAGATTCTTACAAAATCATAATGTGTTACAACTATTATTGTTAATCGTTTAATATAAATGTACTGTAATTGTATTTTTTTAATTTACATATGTTGTTTGACTTGCAACTTGCAAGTAGATGATAAAATGTGACATGTAAACTGAAAATGGAAACAAATGGAAGTAATCACAGATACATATATTACTATTTACACTTGGCAGATGACTTTAATAGAAGAATATACTGCCCTTTTCTCATCCGTTGTTTACAGATGCTCGAATGATAATGAGATGAAAATTGACACTTATTTTACTCATTTACAAATCAAAACATATATAAGCTTTAAGAAGCTGTATCCCTTGGTCTCTTTACATTTTCACCGATACACAGATACATTCACAAAATTGCATCAATTCTCTCACTTTTTAACTTGTTACATGTATATACCTCTGTTAAAAATGATTATGCACAGATCCCATAATAGATACAAGTTTCTGTTAGCACCTCACAAAAACAGCTTTTAAAACAGAGGTTACAACTTTAATGTTCCTCTAGCAGTGATACCTTTTTTTTTCTTGTAACTTCATTGAGCATTAAAATATGACAAGGTTCATATATACAGTCAAACCTGCTTTAGTGACCACCTGTCTACAAAGACCACCCGTCTACAAAGGCCACATTTGTTGTTTTCCTTGAAAATGGTTTCCCATTGAATCATGTACTAAAGGAACCTGTCTATAAAGACCACCTGTCTACAAAGGCCACTTTTTGTGTTTCCCTTGGGTGGTCGCTATAGACAGGTTTGACTGTATATATGTTTGAATTGAACAAATTCCCAGTTGGATGTATTCTGGAGGAGAACACAGTACAAAACCATTATATAAAAATACATATGCTTTCCATATACTACATGCAAGTATCTCTGCATGTTAACAATAATGATGATTTGCATTACTCTAACCGATTAAGATTGTAACCACACAAGTTTCTTTTTAGTCTATATATTCATCAACCTTTAAAGATAAACTCCAGTACTGGTAAAAAAAAAAAATTAATTCTCACAGAATCAAATGAAACTTACACTGAATGTTCAAGATTACAAATAAATGACATGTGCCAAACAATTTTGGAAGAAAATGTATACTGGCTGAGTAATGAGCATAGAAAGACAAGGAAATCAAGGTAGTACTAGCCCCGACACCATGTGTGTTGTCCCATATATAGCTTTCTATGTGAGTGCTTGTTACTTTACCAAGACTCGGTCAAATTTATTATGATTTTGATGACTCCAGAACCTTGCAGTGCACACCAATACTTACATGCTACATGATCAACTGTTTCTGATCCTTTCCACACCTTTTCTTTCACAATGCAATCGCATTACCAGTACTAAAGTTTGTCTTTAATATACAAATACCCCAATCACATAAGTTATCTGTTTGGAGCCAGAAGGGCGTTAACTCATATACTTTAAAATGGCGTAAAAGCTCTTCTGGCTCTGAAGAGACAGAATATTAATCGAGTGAAAGTGGAGAGCACCATCATGGAAGACAATGGATATCAGAACGTCTCCCTCACTGTATAAAAATGAAACAGATTCAAGAGCATGTTCTTGTACGGCGGAAGTTATCCTGAGAATGAAGCAAAGCATTTCACTATCACCCATCTCTTCATCCGAGACAAAGTTATGCAATAATAATAATAATAATAATAGTGGGTTCTTGTATAGCGCTTATGTCAATCAGATTTGACCCTCCTGGCGCTCCCGATTATTACCCTGGCATTTCAAGGAATAAATTCCTACCAGGTACCCATTTACTTCACCTGGGTGGAGTGTGGCAAATGTAGATCAATGTCTTGCCAAAGGACATTAGTGCGGCGGCGGGACTCGAACCGCGGACATCTTACAATGATGAATTGCATGCATGAAATAATGGCATATGGAAATACAATACAAAATGTTTATGAATAAAAGAATTGAAATGATGAATATACAGAGACAGTGATACCAACAGGGCAGATGGAACGGTCATTAACTGTCTTTCTTTTCTCCTTCTTCTTCTACTTCTTTTTTGTTTTAAGAAATTTGGAATAAACTCTGAATCTTGAACTCCTTCCCTTCCTCAGCCCTGCATTTCTTCATTGATCTGACTGAAATGAGTACTGTTGATTACCTCTGCCAGGAAGCTTATCGTTGAGTTTCATCCTAACTTTGTACGAATGATGTCATCCTAAGGTGATCCCAGCATGGGGAATACCTTAGCTCATCATAACTTGCTGGGGATGACGTCATCCCGAGCTGATTCTATGGTGGGGAATCCCCCAACAAAGGCATTCTGAAGGACGTCCTCCAGTCTGGTAGCCAGGGTGAACTTCAGTTCATTCTGTCAAACAAAATGAGGATAAAAAAAAATTAATTAAAATATTTAGTAGCTAAAATCAATCGCACTAAACTATTAACAGCAGTAACAACAGTAAAAATTGTAACTGCCTATCATATCCTGACACCGAATGCAACATTCAGTTACAAAATATTGTAGATAAGATAGATAAAGGATAAGGTTAGGTTATCTCTTTACATGGTAGTGGTAGTGGTGGTTATTTTACCTGACTGCGAAGAAAGCATAAATGCTTGTTAGTAAGCAACCAGAGGACCGACGGCTTTAGGTCCTCTCTGAGAGACCTGGTATAGTTGTCAATCGGAACCAGAAGGTATCACAAGTGGTAGTTAAAACTGGCTCCTTTAATTCCATTGATATCTGAATTCTCCCATTCCCACAGTCTTAATACAGGAACAGAAATACAGTTCCCGTAAGGAATGGTTTAACCTACATTTTGGTCTTTTCAATGTGGTGCCATCAAAGGCAGGATTGAAGACCTGAAAGTTAATACAGTGTTTTTTGTCAAATAAAAAAATTCCAAGCTATACTTTCTTCTTCTCTTTTTCCTTTGGCAAGTTTTATTCACTTGAGGCTTTCAAAACTTAGTGCAATGTTGTTGAATGCCATGATGCCTTTGTTTAAATTTCTAATTCCCAGACCTCGAGAATATGAGAAAGGACTCACCCTAATATTCTGGGGTATCTCTTCCAGGTCTTTCTCACATCGCTTGGGCAAGATGATGTGCTTGATACCAGCTCTATGAGCAGCTAATACCTTGGACTTGATACCACCGACCTGAAAGGAGGAAGTTATAACACTCATAAAGTTTAGCTTGTACAACAATATTGTAAATTATTATACATACAAGCCTCTTTTCCCTAGGAATAAAATCATGTGTTTGATTCTATTTCTTTGATTGAGTTCAATATTGTTAGCATATTGCTATTCTTCTGTATAATAAGTCACTCCACCAATGGAGAATTTGTTTCCCCTTTTCAAAGAATACTTCCACCTGTGTATCATGGAGTGCACTGCTTGTGCATAAATGAATAATGATTACATAACTTTCATGAGCACGTATCCAGTATTTTGTCTCCGTGTACTTCAAAATTTGGTCTGCAATGAACTTTATCTGCTCAAGCTCAGACTGCAACTATGAACTGGCTTATTGTATCTTTGACTCTGAAACCATGGTTTCAATAATTCAAATGACACACAAATAAACTTACAGGTAAGACGAGTCCCCTCAGAGTTATCTCTCCAGTCATGGCTGTGTCTGATCTCACACAACGTCCGCTAATAAAATGAGAATAAACATATCAAAAGCTATCTGGTTATTTGTCAGTCTGGAATGGTCAGAATGATTTAATAGAATCCTTTATATACCTCACTTTAGAAATCCAGCCATCTGATTGGTCCCATAAAATGCCCAAACCGGACAATAGTCTTTTGAAAAAAACCAATAGGCTCTTGGGGAGATTAAATGATCATGTAATCTCCCCTTGAGCGTATAAAAACAACTATGTCTCTCATAGCAGTCATTATTACTATACCATTTCATTCAATGACACGTCCCCTCTCCAATTTTGAAGCATCCTTGGTCAGATTCATTAACAAAATCTTTCATTTAATTTTATTAAACTGTTCCATCATCCAATAATGTTATTATCAGTTGAACACTATCCACATTCTATTCAAGTAATCACTATCATGATTACCATTGATAAGATGAAACAATCATACTAACCGTTTACTGTCACTCCATCTCCACAGGCAGATGCATATTTGTTATCAATATCATTGGTTATCTTTACCACTACGAACCACACCACACCATACCACAACCATTATCACTGTTGTTACCATCGACACCACAAGCAACTCCAACGAAACTACCACCAAGATAACCACCACTGTCACCACCATAATCTTAAAAGACACATAGTAAGGGACTCTCATGAGGAATTAGACACCATTCAGGGGGGTGTTTCACAAAACTTGTCATCAGTGACAAATGACAGTTTTTGTTATAAGCTACTGAAATCCTTGCTTCTGATTGGTTATCAGCAGATTTGTTACTGATTTTTGTCATTTGTCATTGGAAAAAGGCTTTGTGAAACGGATCCCAGGTGTTGTCAGTCACCAGGATAAGCCTTCAGCTTTATGACCAACAGGCCTTATGTAATGCTCTGTATTTTCCACCAATCGTCCCATATGGAAAAGCCATTATCTTACATTTCCCTCAACCCTGAAGACTCTCTGGGAGACAAGGGAGTATTTCTTGATAGGACCAAGGGTTTGCTGGGTGCGAGACTTGTACAACCATCAATGGCATTTCCACCAAGTCTGGTGTCAGCAAATTATGACCTACTGCACATGGAAACTGACTACTATCTCCCTTTAAAGGGGTCGTTTAACAATGTCAAACCTGAGATGCATGGCCCAACGTGTTATCAGTGTCTATGATATGGTGTAATATTGAAGCCCTAATAAAATTGTGCTTCAAAATGATCAAGAAGTGCCTCAAAATAATCAAGAAGTACCTCAAAAAAGTAAGAACCTTGAGTGACCGCTTTTACCATACTCGTTTTCCCCAATGGACTGTAGTCCTATGAAAACCATTAGGCAAACGCAAATTTGATTTCGATTTTCAATCATAAATATCTTGATAATCAGACATGCGATCGGCTTGTAAAAGTCATGGGGTTCCTGACTGATCTAAAGGTTTATAATTATCATTGCAGCATGAGTTAAATCAAGGATTTTTTAAAAGGATCTAAGACAAAGTTACCGGATCCCTTGAATGATTCTTGTACCTGAACAAGGAGACGAGTACTGTTACTACGGTCACTCCTGCGGATGGTCCATCCTTGCCCACGGCTCCAGCAGGGAAGTGGATGTGAACATCAGTCCCCTCCATCAGATCTACAACAGGCTTGCTATCAATGGCCAGCTAGCAGTAATCAAGAAAAGGATAAAAAAAATAGAAATCACTGGAAAATTATTCCTACGATAGTACACTACATGGCTATTTATGGGCTTAGAAGTGTTGTCCCTCAGCCTTGCAGATTCCCAAGGATTTCAAACTTTAAACAATGAAATAAAAGTCAGCCACAGAAACTATTTGAGGATGATATAGGTGAATAAATAGAAATGGGGCTGGAAACAATAGATTTTGGGTGAATCATAAACCTTACTTTAGTTTAGGCACTGTATGTACATTATAACAAAAACAAAAAAAATCATTTTACATGTACAATGAGCCCTCGCAGTACCCCAAAACAGAAGTTTTGTAAAGACATTAGACTAAATCAAAGCTCAATGATTACAAAGGATCTAAAATCACTAATAATTCATGATTCAACTTTATATTTCCTCCTCTTGGCATTTTAACATTTTAACAATTATATAAGCAATTTCTTTTTGAAAAATTATAATAATTATAATGTCAATGTTCATGCAATGTTCCCTTCTTTTTTTCTCTATTTTCTTCATCTTTCCTCTTTTTGCAATTTTGATTACATGTAAATTATGTACCAAAGTTATTGTTATTTTGTATATTTTGTGAGGATCACATTTAACAAGCCATTTATGTGCTTTGCATGATTCTCCCACTTTAGATATCTCATGATATATGTCTGTATTTAAAATATTATATGATATTGTTTTTATCTTGACGTGAAAACAAATAAATTAAATTAAATGAAAAATCCACCAATAAACCAGTGACGTTGCTTGCTACCTTTGAGGCGTTGCTGCGGACCCAGTTGAGAGCTAACTGAGCCGACTCTCTCATGACATCCCCTAGCTGACCGGTGAGGGTCAGTTCTCCATCCCCTTCCATCTTAGTGGCCTCAACGTACATGATCTCTCCTCCCATGGGTGTCCAAGCCATTCCTACATAGGGGAAAATGGACAAAGTCATTGCCAATAGACTGGTTGACAAACATATTCAAATTTTATGCACATTGTAGACATAATTTTTTTTTTAATGTTATCAGCCCATAAGCTTATCAATGCTTGTCTCAGAGCTGCCAACCTCTGAAACCAAAATCAGTAATCTGAAAGCTAAAAATCAGTAATTTTGGATGGAAATCAGTAATTTCAAGCGCGGCGCTTTCAACATCAAGAAGACTGCATTTGCACGTACATTGTAGAGCTGCACACAACACCACAACACAAACTACTAGTACCATGGTAATAGCATCACTCTGAATGACAGGACTTGAAGTAAAAACAAGAACATTCTGTTTATAACATCATTTTAAGTGCTATAAAAAAAACAATGGTTATTAGAGGATTGATGTATCATTACCCTGTTTCACTTACGTGTGTATATTCACTTCAGGTTTTTACAATTGCAATTTTACTGTCAGGGAAGGCATTTTTGACAAGTTGTGAAAGGTGGTCTGCTGCTGAAAACGCGATGTTGTGCTCTATCAAAAATTAAGTAAACTTCACTTCGGCGTTCGTGACAGAATTGTCCTTTGCGACGAAAAACTGGGCGATGTCATGACTGCGGGAATTGGAACTTGCCTCCGCCGCTGCAGTCCGGTGCTTCACCGACTTCAGATGTACCTGGATATCGTTCGAACCGCCATGACCAATTCCAAAATCGGATGAGCAATGTGTACAACAGGCACTGTTTGTATTCCTTTTCGACGGAACAATGCATGACCATTTCACCTGAGAAGGTTTGCAGTTTTTTAGAACGCTTCTTCGATGAAGTTGAAGTCATTTTTCTCCGTCGGTTACTCGAAGTTTGACGCGACCACGGCCGACCTGCTGCACATGCGGTAGTGTAACACTCGGCCAATGCATATTTCGCCCAGATAAATATCGTGCCACTTGTTTCAGCACATCCACCATGCATGCGCTTTCGTATCGGTCAAAACTTTGTGTGTCAGCTCATTCAAAATTTATTCGTGTATCATATTTTGTTATCAACAATGAAAAGGGGTATATGAATAAAATGAAATGAATAAACATGATCCAACAAATAATGTGAAATAAAACACAATGACAATAATTGTTGAATATAAATTCAAGTTTAATCAAGGAAGTACATTCATTTTCCTTATGACAATTATCATCATCATCATCATCATCATCATCATCATCATCTTCATCATTAGTCGAGTCGTACTTTTATTATCATAACAATGAGAACCCATCACTAAGGGGAAAAAAATTGTAGACCTGCTATAAACTACACATGGACATGGTACCGTACGGGTTGGTTTGCAAGGTGGCTAAATGGACTTGTGACGAGTTTGCCGTCTCCCCGATATATATTGCATGCTGAAAGCTAGCACACGCAGCCCATATAGGCAGGGCGGTGTGCATATCTTTCGATGGTAGCTACATGTGTGTGCAGTGGTCGTGGCTGAGGCGCGGATGATATTTCCGTGCGCTCAAAAGTTAACCACCGGGCCGAGGCCCGGGAAGTATCGCGATCATTACCGCTAAAACACTCGCATATGCATAATGCATGTGTTAATACATAGGCATGTCCAGAAATCGGGGAATCCGTAATTTTTGAAGGGGTTTCCGTGCTTCCGTAATTGCCGTTGATTTCCGTACCAATTACGGAAAATCCGTACTAGTTGGCAGCTCTGTTGTCTGACATAGCAACAAGTAATGTGTGTGGACTGGATTCCAAGTATTGTAGTACAGCCATTAATAACAGGTTAGTGGAATAACTTGTCACTAGGTCACCGAGAGAGAACGTCCATACCAAGGGCGTAGCCAGGATTTTTTAATGGGGGGGGGGGTGTTTTTTTTGCCCATGTCGTGAGAAAATATTGATAGGCAAATCAGCCAGTGAACACTCCTCTTTTTTTTTCAACATCCAACTGGGGATACCAACACTCCTCCAAGCATAACAGGACAGGTCAGAGATTAAGATTTACCATCGGAAGACATTAAAAAAAGGAAATATAATTACCTACTGCAACACCTGGCTGTGATAGTCTCTCACTAGTTTCACTTTCGTAGATAGCAGTCTAGTGGACAGAAAACATATGCCAATAAAAATACACATTATAGCCTCTGTCACAAAAAATTATCAGTACTCAGACAGTTGATTTTTATACATGTTGGGTGGTATGCACAAAACATCATAAGTCAATTTAAAGAGAAGGTTGAGTTCTGGGAAGAGGTTAAAAATAATTTGTGAGTTTTATCATTGTTATTATGCAAGGGTGGAAGAACATCAGATAAAACATGATCCCTGAAAGGCATGGCTCTTCAAATGCCTTCATATTCTAAATATGGCATATAACATGGTAAAGATTGGGACGGATTTTTACGCCACGTGTTTGTGTAGTCCCATATACATCCTTCTGTGTACAGTGCTTGTAACTTTACCAAATTTCTTGATTCCAGAAGCTTGCAATACACACAAATACTTATATGCTAGATGATCAACATGCCCAAATATAGCCTCTGTCACAAAACAGTACCAGTAATTAGACAGTTGATTTTTAGATAAAGATATCGCACGAGGTACAAGTAATAAATGAAACACAAGTGCACAGAAGAAAATATCTGAATGTACATTTAAAATAAATGTAAAACTACATTCACAATGAAGTCATGAGCCAGAGGTCCCTACGGTAAATTCCTACAATTATTTGAAATCATCAAACTGGCCTGCCCAGCCCAAGACTTACCCCGAGTATATCTTGCACTGCCAGAACATCAATGACAATGGGCATCTCAGGAGGATGGGCAATGGCGGCCTCTGTTGTCAGCTCCAAAGAAGTCTCATCTGTCAATTCCGTCTTCACCTCTTCCTTCGTCTCCCTGTCCCCCCTTGGGGCCATGGGGGCGTCCTCCTCTGAAGAAGAGCCAGCGGAGGGCTTTCGTTTGCTCATCTGCGTTTCCGCGACCCGGACAGCTACCGCGCGACAGACCGCACCAAACTTGCGCTCCAGCTGGCGGACTCCTGCTTCTCTGGTGAACTTGGAGACTGGAATAAATAATGGCATAGAGGAAGTACCTTTAAAGCCCCACTGTACTACTTGTAGCTACTTGCTCCCTCTATATAGAAAAACTTCCCCAATTGGAGCCTGTTGGTCCCCCATGATCCATTTTTTCTTATGTTAATTGAGAGCTGAGTTGATGAGATAGCCACCTTTCAGTGACCTTGCTGGGTGGTCTAATCTCTTCTGGTCCAACTAGTACAGACGACCTTTAAAAACCTGAACAGCATTTTTGCTTGCAAGGAGTACACATTCCCTGACCCTGCAGGTACATCATTTTTAAAACATTCCTAATTTCTGTAATTTTCTACAATCACGCTTTGACTGGCATATATCATGTAGTGAGTCTTTATATTTAAATCTCCTACACAAAAAACTTAGGCCAGATTTATTATGCTTGCAAATAACATGGAAAAAACATTGGTTTCTTACTGATGTATTTGATGGCATCCTCAGCAAACTGCAGTTGTTCATAAGTGAGTCCATGCTCCTTCAACTGCTTAGGTATAAGATGATCTTTGGCAATGTGGAACTTCTCTTCTTGCGTATAACCGGGCACCTGGAAAGAGATTCAAAATACATCAAATACCAATGTAATGTAGCAATATAAGTATTGGTGTGTACTGCAAGGTTCTGGAATCATCAAAATGATAAGAAATTTGGCCCAGTCTTGGTAAAGTTACAAGCACTATACACAGAAAAATGTATATGGGACTACACAATATCTATCCAGTCCGGATAGATATTACAATCTACCAAATATATCTATTAGTAGCCGGTTTCCCGGCTAAATTTGTATCATCACATATTAGTCAAAACATATTCTTTCACATGATTGGTAATGAGAGCTTCCATTTCTTTTCTTGAGAGGGGGGGGGGGGGGGGCGTTTCCAAAACTGGTTTATACCTTTAAAGTTGGCCATTTCAGACTGGCCTTGAATGGATCTACATGCAGAGACACACGTACCTGAATGACTTCCATCCTGTCCTTCAGAGCCGGTGGAATGGTTTGCAAGGAGTTGGCAGTGGCAATGAAGAGCACTTGAGACAGATCAAACTGGACATTCAGGTAGCTGGTGACACAGTATTAAGGTTCAACACTGACATATCTACCTACGCCAAAAAAGGACTTCTGCAGAAAATTTCAAATTCCCAATTGTTTTCCCGCCGGTCACTAACAACAGCCCCCTGACTTTCACGTTGATTGTGTAATAAGAAGTTTTCAACTAATGATGTACCAATCAGATGGGCTTTTTTTCAGCCCCTTACTTTGTGATTTTCCTTCACACGTGAGAGGCAGCTCTGCACTATTGATTGATTCAAATTTATTCCATTTCATATCAATTGTTTGCACAATAAAGAACATAGTTGACAAGGTAAGTTCAAAATTATAAAATGAATCCGGAACCTATTGGATAGCATAGCTTTTTTTTTTAAGGTTCCCAAGAATAAATATAATATGAACATTATTCAAATAAATCATTTTAAAGTGTCTTAATAATCACAGTAAAATAGATATAATATAATAACATATTTTCATAAACTATGATCCTAGCAAAACTTGACTTTCATTTTCCACAATGCTCTCTGCAAGTCTCTGAAATAAAGTAGACTTCATTGATCAATAATGCCCACAAATGACGTAAAAGGGTCTGACCATTTAACAGCTGATGAATGCAAATACATGTAAATTCTGTCAAGCTCTCAAGGTAACATGGCCTTGAATCAAGGCATCAGGGGGGTGTTTCACAAAGATCTAAATTCAAAATTAACTCTAAGTTGGACTTAAATATTATGGAGAGCCATTTGTAGCCTTAAAATAAAATATATTAAAACGCAAAAAAAATCAAGTATTTTAGACTTTTTATAAATTCCACATCGAGAACATGAAATCTTCTTGATAAAAAGAAAATATGAATGATTTGAATTAACATTTTATGCCTTTTAAAATAACTTTTACAAAATATTTTCAAAGATGCTAACGGCTTTCCATAAATTTTAAGTCCAACTGTAAGTTCAACTTAAGATCTTTCTGAAACACCCCCTGGTATTATTCTGTGTCAGATTGATACTATAGACTATATCTATAACCCCAACTGCCCGCCCTTTTTAATCCCTAACTGGGATGTGTGTTACTCTTACAAGCATTCCTCTCATGACATCATAAATCAAGGTAAATCCAGTAAATATAAATGATCAGCGCAATGATATATGGAAAGGATACTGATCGGTGAAGGCATTGTTCTGTTCTGGGTCCAGGACTTCCAGGAGGGCTGAGGCTGGGTCTCCTTGAAGACTCTTTCCCTACATTAAAAAACAAACAGAAAATAAAAACAGTTAATCGTTGAATATCACACATTGGACCTTTGTAGGGAACCTTTTTTTAAAAATGCAGATCACGCCAACACTTTGTAATCTGTATATTACACACATCAAGCTGAACTTGCACAGTGTAAGTGTGCTCCTCACTTCCTTTCGCTTTCTCTTTTTAACAAAGGGCCTTTGCATACATGTACGGAATTGAAGCATACATGCAAGAGATAACCATGTGCCTTTGAACTTAATGGCCCGAATGCACAAAGGAGGTTTGTCGACTAACCTAGGTTTATGTGCGTCATATGATGCTTTTCGACGCGTTTTTACAAACCTTGTAAAAACACGTCGAAACAGGTCATATGATGCACACAAACCTAGGCTTGTCGACAAACCTCCTTTGTGAATTCGGGCCAATATGTCTCTATCAAAAACCTTCAAACCAAAAAATAGGTAGACAACTTGTACGGGGAAGGACAGTTAAAATTGGCTCGTCCTTATGGCATACAATGTATTAACCAAATGAGTACAGGTAATAATTGTTGTGAATTGCCGTTTGGTCTACAATCAGTTCGTCTACTACCTAATTGGTCTATTTCCATATGGTCTACATGTACAAGGTATATTTTGTCTACTTATCATTTGGTCTATTCACTTTTAGGTTAATAGTCATTTGGTCTAATTTCCACATGGTCCAATCTCCAAATATTCTACTACCCATTTGGTCTCATAAAAAATAACTAGCCCAATTGGGTAGAAGGCCAACTGGTTGAAGACCAAACAGCAATAGACCATGTAGCAAAGGGAACTTGGCAGTTGGCAGGAGATCTCTTTGATGATCAAATCCTGACTACTCAGCTAGTACAGCAATGAAAATAATTACCAAACACAAAACAACTGGAATAGGCATTGTAACCAGACCTGACTGTCACCATTAACATCATCCTCCCCCCCCTCCCCCCCCCCCCCCCCCACTGCCACAACCACCACCACCACCACCACCACCACCACCACCACCACCACCACCACCACCACCACCACCACCATGAATGCACTGGTCAATAAGCGTACCAGTTTATCAATCTCATCGAGGAGGAAGACGGGATTGTTGACTCCAACATTCTTGAGTCCATGTATGATCCTGCCTGGCATGGATCCTATGTAGGTTCGTCTGTGACCTCTGATGTCAGACTGGTCGCAACAGCCACCAAGGGAAATCCTGATAATAAAAGATCAATAGACCATTTTCGTAATGTAACCAAATTTATACTCAGGTGCCTCAATACAAATTTCAATAGTCAGAAAGCAAATTACATATATTACGTGTTGTTAGGTAGGTAGGGCAAGGCATAAGGTTTGTCCTCACTTTTGATTATTTTCTCTCTGTTGTCTATTTCAATATGATATACCCAGATAGTTAAATAGCCCTGGATACAATTTTTGATGTTTACTCTCTTTTGTTTTACCTTGTATTTTTAAACAAATGTAATTTTTGTTTAAATTTACATTGATTTGGCTTACCCATGACTCATGAAATTTTAAGCCCAATATAATGTTAAATTGAAACTACATTAAAAGGGAGCATACCAAATGACAATGAAACCATTTACAAAATGTTAGGCATTCAAGATAGTTGATAAAACCCAACCAAGTCCTACCTGTGGAAGGCCCTCCCCAGTGTGTGGGCAATGGATCTACCAAGGCTGGTCTTGCCCACACCTGGTGGACCAACGAAACAGAGGATAGGACCCTTGAGGGAGTTCTTCAGCTGACGGACAGCCAGGTATTCAATCACCCTCTTCTTCAGCTTGTCTAGGCCATAGTGATCGGCATCGAGATCAATCCTAGAAATGAGAAATTCAAAATACAAAATGAGCGATAGATATGAATCGGGCAATCTTGTTTCTCTGTCACACTGACCCAAGGCCTGGGGAGCATTTCACAAAGCCTTTTTTCAATGACAATGACAAAAATCAGTGACAAATCTGCTGATAACCAATAAGAAGCAAGGATTTCAGTAGCTTATACTAAAGACTGTCATTTGTCACTGATGACAAGTTTTGTGAAACGGGCCCCTGAAGGTTTGGCAGTACAATTTTATTAAACAATCTTTCGATACATAGTGGACTGTGCACATATGTCACCACAATCAGAAGTAGCATCACAATTAAATCATCATTTTCATCACCAGAATCATCATTACTATCACCACAATATGTATAGTATCAATATCATGATCAGTATCCCCATCATCACTGTCATTATCAGCAGCAATAGCAGAAGCAGCATCAACACCAAAGCATCATGTTTATTTTCACCGACACAATACCACCACCACCACCACCACCACCACCACCACCACCACCACCACCACCACCACCACCACCATCACCACCACCACCATCATCACCACCACTATCACCATCACCGCCGCCACCACCATCACCACCGCCACCGCCACCACCACCACCACCATCACCACCAGTACAATCTTTATCACCACCTTGCTTGCTTGATGTCCAGAGTATCCTTAGACTGCTTGGACCAAGGCACTTCTGACATCAGCTCCAGATAGTTCCTGGTCATGGCATACTCTGGCATTGCGCTGGGCATCTTCTTCAATCGCTTCAGCTCCTTCTGACATGCCTTCAGCGCATGCTTGGGCATATTAGCATCCCTTCAAAAATACAGAGAAAGAAAGAATAAAAAAAATATGTCTTTGGTAATTGTTCTGTGGAAACAACTCATGACGTAATGCCCACGACTGGAGGCTGCACAGAATAGGGCAATTATTAGATAATTGAACTTCCATTCTAACATTGTGCCAAAAAACAAAACAAAAAGTTGATATGTGGAAATAAAGGAGTCACTGATAGCTCTACAAGCTTTGGTCCTCGCCCCTTATCTGAACAATCTCATCTTTTCATTCACCCTAATAAAACGCTGATGACATTGAAACTTTTTTTAAGCCTTAGAAATACCAGGAACTTTTAGAATAAATCTTCACGATCAATATTAAGAAAAACAGTATGTAACAATGCATTTCTTCACATCTGAAAAGTTTAATACTGGGTAATTTGTTTTTCCAACATCCAACCTAACCATTTTGATTTTTGTTTCTCTTTGGTTTGACTGTATACCATGAAGGCAGGCAATATTGCCTACCGTATTTGCCGGCGATAAGGCCGCAGTGCCGCATAGGCCGCACCCCCAACTTTGACATTTCGTAGAGGGAAAAAAAAAAAGGGAGAAGAAAAAAACGGACCAAACAAAATGATCGTAATTTTCTTGTAGAACACTCTTTTTTTTTACAAACTGATACCAAATTCATCAATATTCTTATAAATTTACAAGAAGTTTACCTCAAAAATGATCGTAATTTAGCAGATCTTCATTGACTTTTAAGCTAGTAGTAGTACTGTATCGCACGCAGATTTGGTATCCTACAATATCCCTACCTCGATGTGCGGTGTAATCCGGAATAGCGTTTTTCAACCTGCGCAGTTGCGTTGCGTGGCAGCTAGCTCCGTAAGTAACGGCCTGTCCCTTTTTTTACTTTTTGGTACGGACTTAGATCTAGATCTATCGGCAGATTTTATTAGAAAAATAAGTTATGTCTTTTTTTTTTCGTCTTCATGTTAACTATGCAACATAAAATTGTCGGTAAGTTGTGTGGAGTTATTCTGAATTGTCCTGTACCGTTGTCTAGTCATCCTACCGTTCATAGTCCCATATGTGCAAATGGACGCAAATTGACCGCTGAATTTTGTTGTTGTAGCGTAAAGGCCGCACCCCGACTTTTTGATATTTTTTCTTCCAAAAACACTGCGGCCTTATTGCAGCAAATACGGTATATGAATATTTCATGGATTCGGATTTGGTAAGTTCTATGCCACAAACTGATTGTATCACTAGTAACATTACACCAAATTTCTGCCTTTTGATAAAATTTCATTATGAGAGAATGGTTGTTGTCAACAATTTCAGTTTTTATTTTGCAAATCATAAAAGAACAAACAAAAACACAAGCAGACATACTTGATCTTTCGATCCAGCTCTGAGATCTCATCTCCCTCGCCCTCGTTATCATCATTCTTCTCATGGCGATCGATAAACCTCGGTCTCCCAGGGCTGTTCTTCAAGACGACGACGCGATTTTCTTTGTCCTCCTTCAAGGCATGAGGCATTCTATTGTTGTCACTCCCTCGCTTGGCGTGCCTGAGGAGACGCAGGCCCTCTATCTGACGAGCCAGGAGGGGGAGGGTCTTCTGGAAGCGCTTCTCAAGGTCAACTGCGTCAAGCACCTTCATAGGAAAGATAGGATGATGCATCATATCTGACTCAAATCTGATGCATGGATATTTCAACTTTGACTTACAGTACTAAATTTATAATCCATCCAGTTTTTCATGATCAATATATGTTTGTGGTCTCTTACATAATTGTAATATATAAATACTTAATTTACTGTATCTATTGTAAATGACACATTCACTTTGAATTCCTTCTTTTTATCTGTGCGACTCTCTCTCTATAACTGTTTGTCCCCCCCCCCCCCCTTTCTCTCTCTCTCTCTCTCTCTCTCTCTCTCTCTCTCTCTCTCTCTCTCTCTCTCTCTCTCTCTCGCGCCCTCATTCTCTCCCTCACCATAACATTTTTCCGCTTTTAAAGAAAAGCTTGGAAAAACTTTCTGATTATAATCTTAATTAATGCAATTATATAGCCTTGTTTCTTTGCTTTTCAGCTCCCTCATGTACCTCCTTAAACTTCATGTTTAAAAACCTTCTGGCCTATCATACCGACATCTCAATCTATGTTCCATTCCAAGACCCCTTATAACAATTATCAATCACTAATGCATAAGAGACAATTCAATTTTACCTCCAGTTTTTCGTTGTAGGATGCCTTGACGATGGACGCAAATATATCTGGAAGTCTTGTGATGGGCAGGCTGTCAAGTAACCTCTGGAATACAACATAAGAAAGAGAGGTTTTTCATTAGTCACAGAAAATCACTCTAGATCATTCTATTCATGTCAATATAATACATCATCCATGCGGTGCCATTAAAGATGAAGTTGAGTTCTGGTCATGCGATTGCATTGTGAAAGAAACGGTGTGGAATCGACCAGAAAAGGTTGATCAACTAGTATATAAGAATTTGTGTGTATTGCAAGGTTCTGGAATCATCAAAATGATAAGAAATTTGGCCAAGTCTTGGTAAAGTTACAAACACTGTACACAGAAAGATGTATATGGGACTACACGAACACGTGGCGTAAAAATCCTACCCCCCCCCCCCGGAGTTTTACGATGTTAACATGACATATTTAGAATATGAAGGCATTTGAAGAGCCATGCTTTCAGGGAACATGTCTTATCTGATGTTCTTCCACACTTGCATAATAAAAATGATAACGCTCACATATTATTTTTCACCTCTTCCCAGAACTCAACCTTCTCTTTAAAGGTAAACAACTTGATTGTTTGGGTTCGTGGTTGGTTTGTTTTTACCTGACTGCTAAGAAAGCATATGTTTGCTTGAGAGAAAGCAACCAGTGGACCGACGGCTTGGAGTCCTCTCGGTGGGACTTGGTAATGAGGATTAATGCCTTACCAAAGGGCACTAGTGCATCAAATTGGTTTTGAACCCTGGACCTCCCGGTTCAAAACCACTGCTTTACCACTGAGCCATCGCGCCTCACACAACTTTTTAACAACTACGAGTTCATGAGACAGGTTTCTTAGTTCATCTTAATAAAACAATATCCAATCGTAAAAATCCACAAGCCCATTTAAAATTTCGAGTTTGTTTTTAGTCAAAAGGTAGTAATTTAGTAGAATCACTCAAATTAAAGTACGACTCCTGCAAAGGTTAACTTACTCTTCAAATTTCACCGTTACAGTAGTCAATCTACAGCACACTGTATCTCAATATTCTCAAACTTTACAGTTCAACTCTCCAACGCTTGTCATATACGCCAAAGCAGGAGGGGTGTGAACATGAAAATGATACTATACTGTGTCAGTTGAGTTTTAATGTATTGGATCCTTAAACATTATTACAGCTGTTGACTGTGAGTTCTAATCTATTTAGTATCCTTGGCAGGTCAAAGTATTTCAACAAGTCACCATCAAAACTAATCTGGACACACGACTCGTGGAACTTCAAGGAAGGGCAAGATATCAGATAAAAATAAGGTTGCGGTTTCTTTGTATTCTACAATAGATGTATGACCCCTAATGGTATGCATGATACACATTTATTTACATAAAAGAAAAACATGAAAAAACTATAGGCCTATATTTCAAAGTAGATTACTCATTCAAAATGGTTCACAGCCATTGGTCTGCAACCAGTTCGTCTACTACCCAATTAGTCTATTCCCATATGGTCTACACCCAGCCTGTCTACTATCCACATGGTCTAATAATCATTTAAAGGTAAAGACCAGTATTGGAAACGCCCCAATTTCAAAAAATGAAATGGAAGCTCTCATTACCAATCATGTGAAAGAATATGTTTTGACTAATACATGATGATAAAAAATTTGCCGGGAAACCGCCTACTAATTCATATATTTGGTAAATTTGTTTCTCTCATGGTCTGTGAGAGATATAGGGTAGTCCCATATACATCTTTCTGTGTATAGTGCTTGTAACTTTACGAAGAATGGGCCAAATTTCTTATCATTTTGATTAAGGCTGTGCAGGGTAGTCGAATGCTCGAGTACCCGCACGGTTGACAACTACTCGGGTACGATTTCTCGTACCCGAATATTCGGCCGCAAAAAAAAAAAAAAAAATGTTTCCCAACTCAAGCACTGTCAAACTCACCACTCAGAAACTGGGACCAAATGTCTGGATTTCTGCTTGGACTTGGAGGAAAATGGATTATTCTGCCATCTTTGGTTTTTAAAATAGCATTGTTCACTGTTATTATTATTATTAAATCGGCGCCTTCAACTGCAACTCAAAGTAAAATTGCATGCGTTTTCGGCGGCAGAACTGGGATACTGCTCCAGTGGTATGTATGGTGGTGGCAAAAAAAAAAAAAAAATCAAAAAAAAAAAAAAAAAAAAATTCAAAAAAAAAAAAAAAAATTCAAAAAAAAACATGGCGTCCGAATACTCGAGTATTCGCTTGTAAGCATGGGAGTGTACTCGGGAACCTCATTACACTGTTGTGCACAGCCTTAATTTTGATGATTCCAGAACCTTGCAGATGCTAGATGCTAGATGATCAACCTTTTCTGATCGATTCCACAACGTTTCTTTCACAATGCAATCGCATGACCATAACTGGTCTTTACCTTTAATGATAAATATTTATAATTTAGACCTCATTGATGGTAGACCAACTGGAGATTATACTAAATGAACATTAGACCAAATGGGTAGTAGACTAATTGAAGATTATACCATATGGAAATTAGACCAAATGATTATTAGCCTAAATTGACATTAGACCAAATGATAAGTAGACAAAATGATTATTAGACCATGTGCATAGTAGACGGGCTGGGTGTAGACCATATGGGAATAGACCAATTGGTAGCAGACGAACTGGTTGTAGACCAATCGGCAATTCACCATTTTTTTTTTAATGCCACAGAGAATTCATGATCTCATATCCTTGAAGTACAGTACGTTAACTTATTATGTAAACAAAAATATCACCTAAATCTAACAGCACTGGTAGGTCTGATCTCTGACCCCTGATATGTACATACATGTACATGATATATTCCAGTCATCATACAATATTACATATACAAATATACAATTATATAACCTCACATATTGTCTGGGAATCTATATCATAAAAGTATTGCTTTTTAATAGGTTCCTCATATTTCACTTTACTGTTTATTTACTGCCATCATTGTTTTCTGTCATTATGCTTCATCTTGCTGACCTTTAATGATATATATAAATGTAAACTGTTATTTTGTGGAATGTAAAACAATTGAATCAAAACAAATCAAATATAAAGTTGATTCTTCAAAAATAAAGTGAGAATTCTATTTTGTTCTCTGTCTTAGCGTCACAACATACATGGGTGTACATATACAACCTAGAACCAAATCCTGCCAAATGTACATTAAATAATGAAGAAAAAATTAAAATGTAGAACATCCATTTTAAAATTTCTCATCCAATTTGAGATACAGAGTATGTATGTAATTGTACTAGACATATGTTGGTGTACATGTACTTGGTCATGTTTTAATACATGATACCCTCTCATAATAATTCTTTATGAGCTAAACTCCATGCATATCCCTTACTGCTACATTGCATCATGTTGACATAACTGCAACTACATGTAGGTACCATTTTAAAACACGCTATTTTGCGCACGATCTGAGTATTAAAACTCAGGGTGATTATCAAGAAAGCAGGACTTTGGACTTTGGATAAGACAATACACAAGATAATGTTTTGTAGTTCAGTCAACTTTGACAAATGTCATTCATGCGTACCTGACAAGTCAGAGTTGCAAGAAACTGCTATGGGCTCAATTTCCATGCAAGGAATCTTGCATGGAAAAACAACAACAAGAACAAGAACAACAAGAACAACAAAATTCAAATCTTCAAATGGCCTGCAGGATTATCAGCAGATTAAAAAATTATTGTTTGCCAATTAAAAGGGCAATTAGTTTATTTATAAATCTGTTCACAGTTTGTTGTTTTGCCCTGAAATGATTCCTCATTGGAATGGTGAATCAGTCCTGCCAATTTGAATAATGACTAATTACCTACTACTAATGAATTTGGAATATGAAACAATTTGTGTACAATACCTTGAGTTTGGCCACAACAGGTGTGGTGATATCTAGGAGTTCTAGAAGCCTTGTTGCTTGCTCACGAAAGTCATCTGCAACAGGTAGTGTTTCAGCGTCTGCTTCCAAAACTGAACAAATCAATCAGAGGAGATGAAAATAAAGAAGGAACAACTGATTTTGGTTTGGTTTGGCTTGTGGCCTTTATAACAAAAACAAGCAACTGACAGGCTGATGGCAAAATAAAAATACAGTATGTATTTTAAGAAAGATTTCCTAGACTTTTAAGGATTGTGTAACATTCAGTCACTCTATGATGTGTGCAAGCTTTAAAAATTGTGGTCATCTTTTTCATGCCCTCTCATATTTGTTTTACTTTTACTAGATGTGCAGAATTATAAAAGCACATGCCTCATTTCCTCAGATCCAGGATGATAGTCTTAAGACAGTAAGATATTCTAGTCAGAACATTGTCATTATTATAATTACTATGATGTTTATCATGATGATGTTACAAGTGGTGATGGTAAATAATGGTGATGGTGGTAGCATTAAAGCATTGCCTACATGTATGGGGACCAAGTGGTGCTTGTATTAACCTTATAGGAATGAGAGAATTCAGTAATGATGGTGAAGATAGTGGTGATGGTGGTGGTGGTAGTGATGATGATGGTGGTGGTAGTGATGATGGTGGTGGTAGTGATGATGATGGTGGTGGTAGTAATGATGATGGTGGTGGTAGTGATGATGATGGTGGTGGTAGTGATGATGATGGTGGTGGTAGTGATGATGATGGTGGTGGTAGTGATGATGATGGTGGTGGTGGTAGTGATGATGATGGTGGTGGTAGTGATAATGATGGTGGTGGTAGTGATGATGGTGGTAGTGGTGGTGGTAGTGATGTTGATGGTGGTGGTAGTGGTGATGATGGTGGTGGTAGTGATGATGATGGTTGTGGTAGTGATGATGATGGTGGGGGTAGTGATGATGATGGTGGTGGTGGTGGTAGTGATGATGATGGTGGTGGTAGTGATGATGATGGTGGTGGTGGTGGTAGTGATGATGATGGTGGTGGTAGTAGTGGTGGTGGTAGTGATGATGATGGTGGTGGTAGTGGTGGTGGTAGTGGTGGTGGTAGTGGTGGTGGTAGTGGTGATGGTAGTAGTGATTTTGAAGTGATGATGATGGCAGGGGTGGTAATGGTAATAGTGATTGTGATGGTGGTGGTTGTGATGGCGAAGTGATGATGATGTTGGTGGGTGGTAATAATGGTGGTAGTGATGATGGTTATTATAGCGACAATGATAATGACAATTCTTATTATGTAGATGATAATGATGGTGGCGGCAGCGATGTACAATGGTTGAATATCTAACATACCGGCAACATCCCCGGGTAGCTTGTCCAACTGCTCCACCTGAGCCACTGGATACGGCTCCTCCTGGAGCAGGCGATTCACTTTGAACCGGCACAAACCAGTTACAAGCAGAGTGTAAGCTGGTCTCGGCCAGTTGGTGCCAGTTACTTGAACAACAACTCCAGCTGTGCCAATAGCGTGCATACTATCCAACACCTCCTGAGTTTGACAAAGAAATGAATTACGGTTAAAGTTAAGAAATTTTCAGTATACTGCTGTGGTACATGTATATACAAATGTACATGTACAGTTGAATGTGCATTCTAGAAGAACATTTCAACAGTTTTCAAAAATGTCACTGGCTGTCCTAAACAACAACAAACGTAACTTCATAGTAATGAAGTTTGATTACCTTGTCCAGTCAGAATTGAACAGTAAGAGGACATTTAAGAAAGGAATCAATGATCAAAATTAAGGATTAAACACAATCATATAAATCACATGATCCTACATGTAACTCATGATCTAATGTAACATTTGTGAAGAGCCATGTCAATAATACCAACAGCAATTCTTGTACCTTAATTCAATTATGTCATTTATCTTTGGTTTAAAAAGAAAATCAGGAAAAAAAATCCTTAAAGCCCATCTGTACTAGTTTACAGAAGAGAATAGATCAGTCAGTCAAGACCATTTAAACTTACTTCCTTCTCTGGATTCTTTGGTACCACTCCAATGACTGTGCTCGTCAAGGTGTTATGACGTAGGATGTGACTCTTCACCATGTTCATACTAAAATAAACAAACAAAGAATCAGAATCATTTTAGAACCACAGAGATGGATTTGATCTAAAAGTTATAAGAATCTTTTTCTAGATCTCTATTGATCTAAAAGTTATAAGAATCTTTTTCTAGATCTCTATTGATCTAAAAGTTATAAGAATCTTTTTCTAGATCTCTATTGATCTAAAAGTTATAAGAATCTTTTTCTAGATCTCTATTGATCTAGAAAACTCTTTTTCAGAGTATTTAGGAGGAAATGAATCCAAGATCCAAGATTTCAGAGTGTGTATTCGTTTTACTTCTTATACCTTTCTTGTTTTATTTAGTTTCATGAACAATAGGGCTGACCTAGGTGGTGAACTTCCTTGTAATTGGTATGTTGGGGAGCCCCATGCCTGCGCACCTAACATGTGACTTCAAGAAATTTCTTTCATATTCCTCTAATGCAAAATCTGATATATTCCTAGTATTCTAAAGAGTAAGTGTGCAAAAAAATGTCATCGAATTCAAGAAAAAGTGGCCATGTCAATTTGACATTGCAAAATAAAGGATCCAATGTCTGACTCTGAAGTTCTAAACACTCATTCATTTTACATGCAGTTCAGGATATTTTACAGGAAAGATAGCATTTAAAGAGAAGGTCGAGTTCTGGGAAGAGGTGAAAAATAATTTGTGAGCATTATCATTGTACATTGAAAGTGTGGAAGAAGATCAGATAACAAATGTTCCCAGAAAAGCATGGCTCTTCAAATGCCTTAATATTCTAAATATGGCATGTAACATCATAAAAATCGGGACAGATTTTTATGCAACATGTTTGTGTAATCCCTTATACATGTATATCTTTCTGTGTACAGTGCTTCTAACTTTACCAAGACTGGGCCACATTTCTTATCACTTTGATGATTCCAGAACCGTACAGTAAACACCAATACTTATATGCTAGATGATCAACCTTTTCTGATCGATTCCACACTGTTTCTTTCACAATGCAATCCCATCACCAGCACTCAACTTTATCTTTAATGTTTGTGAATAGAATTACTGATATTAGACTTTTCTCAATAGTCTTATCTCATATTTTGGGGAATGACTATAGACTACTTAAAACGAGAAAAGAGTTGAAACTCTAATGTTCATGGCAGGTTTTGTTTTTATTAGTTTAGCGCAGTTAAGCGTATGCGTATACATGGGCACTCTCGCTATGACTAAATTTATGGCATTTTCAATCAAACTTATATTGCAAGATTTAGTAAGAATGGGGGGGGGGGGACCACAAATTACGCACGTTGTTCCAACAGCTTATAGTCTTCTAGTTCAGTGTTTTAGAATAATTCTTAAGTTTATCTGGGTTCAGCATTTTCTTGAGTTGACGTCATGATGTGTGGAAAAAAATCACAACCAGCAAATATTAATAATGCACATTTCAAGTCTTTTTCAATACCTGTGTGAATTTGTTCAACAAAGGGTCTATAAGTATTTTCTTGGATAAATAAGAGACTCCTGAATAATGTTCTGCCTAATCTCATACCTACACTCCATTATCATAACACAAATATAAAATTACATGTACCAGACTCTTCATTGTATATTGATATTGCTATCAGCATCTCTCTGTTTACAATACCGTATGTGTGTGAACTTATTTCTTCATCCAGTTTTTCAGAAGCTCCTATTTTCTTTTCTCCATAGTATTCTGTACTTCAATCTCCTGTTACAAATGAAATCTACCACTCTCTTCCTTCCTTTCTTCAATATCAGACAGCAATATTTATTTGCTTACAGTACTTACCTTACCAGAAACACACTTCTTCCTTTTCCTGCTTGACCTACTATATCGTACCGTATTACCTTTTCTTTAATTCATGCAATAATTTTCATTGAGAGCAGTGAGGTAAATTGTATGCAATGATAATGCTTCAAACAATGATCTTATATACATGTTTTTTCTGAATACAATTTTGTTAGTGTAATCTACATGTATTTTATGTATCTTTTACATTCAATTTTACATGTTTCCTTAATTATTCAAGAGTCAAGACATTGTTTCACTTTTTATATATATTGTAGGGTCTATTCAACTTGCACTATAAAAAATGTCCAATTTAGTCTGTGACTGGCAGTCATGGATTGATAAATCTTGATTGAATTGAATTGAATTGGTCCAAATAAGCCTACGCACGCTCACATGTAATATTATAAATCAAATGTCATGAATGCAAATCTTGACTTTGAGTTTGAGTTTTCACAAAGGCAAGGATCAATTGCAGTTTTCTGTCACAACTGGAAAGAGCAGAGAAAGATTGTTTTAAATACTGAAATCAGTGCTTCAACAATTTTCAAGTATAATCTTAGATCACCCAACGTACATTCAATCCTCACTGCAAATGAATACTAGATCTACATCACTTAAACAAAGGAGCTAGATCGAGCTGTGGGAGCTCAGGTCCACCTGAGCTACAGTACCACACCGTCAAATGGAACTCGACCCCGGAGCTCGGGCGCACTATCTGTCCGATTTTCATATCACTCAATGCGTACACACGTACCTTACACGTTTCTTTCAATAGTCAAATATTTCATTAGTTTTGCAATTTTGACTGATTTTACTCACTTTGTTGGATTGTTAACAGGTATTCTCATAGATGCTCCAGGTAAAAGCACGGCATCTCCCACTAGTAAAAGTGGCAGACGCCGAGGAATACTCAGCCCCTTTTTGTCCGACATGTTTTTGTTGTTATGACGTAACGTAAGGGTATGGTTGATTTAATTGGATAACCGCGATTTCGAAAGAACCGATTTCCAGAAAAAGTTTGACCCCACCCATTTTGTTTCATTTAAATAAAACATTACCAGAATAAAGCACCAACGACACATATTCAAATTTGCTCATTACAGATTTTGAAGATTATTTAAAATTTCAAGATAGCTTAAATATTTATCACCCTTTTGCTAAAACATGAAGGACCGAATAAATGTTGCATCATCTCAAAAGAGTCGGAAACTTAATTATGCATCACCACCAAATTTTCAAACATGCATGCATGCTGAAATTTATTTTACGTTTGTCTCTGATTATAGATAGCGTTTATTTTTCTTCGTTCACATAGGCGTAACCATGCAGGGGCACAAATTAAAAGCGTATCAGGACAATTACCCCCCCCCCCCCCCCCCCTTACCCCCTGTTCATTAAAGGAGAAGTCCTCCCTGATAATAAGTTGGTTTTTATCAAAATGATCAACTTGAAGTTAACGTAAACGGGAAACAACGCCCCTTCCTATAAGTTAGATCACAGCTCGGTCACATATTTTTGTTGGCCCGTTATTGTTGTTGTTTAGGACCCCTGCTAATTACCGTGCCATCTTTATCATCAAAGACAATTACAGGCCCTTTTTTTTACCTTATACTATTATCTATTATCTTGAAGAGGGAGAAATATATAATATGCACCCGAAAATCAATGTATTATCAAGACACAATACAATATTTTGTACCCTAATTCAACTTAATTTTTTTTTTTAAACTTAAAAGAGTCTTGCGAATATTATGGAGACACAACAGTTACTGTTGTACTGGTGATGGAGGGGAGGGAGCTTGAGGGCTGCAACCCCGTCCAAAAAAAATATTCCTGGACCAAAAAAGAGGGAAGAGAAAAGGGAAAGAAAACGAATGTTTTGTCTTTAAAATTATTTTTATGGAGGGGGCGCTTAGGCTCGGATCCAGGATATCTTAGGGGGGGGGGGGGAGGCCCAAATTTGAAATTATGCGAGCCAAATATTGGTACGTAATGGTGACCAGCAGTAACGTAATGGGGGAGGGGTGGATGCAGGGAGGGGCGAGTTTTTCCCCTACCTCCTCCGCGAAGGACTTTCAATCTTTTAATGACTTTTAATCTTAATCCTTGTCTAAATTCATTTCCCTCCCCTCGTTTTGACGTTTCATCAAATTATTAGAGAAAGAAGACGACGATTCGTTGTACCGCTCTCGAAAATAAACTTCGTCTGAATTTATTTTCCCCCTCCCGCGCGAAGCGCGGAAGCTTTTACGTTTCAATAAATTATTAGAGAAAGAAGACGATTCGTTGTGCCGTTATGACTTTTAATCCTCGTCTAAATTCAGTTCCCCCCGCTCCTCCCACGCGAAGCGCGGAAGCTTTTACGTCATTAAATCATTAGAGAAAGAAGACGATTCGCTGTACCGTTCTCGGACTCTTAATCCTTGTCTGAATTAAGTTCCACCCCAGTGGCGTACCTGGGTTACTTCGTCAGAGGGGGCAAGCGATCGAAACAAAACAAAAAAGGCGATGCTAATTTTCACTTCTGGCGAGCGAGCGGGCAAAAAAATATATTTAAGTAACGTTTGATATATTAACCGGTATTGTTGCAAGTCGGGGGTGGGCACATTCATTTGTTAGCCACGTTAATTTCATTTTTGCAAGCGAGCGTAGCGAGCAAGAAAAAAATCCCTTCTTTTTTTAATATTTGCTACTTAAACTTGGTCCAATTGTCCCATGCCGGGTGCGGGAACAATATTGTGTTTAGGGTGATACCCATTTTAGCTAGCGAGTGAAAATACACCTTTCTCTTAATGAATTGCTATATAAAACTTGTTTCATTATTGCAGGTCGGCGCGGGCACAATCGTGTGTAATACAATTTCAATCCCATTTTGGCGGGCAGGCAACCCCCCCCCCCCCTACATTTCTCTTTTTAATGATATTGTAGCAGGTCAGTGATGGGCACATAATTCCACGAGGTAGCGAGCGAAAAATCACTTCTCTACGGTGAGAACATGGTACATAAACTTGATTTCATTGATCCATGTCAACTAGGACATGATTATTTAAAGCGATGTTATTTCTATTTTGGCGAGCGAGCGTAGCGAGCGAGCAAAATTTTTGAAATGATAATTGGTTCATAAATTTCAGGTTTTTTTGTTGCAGGTCAGGGCTTACACAATCATGTCTAACTAAGGTGATGTTAATTCCGTTTTGGCGAGCGAGCACCCCAAAACTTCTTTGAATAATGTTTGGTACATAATTATTAACTAGTAATGTTGTTGCAGGTTAGGGCGGGCACGTTAGCGATGTTAATTTCATTGTGGCGAGCGAGCGTAGCGAGCAAGAATATAAAATCGCTTCTTTTTTAATAATAATATTGCCAATTAAACTTGGTACAATTGTCCTCAATGAATTGGTACATAAACTTTGTGTCATTGTTGCAGGTCGGGGTGGGTACAATCGTGTTTAAGCCAATGTCAATCCCATTTTGGTGGGCAGGCAAACAAAATTAATGATGGTTGGTGCATAATTTTCAGGTTTTTTGTTGCAGGTCGGGGCTTACACAATCATGTTTAAGGTGATGTTAATTCCATATTGGCGAGGGAGCGTAGCTAGCGAGCAAACCAAATTTTCTTTGATTAACGTCTGGTACATAATTAACAACTGGTAATTTGTTGTAGGTTGGGGTGAGCATGTTTGTTAGCGATGTTCATTGTAAAGACAGCGTAGCAAGAGAGGGTAAAACAAAAAACAAATCATCTCATATATCAATAACTAAAATCAATCAATTCATCAATTCTGGGGAGCGAGGAAACAATATCTCTCAAAATAACGTTCGATACTTATTTACTGGGATTTTCGTTGCAGGCAAGGGAGCGTACATATTTTGTTAAGAATGTCAATTCCATTTTGGTGAGCGATCATAGCGATGCAAAAAAAATCAATTCTCTTTTAATAGAAATTAATACATAAACTTGTTTTTATTGGTGCAGGTCGGGATGGGCGCAATCGCGTTTAACACGATATCAATTCCTTTTTGGCGAGAGGGCGAAAAAACACTTCCATTTTTGATGATATTGTTGCAGGTCAAGGGTGGGCACAATTGTTTTCAAAGCAATGTCTATTTCATTTATTCGCGAGCGAGCGTAGCGAGCGAGAAAAAATGAATTAGTCTCTTTTAGTAACATTTGGTACATAAACTGGGTGTTATGGTTGCCATGGTTGCAGGTCGGGGCCAGTCGGAGCAGACACAATTGTATTCTAGGCAATGCTAATCCTTTTCTTTTTTTCAGGGGGACGAGCAAGTGAAAACATTTAATACAAAATAGGCTATAGCAAGCAGCTCGCGCCAGCGAAGAGTGTCGAATTTGTTATATCACTTATATTTTCCTATTTTCATTTGTCTTTTTCTTTGCCGTATGCGGAATATTTTTCTGATGGGGGAGGGGGAAAGATGCATAAAAAGTTTTTGAAGAAACTCAAAAGCAAAAGGAGTGAAGAGAGTTCGAGCGACCAAACTGGTCATGAGGGTACTTTTGCATTTTTCAAAAGTAGAATTGAAGGATTTTGTATAGGCCTTCACTAATTGTGAGCTTTGTTAACATTTTCAGGAAAAAACTGTACGTTTTCAAAATATCTGGGGTCAACTGCCCCCCCCCCCCCGGGTGCGTACGGCCATGGTGTTTTATTAAATAATTCCCCCAGTTTTTTTTTTCTTTCCTTTTTTTTCCCCTCTTTCTTCCTTTTCTCTTTTTCTTCCTTTTTTTTCCTTTTCCTTTTTTCTCTTTCTTTTCTTTTTTTTCTCTCCCCTTTTCCTTTTTTCTTTTTCTTTCCTTGCCTTTCTTTTCTTTTCTTTCCCCTTTTTTTCACTTTCTCCTTTTTTTTCCTTTCCCCTTCCCCCCTTTTCCTTTTTTTTCCCCTGGAGCCCGTCAGGGGGGGCCCTCTGCCCCCCTTGCCCCCCTCAGGTACGCCAGTGTTCCACCCCCACCTTCCTGCGTGAAGCGCGGACTTTTTGACGTTTTATTAAATTATTAGAGAAAGAAGACGATTCGTTGTACCGTTCTCGACTCTTAATTCTGTCTGAATTTCAAAAATGTTCTTTGTCTACTCCCTTTTCTTCCTACGTCCTCTTCCTGTTCACTCCTCTCTTTTTTGGGGGGACCACCCAACTCCCCCCCCCCCCCCTGGCTACGCGCCTGCGGTCAGATGAACATAATGTTGATACCTTGTGCGCCCCCGGAAGCTCAGGGGTTTAAGGCAATAATTAACGGTCAGATTAGCATTCAGGGGTCCGCCTTAGGGCCCCAAGTGGGGTCCAGGGGGCAGAGCCCCGGAAGTTCAGGGGTTTTAGGCATTTAATTACGGTCAGATGACCATTATTTTGATACCTAATTGTGACACTGGCAGGTCACTATTATTGTCGTGGGGTGCAGGGGGCGGAGCCCCCGGAAGCTCAAGGGTTTTAGGCACTCAATTACGGTCAGATGAGTATCAAGGGGCCGCTTTAGAACTCTTGGTTGGGTCCAGGGGACAGAGCCCCCGGAAGCTCAGGAGTTTTGGGCGTTTAATTACGGTCAGATGAGCATTTTTTGATACCTTATTATTTTGTGACACTGGCAGGACAATAAGTGGCGTGGGGTCCAGGGGGCAGAGCCCCCAGAAATCAGGGGTTTTAGACATTAAATTACCGTCAGATGAGCATCTAAGGGCCCGCGTTAGAGCCCTAGGTGGAATCCAGGGGGCAGAGCCCTCGGGGTTTTAGGCATTTAATCATGGTCAGATGAGCATAATTTAATACCTCATTATAATGTGACACTGGCAGTTAACTATTTTTCTTTCTTGCTCTCTTTCTTTCTATTTCTCTTTAATATGTTTTTCAAAAAAAGTGGGGGGGGGGGTGTGGGGGGGAGCTTCGAGGATCCCGATCCCCGCCGTTCCGCGGGCCCTGACATCAGTGACATTAAGCATCTCAAGAAGCATTTTCTTGCCTGGCTGTAAATTTAGGAATTTGTCATTTTCCAACAAACGCATAAAAAAGTATAATTTACTTAAAAGTGAGAAAAAAAATCTCGGAAAATTTTGTCATTGTTTGTAAACCACCGTTATGGAATTAGAAATAAACCACGTTTGAATTTTATTTCCTCAAAGCCCCCCCCCCCCCCCCCCCGATTTACACCTTGTTAGCGGAAAAATTGCAATTGATATCCCTTACCTTTCTTCATTCTCTTTTTTCTTCTTTCCCTTTCTCTCATCCTTCCCTTTCCCTTCCCTTCCTTCTCTCTCTCTTTTAGGATTGCTGGGGGGGGGGGGGGGGAGGGGCAAGGTCATTTTTACCCCCACCCCGCTCCACACATTGTTGGCGGGATTAACCGAAACTGATCTCCCCTTCTTTTCTCCCTTTTCTTTTCTTCTTCCTCTTTTTTGTTCCCTTTTAGCTCTCCTCTTTTCCTTTTATCCCCTCCCCCCCCCCGATCCACAACTTGTTGGCGGAAAAATTGCAACTGATATCCCCCTTCTTTTCTTTTCTTCTTCCTCTTTTTCTCCCCTTCATCTCCTCTTTTCCTTTTTTCTTTCCCTTTCCTTCCTTCTCTTTTATTTTTTGATTGGAGGGGGGGGGAGGAGGAGGCAACAGCCTGGGAGGCAAGTCCCCCCCCCCCCCTGATCTCCTTCTTCCCTCTTTTCTTTTCTTCTTCCTCTTCTTTTTTCCCTTTCTCTCCTCTTTCCCTTTCCCTTCTTGTCCTTCTCTCTCTCTCTCTCTCTCTCTTTTTTTTTTTTTGGCGGGGGGGGGGGGGGCAAGGCCCGCTCGGCCCCCCCCCCCCTGGATCCGCGCCTGGGTGCTATCGGAAGCAAACTATAGATGATGGATAAGTTTCATGAGCTGTATAAAAAGGTAGCGTAATAAAACTTTTTATGATTACAGACGTCCGTCTAAATGTTTGATTTTTGTAGAACCTCTCCTGTAATACAAAAGCTACATAATCTACGTTTTGAATGCAAGAAATAATAGTTTTACCACAAGTTTATTACATTAGAAGGGAAGTTTAATTCCCTCTCATACCCCAACCAGTCCCTTAATAGTATTTCTGTCAAAACATGAATGTGATGGAATGAATAATAATAATATTGATGATAGGCATTTATATAGCGTCGTCTATAGACAATTCTATTCCGAGGCGCACAGGAAAATAGAAAGAATAGGAGAGTTTGGATGAGTGTCATAGTGCCAAGTACAGGTACGGTATTGTTTAAAAAAAGCTTGGATTTAAAGGTCTCTAAGGAAGTTATGATTCTCATATTAAATGGAATAAGTTTTTGCAAGGAAGGGTATAATGATCGGGAGATACTAACTCTAAAAAAAATCGAGTGATCACTGACGTGAATCCTCTGGAGAGTGAAAATGTACTAAAATAAAGTTCACATTAACTCTTTTCTTCTTAGAGAGCACTCTAAAATCAATCGATATTCACTCCTAAACAGTGATCACTGACGTGACTCCCGGAGGAGTGAAAATAGAGTGAACATTCACTCTTTTCTTTTAAAGGTACTATGTCCCATTTGCAGGCCAAAAAAATGAAAAAGTTATAATTCCAACTGCATTTGAAAGATAATACTAATTTAGAACTTCCCTAAAAAAAGTGGGGCCTGAAAATGACTTCAAGTGGGAAAATAACGACTATTAGTTGTTAAATCGACTTTAGGGCTACAGAGCCCAAAAGTAATAGTCTTGATTTTCAGATTGTACCGAACGGTCATAAGTTTTATGCTGCGCAAAGATTCAATCAGTTTAATCTTGGCCATCACAAGAAGTGGGTTATTGATGTATATAGACAAATGCTCATTTACCCTTTACAACTCTTTTCATGTTTGTTATTACCAAAAAAAAAGCCAGTCAGTCACTCAATAGTGTCTGACAGTGAAGTCTAGCAAGTAAACGGGTTTCCTTGCATAATTTGAATATGAGGACACTGTTAACGTTTAAATTTCACAGATAGGACAAACATGACATATTCATAATTCCTGCAAAGTTCTACAGAATTTGAGGTTGGTTGCAAAAGGGACATAGTACCTTTAAGAGCAGTGGCGTAGACAGGTTTGTACACCTGGGGGGGATGACTCAGGGACGGATCTAGCTTTTTGCTAAGGGGGGGGGGGGGGTTGACCAAAATAATGACGATGCGGAGCATCGTCCACGAGCCGCGAAGCGGCGAGCCGATTTTTTTTTTGGGTGTTTATTTGAACCCCGTAAGTGATGTTTTCCTGGCATCTATTAACACAATGGAGACCATAAAAAGCAGTGCATGATAACGTCTTTTTAAATCAAGTAACAGTTAAATACACAGTTATATCCAGAGTTATCATGTGTTTGGTTAAGTTACCAGATGAGTTGAATATCTTCTCACAATATTTGCACTTGAAAGGGTTTCTCTCCAGCGTGCGTTCTTTTTTCTTTCTTTTTTTTCTTTTTTTCCCCCTTTTTTTTCCCTTTTTTGTTGTTGTTTGTTTTTTGGGCCGCCCAAGGGGGGGTTTAAACCCCCTAAACCTCCCCCGTAGATCCGCGCCTGTTTTATCTTGTGGTTATCTTGTGGTTTCCAAACCACAAGATAACCACAAAATACTTGTAAGATTTTCTTTTTCTTACCGTCTGAATTGGCTTTCACCTTGTGAATGCGGCTAATAACAATAAACACAATTACAATAATGATGAGGATTATTATTATCATCATCATAATTATTATTATTATCAATATTATAATTGTTATCATTATTATTATTACTATTATTATCATCATTATAACTTATTAAGTAAGCAAATATCATTCCCCAAAACCTGGGGGGGATGATTGTACATGCCATCCCCCCCACCTTGTGAGGTGGGGGGATGCATCCCCCTCATCCCCCCCCCCCCCGTTGTCTACGCCCCTGTTTAAGAGAGTAGTCCCCCCAATGTTTTAAATAAAATTTCAAAAACAAAAGGGATCCTACTGAAATGATTCAATGTATCTGTAATTATCAGAAGTAAGATCCGTGCTGCTATGATAACCCCCCCCCCCCCCCCCAAAAAAAAAGGAGAGAGAAAGAGAAAAAGGGGTAGGAAAATGTTCTCTGATTTACCATCAAAAGAAATAATCTGAACTCTACAATTTTAAACACCTTCATTATCACTTCAGGGGGGAGGGGAGGGGGGAGGGGAGGGGGGAGGGGGGGGGGGTGGGTAGGACAATAATGTATGACTGAATATCTCTGCGTTTGAGCGTTTTTATTAAAGAGATTCGATCATACCATCTCTATGGATCATACACAGTATGGTTTTTATTATGTATAGCGCCACCTCTAGTTTACACGTCGTCAGCTACAGCCTACAGCTGCTAGTTGCATCAACCTTGTCTGCAGATCGTCGTGCTGTAATTCAGTTTTATTTTTCATTTTTCATTATTTTGTTACCAAATTAGGGACAGGACAACAAACCTGAATGTTATCTGATTATTTGGAGTCCCCAAGAAGGAATACATTCAACCAAAACTGGTTAACATTCTGTGAGACGTCGTTTTTTAAAAGCAGCTGATATTCCTACAAGAAATGGTTCGCATTGCAGCCGAAAGTCTGGCGGGGGTGGTGTTCATGTGTTTGATCCTGGTGTGCTGCGCAGTGAAAGATGTTGTGACCGGATATGATCGGGAACGTGTTGCATGCCCGTACAAAAGTTTGGTGTTCGGACCTGGACTGGAAACAAATTTTGTTGTTCCTGCGAGGTTTTTCTACATTCAAGCAGTTGATTTTGAAAATAACAAGTGAGTAGCTACATCATACATGTACTGTAATCTGTATATCTACTTACACATCCCTTTCCCCCTTTTACTTTTTAGTTTTAGAATCTAGTTATATTCTAAACATAGGCCTATTTATTTAATAAATATCTATTTAATAAGATGGCATAATTAATTTACTAACAATATTAATCATTAAGGAATAATGTTCACAATGATGATTGTTTGATGAATGTAATAGTTGACTTTGTCTTTGTTGATGACGATTAATTTTGCTCTGTTTTTACATTATTTACATCTAATTTTTATATCGTAACTAGCCAATGAATTATCTTGAATTGTTTGTGTGTGGAGACATTACGGTATGTTCTGGTATAAATTATGTAGACATGTACATTGTATGTTACCTTACTTACTTACTTTACTTTAATACAAGATGTTGTAGGTCTAAGCCTGTTCATCAATCCAGGATTCTTCCATGGTTACTGCGATTTGTGGAGGGAGGAGGTTGTTGTCCTACAGAAGGGCATATACTGTACCATCAGGAAATGTTTTGATAATATGCCAAGTCATAAAATAAATTTGTATGTGATACTCTACATGTACCAGGCCAGGGCTGGCCACCCTATAACTCACCAAGATCATGGTCTAGGAAATAGTTTACAACACAGACAGCACCATGATTTTAAACTTAATAGTGAGGAGACACAATGGCTCAGTGGTAGAGCAGTGGCCTCCTAACTGGAAGGATCTGTGTTTGAAATCTCAACATAGCTATTGATCCCTTATACTGAACTACCTCAATAATATACATGTAGCTATAGATCCCTCAATTAAATTGCCACACAAACATAGGCTATTGATCCCTTAACAAAACTTTCTCAATAAAATAGCTTCTGATCCCTCAAGTCTACTAAACAACCTCAAGAACACAGCTCTATTGACCTTTCAAGTAACTACCCCAATAACACAGCTATTAATCCCTAAACTAAATTACTTCAAGAACACAACACAATACCCTCTTGTCTTTCTTCATTGATGAAGAGCTCCTATAGAATTTTCCTTGAAGTCTAGGCCTACCACCTTTAACAAATATTTAATCTGCAACAAAAGCAAGTTCATACACAGGATCTTTACACCTTCTTGTTTCTACAGCGTCACATACATGGAGGTCTAAAGAGCCTTCTACCGTCATTCAAACATTTCTTCCAGTTGTTTGTTGTGTATTAAACCAATCTTCTGGTAACCAATACATGTATTTACCCATTTTCTGACCTCTATGAAATCCCCCCATATTTTTTTTCTTCAAATTAAGTAAAAACATGTTTAGTATTTATTTATTTACCTATTTACTTCAATTATTTAATTTAGAATTTCTTTACCGGTAATTACCTATTAATTACCCCCCCCCCTTACATGTACATGTATATACTAGGGTTTTGAATGCAGACAACTTTTGATATATTTATAGAAAACATTTCACAATTATATGCATGGTTAAGGCTTTAAGCCTGTACCAAAAGCCGCTATTATATGATGAGGCATTGTGTTTTGTAGTTTTGTTGTATTTGAAACTCTGCAGTAACTATAACAACTTCATGAGCCTACATGTATGTGTTCGGTCTCAAATGGTAGAAAGCTGCCTTAAATGCTTCAGAAAAATAAAAAACAATTTAAGTGTAAAAGAATGGCAAGTGAAGACACAAAGGGCAAACTTAATACACCATACATGTATGTGTCATATAATACAAAATTGTGAAGTGCAAAGTGAAACACACATGTGTATGCTAATACAATTTTTTTGTTTTTGTGTTTTTTGTTCTTTTTTACGTGTTAAAAGTCTAAAAGAGGACAATTATATAGAAAAGATTGTACATCGATTGACAATTGTGATGTCTTTTTAAGGCTATTGTATTATGTAATCTGATGATACCTTCAAACTATTGTTAAAATCCCAGGAGCTTTAGAGGTTTAATGCAACTCTTTGAGATAGAAAGTCTTTTTTATTATTTTATTTCAATTCCCTCACATTAAAATGAATACATTGTACTTGTACATGTAAGACCATACAATAATCCTCTTGTGGACCATTGTGTTATCTCTTGACTTTTCTAATCCATTTTAAACCTCTTGAAGCTTTTTAAGATGCATGCAGGTCTTCTTTACAAATATACCTGTCATTCTTACTTCTTAATTCCTGTTTTAAATTTAATACAAAGGAGGTTGTATAAATTATACCTCTTTAGTGCCACCTGGTGAGTTATTGATTCCATTCAAATCTCAGAGCTTTTAATGTTTCATACAAGTGATAATCTCTTGTATTTGATTTCTCTAAATTCTTGTGATTAAGTGTTGTAGACCATAACTCCCTCCTGCTGCTGCCTTGTCACTTCAATTTAAATACCCGAAAGCTTTTGAGATTACAATGTACAGTATGTGCATCTTGTGGGAAAACGTCTTGGGTAGTAACAAAAAAAATGTATCAGATAGATTTTTAGTTGAAGTGCAGCTACGTACAGTATAAGACCTTACATGTGGCACATTTATTTATTGAATTGTTAAAATTCAACTTTATTTTTTTGGTTGTTTTTTGGGGGTGCTGTTTCATGCAACTTTTAGTGCTTACATTTTATAAGAACTACAAGTACAGGCTGGTTGTGGAATGAAAGGAATTTATTTCTTTACAGTTTATTGAATTAAAAAGTGCATTTGATTTGCTAAATGATGATCTTTTTATGGATCAATTTGTATATCTCAGAGGTTTGGAGTCAGATAAAGCTAGGAGGAAAATAAGGCAAACCCACAGTCATCATTCATTGTTTAGTGTTGTGGTTGAATTCTTTTCTGTTAAAATGATTGACCTTTTCAATCAGTGTCCACAATTCAAGAAATAAGAATAATCATATTCAGGCCTAAATAGAACATTAATCAACGTGTCCCACTTTTTACATCCTGTTTCAACTAGTGACATTGAGTAGATTTTGGGTATTCTCTTAGGGTTTGTAATTAGACATACCTACTGTATATGGCACTTTTACTGTTAGCTAGACCATTTTGTACAGAGAATTGAGTAAAAAGGAAAATTGATATCAACTTTAATAGCAATTCAATTAGATATAGTACTGTACATTTACTTCAGAATTAATTTATATCAAAATTGCATACCCACAAAAATATGATTAAAAAAAAAAGATTTGCACTTAGTTTCCTTCTGTCCGTTATTTTCAAATTGCTGTTGTTCTTCTTACTACTTTGTCATGTGCTTGTAACACACAGCAAATTGACTGTGTCACTTTATGAAGTTTACCACTTCATTTTTTTCTTCAGGATGTTCAAGTTTCATAATTTCTGTCATGATTGACAGCTTGTAGATTTCCTGTTTTATTAAATGTCTGTCTCTTCCTGACACTTGTGTTCTGGTTGAAGGAAAAACCATAAACTGTAGAAAACGTAATGTGCAGACTTCAGAGCCAGAAGGGCGTTCACTCTGTGTTAAAGTATGAGTTTATGACCCTTCTGGCTCCAAACAGATAAAATATTCCTTGAAGATGATTTGCATTAATTCTAAGAACTTTTAATTTACATGTAGCTGTAAAATTATGTAATAATGACTTGGTGTACAGGTAGATATTTTAATTGATTTGCCTCAAACGTACAGTGCAAGTGTCAAGATCATGTATTGTGTGTTCAGAGCCAGAAGAATTGTAACCCATAGCCCTATAACTTGATACAGATTTAACATATTTCTGGCTCTTGCTTGAGGATATTTGTTTTGTTAGAAAACAAGTTGGTCACCCTAGGTGAGCTTCTTTTCCTTCAAAGAAAATTTCTTGTGAAAAATGACTCTTTTACGAGCCCATGCTGATATTCCAACAGAGAGGAAATTACTCAAAATGCTTGTACCTCCTCATGTGTCAGAAGTATAGTTGTTCTTGATATCTTAAGTTCTTAACCCATTGTCTATTGGGACTTGGAGGCCCCTGTATTAAGCCTATGGCAGTGAATCAATTCAGAAGACAACATGTTAAATATACTCTTTTAATCTTTATACATGTAGAAATATGAAATATATTACCACTTAGAATGATACTGGCATGCTGATAAATTATACACATTTGATGTTATGAAATTAAGATACTGTGCAATATACAGTAGCCCTATCAGATCATCAGCTCTGGCTAGCCACCAGTGTGATTGTGTTGAAACACAACAACTTTATTTTCCGACTAATACTCTTTGCATAGGTGTTGGAATGTTGTGTGATGCCTATAGAACATTGGGATTTCATGGGCTTTGACTTTGAACTGTGCTCAAAAGTGATAAAAATACCAGTAAGTAATATTTGCAAGCTTTTGATCTGTTTCCTCATGAATAATGATGTGCCATGATATACCAATTTTAGATTCATTTTCTGACTCTTTTGTTGTTGGAATATTGTCTGATGCCTAGAATATGTTTGGATTTCTTGGGCTTTGACTTTAAACAGTGCCCAAAAGTGTTAAAAATAAGTAATATTTGAAAGCTTTTGATATGTTTCCTCATGAATAACGATGTGCCATGATATACCCATTTTAAATTCATTTTCTGACTCTTTTGTTGTTGGAATATTGTTTGATGCCTAGAATATGTTGGGATTTCATGGGCTTTGACTTTGACTGATGTTCATAATAAATAATACAGTGTATTTGCAAATTTCGATATGTGTCTCATGATATACAAATGTTGTACATTTAAAACTGGTAAATTCAAGATGTAATATAATCTTAAATTTTGGAAATGAAACTGTCGCCATTCTGTTTCTCTTATTTTTCCGCTTTCATACAAATGAAATTATTACAAAGGTTGGATTGCCCTCTAACCGTTTCCAGTAAAATTTTCATCTATACCAGTAAAGGGTTATCACTGAGCTAATTAAGACAGGAAATGTGTAATTTAGAAAGCCATTATGCACATGTACAGTGTACATTGTAATCCTTCTGTGGATGAGTCATTTTCTTTGTTCAGTACCTTGTCACATATTAATTTATTCACCTGTTAGTAATGAGCGTTTTTTCAATAGTCAGAATTCAAATTGCATACATTACTTGTTGTTAGGTAGAACAAGCCATATTGTTTGTCCTACCTAGCAACAACTAATGTATGCAATTTTCATTCTGACTACCGGTATTGAAATACAGTTATTCATAACAGATGAATGAAATAATTTAGAATTACAAGTAAACAACTTTGTTTACTCGTAATTTTAAATGGCGCTAATGTCAATGTATGCATGCTCTTGAAACCGTGAAAGGGTGTATTGAACTGTTGGGATGTAAATATGCATTGCATACTATACTATAGCACAACCATTTTTTACTTTAGTCATGCCAATGAAATCGACACAAGACCAACGACGAACCCAAACAAATAATTATATTTTCAAAATTAAATTGTTGATTCACTGGATTATCCATGTGACTAGCATATTGTCTGTTTGGAGCCAAAAGGTCTTAAAGACTGTCAATACTACTGGGCCAGAAGGGATTAGACTACACACTACACAGCAAGGTCACTGACAGGTGGCTATCTCATTAACTCAGCTCTCAACTAACATAAGAAAAAGAGGATCATGGGGGACCAACAGGCGCCGATTGGGAAGTTTTCTATATAGATCGAGCAAGTAGCTACAAGTAGGGCAGTGGGGCTTTGAGCCATACTTTAACACAGGGTTAATGCTCTTCTCGCTCTCCAGAGACAAAATTACTCTTGAGTCTTGATAGTCCTGTCTGATGTAATCTGTCTGTCATTCCAACATGGTAGTTGTATGCTGTCATCAGATTACTTTGCCAATCAGGGGCCCTAGACAAAAATGACAGCCCGTGTTATTAGGTGGGAACATGTTTATTACCGGTACATGGAATTGTCTGTCCTGTTGTTTAAACCTGGAAATTGAGTTTGGATGACTTCCAGCCATGAGTCACCATAACACCTGTATCAGACTGAACTGTTGTCAGTAGCTATTAAAGGTAAAGACCAGTTATGGTCATGCGATTGCATTGTGAAAGAAACGTTGTGGAATCGATCAGAAAAGGTTGATCATCTAGCATCTAGCATCTGCAAGGTTCTGGAATCATCAAAATGATAAGAAATTTGGCCCATTCTTCGTAAAGTTACAAGCACTATACACAGAAAGATGTATATGGGACTACCCTATATCTCTCACAGACCATGAGAGAAACAAATTTACCAAATATATGAATTAGTAGGCGGTTTCCCGGCAATTTTTTTATCATCATGTATTAGTCAAAACATATTCTTTCACATGATTGGTAATGAGAGCTTCCATTTCATTTTTTGGAATTGGTGCGTTTCCAATACTGGTCTTTACCTTTAAAGGGCAATCCTACCCTTCTGATAAAGTTTATTTGTATGAAAGCAGAAAAATAAGATAAACACTAAACAGAATGGCAAAAGTTTTGATATATTAAAATCGGACCAATAATAAGAAAGTTATGAATGTTTGAAATATGAGATGATAAGTCTAGATGCGAATCTCAGATTGGCAGTTTGGTCAGTGGATTGTGACGTACATGTACATGTACATGTAGTTGCGAATAACTCTCCCATTTGTTGTGTACAAAAATATCATTAATTTCTGTTTTTCCCCAAAAATGCCTTCTCCAGGTCCAGGGCACTACACAAAATATATTATTGATAGCTTGTTATTACAGGTTCTCTAAAGAGAAAAAACCTTCCTGGGTCATACATTTGTGAACAATTGATATTTTAGTCATTTTGTATGTTTGAACAAATGGGAAAGTTGTCTACCACTAAATCAAAGAGACAGTACCATGGCATTACAACTCTTAAAACAGCAAAACTTTCTTCTATCTTTGTCGTGTAAAGCATTGTCTTGTCCCTTTCTCATCTCTGTTGGCATCCTCCTTTTTCTTTCCCCTATTTTGTAGGTCCTTTTGTAATTACGGATTATTTAATTTAATTACTCATCATTCCTAAGTATCATTTGAGGTGTTCACACTTAAGCATTGCTTTTTAGTAGACCCCTCCGTTTCCAACATGTATTTCTTACATTTGTTTTAAATGCTTATAATTGATTTGTAATGTTTTGTTGGAAACAATGACATGAATAAATTGAATTTGAAATTGAAATTGAATATGTTTGTCTGATTTCATTCAAACTTTCATCATTCTACTCTAGAGTAGTTTGATATCAAGGTTGGATTTCCCTTTACTCTGTTCAAACTACAGGATACAATGTACTATACCAAACTTGTATTAGGATAAATTGTATACAAACAGTAATCCTATAAGCAAAGGGAGAGCACAGCTAGACTGTGAAATGTCACACATGTAGAAACAGATTTAGAAGAGGTCAATGGACTTGACAGATGGACATTCATGATAAGCCTTGCCCTGCATGGTATATAATTTTCATACTATACATGTATGTATATATGACATTGAGATCAGAGTGGGACCTCAATTCCTTAAACGAGGCACACATGCATTTCTTTATAAAGCATTTTATTATAGACGTTTCTTTATATCGGTACAATGTTTTATATAGACATTTCTTTATACCATGAGCAGGCTAGAAAAAGGGTAATTGCTTTTCATATAGCTGTATGATTCTCTGCGATGTAGTACTGCAGTTCTAAACTTGAAGGCACTTAATTTGTGTTTCACTGATGACAACTTAAATATGCATAACTTGTCTATTTTTAATTGGATATTGCTGAAAATTTCACTAATTTGTTTCTCTCATTTTTTCTGCTATTATTAGAACCAACTTGATATTAGGGCAGGCTTCCCCTTTGATACTGAGACACACCTGATCATACGGCTATTGTATAAGTACACCTTAGTAAGAGCACTCTTGTTAAGCACAATAATGTATTTTATTCTATTTTCTTTTGTTTCACAGTTTCACCTATTCACCGGGCAAGAATGCGTTTGAAATTGTAATAAAGCCCATTAGTGGCAACAGAGGGCGCATTTACATACAGACCCTTGATCGTCATGACGGCACTTTCATCGTACGGTTTCGGCTTTATGACTCTTATGATGGGCTGAAGATCGAGGTCAAGAGTGCCGGCAGACACGTGGCTGATTCACCATACAAATTAAAAGGTACGATTGATTTGGAACACTTTTTTTATTGAGATGGGGGGGGGGGGGGGAGGGGGAGGGGGATGTGTGGGAGCAGTTGGATAAGTGGGAGCAGGGGGCCCCCCCTTTATAAAAAATATTCAAATATTGAATCCATGAGGAGAACATACGCCTGCACAAAGTTAAAGGTATAGTAGTTTTGAAAAATTTAATTGGGATCTGGGAGGTCAAAATACTTGAACTTGAGAAATGAGACTACAAAACATGAACAAAGAACACTAGAAAAGACCCTCCTAAGACATAAATTTTGAAGAAAAAATAAATGAAATTTTAGTAATGTAACATGTCAAAACAAATGACAAAGATGTTTGGCATTTACACTACAGCGACATTACCAATTCAGCCAATTTCAAGTTCCATTTGATAGTAATTACAAGTCTAAAATCTCCTAACTTTCTTATGTTTTGTTTGATTTCTTTCAAACTTTGACTCTGACGCATATGCTTGTCCACTCTTTCCTTCGAATAGGACTGGTCAGATGCGAGAACTGCGATTGTCCAGTGGATGACCAAGACCAGTGGAGGAGTGACATGTACTGTCGTTCCGGTGTCCATCCTCAGACGCAGACGGATTTCTCCATCTTCCCATCTATCGACCTCGGTACGCTGCATCGAGATGTGGAGTCTAGGTTTGCCAAGCATCACAGCTTATGCCATTATTCCATCATAAATAATAAGGTGAGCGGCAAAAGGACTGTATTGTTTGTAAAGATGATTGGTACTACAAAATTGGAGAATCGCATTGAAAAGAGCCATACTAAAGCTTTTTCGACTTGCACTCAACAGAGTAAAACACAAGAATGAAACAGAAAGCCGAAATCGACAATATAAACAGAAACTAAAAGGAACAAGGCGCGAATATAACAAGCTCTGATTGGCTGTCTAAGGTAATGGTAAATTAGGCTTATTGCCAGCTGGGTATACCGGGGTAATCGATAAAATAATACGAGCGTCTGAACAAACTCTTTCTGTCTGCATAGAAGAGGGTCGGTCAACTGAATGTGTTTTGCTTGAGCATGCGCAGATGAGTAATTGTTTGTTTTTACATCATGAAACAATTTGATGGATCTCCACTATTGAAATTTACAAAAGTTTCATGTACTCAAAGATATGGTTTGAGAGTACTCGACAGGCAAAAAGAATATCACTTTTGTTTGTACAATGCTTTTCAAGGCTGCTTCAGGCAAATGCTCCATAAATACAAGTATATATAATATATAGTGTCAGAGTTGAGAATTCTCGCACTTTTATATATATATATATATATATATATATATAGGGGCAATTATACTTCAAACAAAACCCTGCATTTTTCTCACATTCTGGAGTTCTGTGTGAAGTTGCTACTTGCTAGGCAACATAAACACAACAAAAATCTGAATAAAAAACCCACCTCTGGAGTGTTTTTTTTCTCAAAAACTACAGTCAAAACTGTGCAGGTTTTGCAATGTAAATGCATGCTTTCTCAAAACAACAGTGCAGAAAGAATGCAAGTAACGCTTGCATTATTCAGTGGCACAATGAAAGTCTCGCGCTATTGCACGCAGAGCATTAACAAGTTGTAGTAGTTGTTAATTTACCTGACTGCTAAGAAAGCATAAATGCTTGTTAGTACCAGAGGACCGACGGCTTTAGGTCCTCTCTGAAAGACCTGGTAATGAGGATTAATGCCTTACCAAAGGGCACTAGTGCATCACCTTGGTTTCGAACCCGGGTCAGCGTATTACAAGACCACTGCTCTACCGACTGAGCTATCACACCTCCAAGTCGCGATGGTGTACGACTACCAAAAAATGAAATTAGCAAACAAAAGTTTTAAACAGATTTTCATTAGGTTTTCCAGTAGAGTAAATTGCAGTTAAAAAAAACAATGGTTTTCAAATATTTTTTTTTGCAGTGTGAATGGGTCATATACTGTCTATTCAGATCCCAAAGACACACCCATAGTGTATGCATTGCATTTAAACAATTTTTGATTGGTATAGTTGTATCACGGCAACTACACTTTACCAAATAGGGCCTTGACACTTGAGTTGTTTGCATTCAAGGTGTCAGCGATTACTTTTCCACCGATATCTTAGAGTTGACTGATTTCTACAGTTGTTTTTCAAAGGACCACGAACATTGATTTCATAGAATTTACATTTTCCACTCAATTGGTTTGTCAAGGATTGTCCTTCAAAGGTAGAAGGATTCAAAGGGCTTGTATCAAGACAATTTACTCTTGATTTGTACAACTCAGCAAGTGTCAAGTGCTGTGTGAAGAAAATGGGCTCAAAAAGTTATGTTCACCAAGGAGACAGAGAGAGAGAGAGAGAGGGAGAAAGATTCAGATACAGGTACACTGTACTACAATTATGAAGAAGAGAGAATGAAAGAGAGAGAAGAGATTGTAAAGAAAAGGATAACAAATAGCTTATAAGAGATAATGAGCTCTGACCAGATTTATTCATGTAAGTAGGATAAGTGGGAGTTTTATTTGGTTTTTCATGGGATTGTGATCTGGTGCCTCAAAGAAATGGCCCTTTTACAATCTTTTTGTGAGCAGAGCACTGAAATGTAAGAAGGTGGTACTAAGTTATTACAGGGATTGGGTATCTTTGCCTCAGATTCTTTAGAAAATCCTGGATTTAGCTCGTGTTGCAATCAAAATTATATGCCTGTAGGTCAGTCAGTCAGGTATCCCATGTCTGATTATCAAGATATTTATGATTGGAAGTAGACATTTCAAAAACCGTTTTCCCAATAGTTTTTATAACATTACAGTCTATTGGGGAAAATGAGTACGGTATGGTAAAACCAGTCACTCAAACATATTTACTGTTTTGAGGCCCTTCATGGTAATTTTGAAGCGCAATTTCTTTAGGGATTCATTATTACACCATATCACAGACGCTGATAACGCGTAGGGCCATGCATATCAGATTTAACATTGTTAAACAATGCCTTTTTAATAAAGGTAATATTTGATATTGTAATGAAAATGGTAGTAGGAAAGGTTGATCTACAGTGTATGTGAAAAAGATGAACAAGCATGAAACCATGATCAATGTTTCTGTGGTTTTCTCTGTCTGTTGGGAAATACATGCATCTACCAGGGAGATGTGAGTTTAAACTCGCACCTCCCTGCATCTACAATGTACATTGCCTACATCTTCCTCTCAACAGATCTTTGGATTCATTTCATTTGCGTCAAAGTACCTAGGAAATTGTAACCCTTTTTTTTTAAATGTAAAACTAGCACATTTCAGCTCTCCATTTGCAAAGATAAATTATAAATAGATCTTGAATTTTGAATGTTTAATGTTGATTTCTTTTCATGCCTTAATACTTCATTAGATCCTTCTTTCTCTCTTTATTTATTATTTCCTCCTAAAGTATGCCATCTGTACGGCAACCCTAAAACTCAAACCTTATACTTTTGATAAAATAAAGCTCGGAGCAGTTGTCGTTGGAGAAATTGTTTGAGCACTACTATGTGCAAACTATTAGAGTGAATACCTCGATCCTTCCTCACAACACTCACAGATACACAAGCACATGAATGGATTCTGAAGAATGCATGAATGTTTGCAGTCAAAGTAGAATGAATCCATTCTTTCAAGAGTGGTCAAAATCCAGTCAATTTCCATGGTAAACAGACAGGGTACACTTTCTTTCATTTTATCCTAAATCTGAAGCCCAACAAGTATGTTGACGGAGTGAATTAGTTGCTACTACTACTAGCCTTTGAGGACACTCAGTACAATTTAAATTTAAATTTGGCCATGCAAGAAAATGGCACTCAATCACCCCCTCCTCAACTCCATTCAATGGGAGCACTTCTATTCTTTGGTTCTGAAAACCTGTCCTGACTTTCCACAGAGTAAATGCATATGTACATACTGTACCTCCATGTATATTGTCAAGTATTTGCATTTTACAAGTATGTGGTAAAGAAAATTGGATGAAACATTTAACAACATTCATTGAGCAACTAAATAATGCAAGTTTTACTTGGATGCATGCTGTTCCATGCAGTTTCAATAGAAACTGAAGGGGCAACCTAAATAATAACTACCGTAGAAACCTTTCATTATGAAGGACAGTGGTATCGTAAACAGACAGTAAAGTGGCAATTTAATTGTTTAGTATAAATACAAACTAAAAATTCAATAAACAACAGATGGAGCATTCTCTTTTATACAAGTATTGTTGTATTAACAATATTAAACAACAAAATAACTGATTTCATACAGCCTTTCATTATTTTCAAAGTGAATGTCCTATCAAACTGGAGTGAAATTCAACCTCTGTATAATTGAATAGGAATGATTTTGACAATGATTTATTCCTGATGATATTCTAGATGATAGTACCGGTATATATACATCCTCAGATTTTATTGAATAATAATTTGTGAGTTTTTGTTTTGTGTCACTGCCTAAGCAAGTGTGTGCTACTATGCTAATCAACTAGGGGACCTATGGTACGTCCTTAAGTCATAACTGACAGTAATGAGGATTTAAGCCTCACAAAAGGGCACTATTAATTATAGCACATCGACACAGTTTTTATCATGGGGCCTCATAGTTTCGAGGCCATTGTTTTGCCTTTGAATCATGACTATACGCAGCGGGGGCTAGGGTAGGAGGCAGCCCCAACAAATATAGAGCCCCCCTTTTGTCGCCACTAAATATTTTTGTTATGAAAAAAAAGAATAGTGCTCACTGTTTTCCTGACATCTTGCTTCATTTTTTATACTAGAGATGTGCTTCAGACAGCATTCTGGCAATATACTTTGGATGTATGAGAAGTATATTAATATGTCTACAAGGCTCCCAAGTAAATTGTCTGATTTGATCACCATTGTTCTCCAGGTGGATTCCAAAGAGCTGACAGTGTTTCCAGGGTAGTGTGTTCTTCTCTAGATGGTACATTTGTCCATGGAAAGAATTCCTTGGAGCTTGTGGAACATTACACCTACTTGATAATTTATTCATCTGGTCAGTCAAAATGTACTCATCCATCTTCTTAGTCTATAAAGAACCTAAACTTTTGGCTTTAATGCAAATAGGCTTTGTGTATGGATTACAAGTTTATGAACAAGGACAATGGATATTGTTTGGTTTGAAAACTTTTGTTTTCCTGGTGGATTCCAAAGAGCTGACAGTGTTTCCAGGGGAGGATGTTCTCTTCTCTCGATGATCCAGAGGTTTAACAGTTTACATAGCAATAACTTCTTGTAAACCATGTTGACCTTTAGACTAAGGCCTACTTGATAATTTATTCATCAGGGATGCCAGTTTTCAGGCAATAGCCTGAATTCATGCCCTGGCGAGTTATTTTCAGACCATAGGTTAGGCTTTTTTGTGTACAAATAGCTCATTCTAGATGATTTTCAGGCCCTCTGATCAATTCTAACTGGCATCCTTGATTCATCTGTTTTGACAAAGATTTTCTCTTCATTCTAGGCTCCAAATGACTGAAGCTTTTGGCTTTGCATATATGCCTTTGGGATGGCCACTTTTGTTTGTCGGGTGAATTCAAAGGAATTCTAGCTGTCTCCTGTGTTGGTTGTTTTTTCCCTCTACATTTAAATGTGCTTTATCTCTAATGGAGGTACCATTAAAGTCATGGAGGCATATGAACCTACATAGCATATAAAGGTTCTGCTAATTCAGCTACTTTATTTATTCAAATGTATTTAGGTTTATCTTTACAAATGAATTCCATTCTCTTCTAGTAGGTACAAATATGTAAGTAGCATATGTGGCTCGGAGAGAGAGAGAGAGAGAGGGGGGGGGGGTGCACCACCCCTTTGCCCCTGGATACACTACTGTACCCCTTGATATCATGATGTTAATACATTGACCTTTTCCTTTTTCTATTTGCCTTCAATAGATCCAGTTGGTAAATTAGATCACATTTGGTAGTTTTTGTAGGCATTCATGTCATGTAATGTAGTGTAAATAATAATCTTCTGTTCACAGGACCTCTTTTAAGATTTGTGCAATTTTCTCAATATGATATTGAAGTATTTTATTGTATTCTACCAGAGCACTTTTAGAGCTTTCACTCACCACTCCTATGTATTTCTTTCGCTGATGTAATGAGATCAGAAGTGAGTCCTTATACACAAGCCACATCAAAACTGACTCCAAATTGTGAGACAATTGACAAAGTTTGGGGCGTTCAGGGTGATGTATTTTTAAATCGGTTTATTGTCCTTTAGCTGGTGTTGGTCATGGTTGGTTAATGGGACATCACAAAGCAGATTATGTGGATTTAGATCTTATCCTCGATCTCATGAAAAAATCCTTCTTATGTGGCGTTAATATTTTAATACCTGGCTCATCACCATGCAGAGGTGAAGTATCTAAATATAGCCTCCTTTTTAAATCACTGAGGCATTTTGTAGATTCTATTCTTGAGGCAGACCGCAGACAGCTTTCACAGAGTCCTCATAAGATGAAGAGGTAGGGATTGGTTAACTGTTCAAGTACAATCGTACAAGATTACACTAATACTTGGTAAGTGGTATTGAGGTACCGGTTTATTCATTCCAATATTATCTGCTAAAAGCCTCAACGAAGTTGATGGCACATTTTATAAGTTGCTGCAGGACGCAAGACTCATCGAGTCATATGTGCCTCTTTCGGACATATGGATGCCCCAAATCTTTGTCCAGACCCCCCAAAAATTCTGCATTTTAACATGGAGCTTATGTATTATACAGACCCCCCCCCCCAAAAAAAAAAAAAAATGAATCTGGACACTACAGTGAAGGGAGGGTTGCTGAATAAATAAATACAGAACAACAGGGAATGCTGCAGCTTCTCTAGCACCCCCCCCCCCCTTTTCGCCTTCCAGAGCAGTACTGCAGAGTTCTGCCCTCAAAGTACTAATCCACACCATTAAAGCTTTTCAACAGGCTCTGTGACTTTCTCAACAATATAAAGGATATAATGTCATTTTCTTTTTTTAGAAGTGGCTGGAGAAGTGTCAACATTGTCTTTTTCTTTCATGTTTACTTGAGAAGACCATATAGTGCTAGCTTGAGAAAACCGAAGGAAAAAATAAACAGTTTCGAGGGCACAAGTCTACTGAATCTGGCTTCCCTTCTTTTTTGTTGTTGGGGGGAGGGGGGGGGGCAATGGCAGTATAGACCTTCACAATAGCAATGTGTTGACACGCAACTATTTTTTAAAACGAATATACTTTGCTCTTCAAATTAAATGAAGACAAATAGTATATTCAAAGTTAATTTACTTTACTTGATAAATCAGTATTGTTGCATGCTTGATCTATGAATGACAGAAGCAGAAAAAGTCAGATATTGTTAAAAAAAAGTAGTAAAAGAGAGAGAGAGAGAGAGTGTGATTGATACATGTAGATAGAAACAAGACATTGTTTTACAGAAAAATAGCCAAATTGCAAGGGTCCTAATCCATACAAAGCGTCTTCCTGTCTATAAATGCAAAAGGATATTTGTCTTTCTCATTCATTCTGCTTTATTAAATGTTTGTTTCTTTTGTCCAGGTGTACAGGAAAACGTTAGGAAGTATCGTCGGGTTCAAAATGTTTTCTGATGCTTTCCTGCTCTCACTCACCAGAAAGGTAAGTTCAATGGACTATTCACCCTACCGTAAATACAATGTTCGACTGTAGATGGCGACCTTCCTCCCACGCTGCGCAGGTCAGCACACGTACCGATACGGTACTGGGGAAGAGGATAAGCTAAAGTTTCTTTCGTCTTCCATAGAGAATGAACAGCAGTGTTTAACTAATTCCTTATCTAAATAAATTATTGTTCAGGTTTCATGAACTCCCCCGACGATTTAGTGGCATCTATTAAAGTAGGCACCATCATAATTTGTTACTTATACTTTATTGGTTCCAAAACTATAATTCCTATCGGATTTCCAGTTTTTGATTCATTGTATTTGTATGGGAACTGAAAGTGCCTTCGTAAAATATACCCATACCCTGTGCTGCCCTCTATGGCCAAATATTGTAGTTGCGGTACCCAAATTTGTGTCCACTCCATCTTTAACTTAGGCAAAACTATATAAGATATCATGAATTAAAGTGCTTTTTGGTAGCTACTAGATAATTGTTTTATAACCCAGCCACACCAATGAGACCGAAACCAGACCGACAACAAACAGGACAGGAAATTACATTATCTTGAGTGGCTGAGAAGAAGTTGGTTTAGAGTCACTCCGTAGTTGGTTCTGAGGTGTGACTGAGGCACCAATGGATAACTGCAGATTTCTTGACATATTACATGTACGTTGTAGCTAGAGATCCACTTTCACTTTTTGATTATTTGCATTTTTCTCTCTCTGTGTATCGGTAACCATTAATTCTTTGTATTTGTAAACAACCACTAGAAAAAACAAATAAAAGAATAAAGAATAAAACAAAATCACATATTGATTGGAAAAAAATATTAAAGATAAAGGTGAGTTCTGGTCATCCGATTGCATTGTGAAAGAAAAGGTGTGGAATGGATCAGAAAAAGTTGATCATGTAGCGTGTAAGTATTGGTGTTTATACTGCAAAGTTCTGGAGTCGTCAAAATCATAATAAATTTGGCCCATTCTTGGTAAAGTAACAATCACTGTACACAGAAAGATGTAGTATATGGGACTACCTAAATGGTGTCGGGGCTACTAACCTTGATTTCCTAATCTTTCTATGCTCATTACTCAGCCAGTATACATTTTCTACCAAAATTGTTTTGCAAATGACATTTATTTGTAATCTTGAACATTCAGTGTAATTTTCGTTTGATTCTGTGAGAATTCATTTTCTTTTTTTTTTTACCAGAACTCACTTTTATCTTTAATTTATAGGTAAAAAATATGCTGTTTCGATATGAATTTTAAAAAGTTATTTTACAATTTCAATTTGCTAGGTCAGAGTGCCGGATGTGGAGTTTTTTATCAACCTCGGAGATTGGCCTTTAGAGAAGAGAGACCCAGAAGATGAACCGCTCCCTATCCTGTCCTGGTGTGGCTCCACAGATACAAGAGACATCGTTCTACCCACCTATGATATCACAGAATCAACGTTAGAAACTATGGGAAGGTATGTATCCCTCAACAGATATAGGGTGTTTCACAAAGACTAAGATTGACTTTCAATTCAAATCAATTTCAATTTATTCATGTTTCCAACAAAACATTACAATTCAATTATAAGCATTTAAAATAAATGTAAGAAATACATGTTGGAAACAGAGGGGTCCACTAAAAATCAATGCTTGTGCAAGTGTGAACACCTCAAATGATACTTAGGAATATTGAGTAATTAAATGAACTAATCCGTAACTACAAAAAGAACTACAAAATAGGGGAAGGAAAAAAGGGGATGCCAACAGACACGAGAAAGGGACAAGACAATGCCTTACACGACAAAGATAGAAGACCTTAAGTTGGACTTGACTATGGCGAGCTGTTCATGCCACTGGTGGCTCTCACCATTATGATCTTTAGATAATATTTTTTCCTTCAATCATGAATTATCAAAAAATATAAATTCTGTAGATTTGTGACCACGATTTATCCGTCCCTTCAGAGACCAGTAAATGGTAAGAGCAAACAGTGGCATAAATGGCCTGCCAACTTAAGTCGATCTTAGTCTTTGTGAAACACTTCCCTGGTAACATGCATGCATGTTCATCTGTAGGGAAGTGTTTTTATTTTGCTAGAGTAGAATTATAAGATCCAAATATGAGAGTTATATGGTTACACATGTACTCAGGATGTTATCATTTAATTTTGATGAAATTGAATGCCAAGTTAATGCCAACTCACATTTGCACTTCATAAACAAATGTGCTGGTGCCAATGAACGTCTTGCTTTAATCAGAACACTTATCAGTTCTTGCAGATTTTATTGAAGTTATCGGTAATCATACCCAGTGAAACAGTGTGCATCTGGCTCTCTGATTTTGTTTAGGTAAAGGGGTAGTCTACCCAGATATTAAGTTGAAAGTTTGGGGAAAGTCCAATTAAAAATAAGAAAGTCATGAATTTTTGAAGTTGTGATCAACCAAACACCGATTGGCAACTTTGGGACGTATCTTTGGAGTTCCCCTCCCGTTTGCTCTGTACTAAAGTATTCAGAAGTTTTTTAGTCATACGTTCAAGCTAAATATCGTTATTGCAGGTTTATTACGGTAAGTGTTTCTAGTACAATGGCAAAGGAAGGAGATTACACAAGATTACCTCACAGAGTTGATGATTTGTGTTTGCACCTTTTGCTCAAACTTTCACTTACCTGTTTCTCTTATTTGTATGCTTCTATTAAAGCCCCTCTGCACTAGTTTGGCCAGGAGGAATTAGACCTCTTACCATGGTCACTGACAGGTTGTTATCTCATCAAATCAGCTCTCACTTAACATAAAAAAAGGGGATCATGGGGGACCAATGGTCACCTATTAAACATTTTTTGCTATATAGAGGGCGCAAGAAGCTGTAAGTAGTGCAGTGGGGCTTTAAATCCATGTTAATATCAGAATGGACTTCTCCTTTAATATTCTTAGGCGGGATTTTCCGCCCACAGCACAGAAATGGATAAGGGTCTGAATAAGATTAGCTCAAGCTGAAGAGTCCTTCAATAATTATGCTGCGGCAAATTGGCAATCCTCCCGAGAAAAAGTCAACCTTTTAAACCTTGATGACAGGATTTTGGCAAGAGTGCAAATGCACTTTTCATCATGTTTTGAGCGATCTAATCATTGACCATGCATTCCAAATTCGTCTGTAGTCTTGAGGGTGCAGTTCAGTGTTAAATGTAGCAAGCTCAAGAGTCTGAAATACCTGAAGACATCGTGTCTTTACGAATCTCTGCAGTTGTGTACTTTTGTATTGTATGTTTAGAGCCTGAAGGGATTACACGATATGAGTTAACATTGTTCTGGCTCCCAACAGATAATTTATGAAAGGGTAATCCAACATTTGAAACAAGTTGAATTATATACAGTAGGCTTGGGGGTGCACCATGTGAGAGAGAGAGAGAGAGAGGATTGAGGAGTCCTGAAAATGTAAAAGTTGAATTATGTAAAAGCAGAAAATTGAGAAAAAGGGAAAATGGTGAAAGTTTGAAAGAATTTTGTCTAGGGAGAGTTAAAGGAAGATCCAATGACCTTAACAGCAAACAACTGTAAAAGAAAAAAGGAAAAATCAGAAGCATGTTGGTGAAAGTTTAAACAAAATTGGACAAAAATAAGAAAGTCATAATCACCGTAAGTAGTAACCTATGGAAACTTCAAATTGGCTTCATCAGTAATATCAATGGGATGTATTGCCAGACATTTTCCCAATCGTCCAATACACAAATGACTCAGGAACGTCTTTATCTTTTAGAGGACAGATAACAATATACTATAATAATATATTCCTCTATCCTCTTATGGAACAAAATATAGATTGAAAAATACATTCAGAGTTGAGGATTGTACAATTGTTGTTGTTTTAATCCCTATTTTTTTTTGCTATTTTTCGACTATTTTAATATGACTAGGGATGTCATCATGACCAATAATGAAATACTACACAATACTTGTATGCTTGTACCGATTATTTCAAAGAAGAAAATGTATAAAAAGCCATGCTTGTTATCGTGACAAGCATGTACCACACAATACATCTAAGACATACTGATTATTTGAAGAAGCCAAACATTATGTCAATATTAACTCAACATAATGTCTCCATGATAGAGCCAATATTTGTAGATGCTTAAAGCTTGCCATTATTATGTTTACCTTACAATACATCAGACCCTCAAAGGGACTGGGTATCTTTGTCTCAGATTCTGAAACAAAATCATGGATTTAGCTCATGCTGCAATGATAATTATAAACCTGTAGGTCAGTCAGGAACCCCCATGACTTTTACAAGCTGATCACCGGTCTGATTATCAAGATATTTAAGATTGGAAATCAAAATTTTCAAAAACTTTTTTTTAACGGTTTTTATAACACTACTGTCTACCTATTGGGGGAAACAAGTATGGTAAAACCAGTCACTCAAAGATTTTTTTCTTTTTTTGAGGCACTTCATGGTCATTTGAATGCAATTTATTTAGGGCTTCAATATTACACCATATCACAGACACTAATAACATATAGAGTCATGCATCTCAGAGTTAACATTGCTAAACGATGCCTTTAACTTGCAATGTGAAGATGTCAATATTGGCACTTTGGTACGATGGTTATATAGATAGCCTCGTCTTTTCATCCCAATTTTCAAAGGCTCCTATTGGAGGTTATTCTGGAATAAATGAGAGTAAGAAATAAAGTCTTCTAGCAAGACTAAAATTTGTCAAGTTGTAGCCAATTTGAGGGAGCTGCGTTCCAACCCGTTTCCTTCCTGTGCCAGAATCAGACAAAGTGGAAGTTATTTGCGCCATTCCGCTTCCTCACCAGTCACTGAAGTCTCAGTCTTTGGGGTAAATCTTAAAGGGAAGGAACAGCTTACTTGCAATATTTATCCCCCAAAGAAACACTGCAATAAGTAGAAAAAACCTAGAAAATATACATTGTACATATAGGTGAAGTCTCAAACAGCTGAATTTGGTAGAATATGCTTTAATTTTTTTAACTGTATGTGATCATGTCATCCATAAGAAGTATGTGATTATTGGGAATGGATTTATACTAGAGAGCTATTGTGATGAATGAAGGAAAAAGAAAAATCAATACAGTATGGTATCTAAAAATTGATAAAAGGGGCAGGGTCTTGGGATGCAGAATCCTTCCATGGGGGTTGTTGTTGGGTTTATCGGTGCTATCCATCGATTCTGATGATTTCCGCCAGGCTGTGCGTGAGGGCGTCTTGCTCTCACTTCTGCTGCTCTAAGTTTTTGTGATTCTAATACTTGCCCGGTGTGTGAGGTAAAGATTTATCTTGACCTTTGTTATTGGTGTAGTGCAAGGTTATAGAGGATTAATGTGCTCGTTACTCATTATTTGTTAGTCATTTAATGTTAGAACTGGTTGGAACTAATAATTTATCTTGGGCAGCCCCATATTCTGTGGAGCCATTGCAGTGTATCGATATACCAACACTGAATCTTCATCCAGTGCTGCATATGCTTTTGTAAATGTCTCTTTTTAGTAAAATCCCTTACATGTATGTCTATTGAACATAATGAAGAGAATCTGCATGTAGATGCTTTACACACAGGCAATTTGTTTAAGATAAACATGTTACTCAATCAAAACTTGCTTGAAGATGAAACCACTATCTTGATTTAGTTGTTTGTTCATTGGTACCATATAGAATCTTGTACAAGCACTGGAGAGTTATTTACTGCTGTGAAAGAAAAAACATAAACCTGGTTAAATTTGCCTCTGAAATTCTAAAAGTGCAACCGGAAATGAAAAGAGCCCTTGTGAAAAGTGAAACAATTTAAATCAGTGACATAGTGAATCAATTTTCAATCTCTGAGCACTATAGAGTAGATAGAGGAGTGCATTTTAGCTTGATAGTTATCTTCCAAAACATAATCTCATGTTTGTACTGTGCCATAGTAAGTCAGTATGAAACCATGAAGCTGTTTCATAGCTACATCACTTTTTGTTTGTACTGGTTAAAAAGGAGCCGTTTCCTGGGCCTGTGGTATGCAGTCTTTGGGATTCGTTCTCACTGATCAGAAAGAAAAGAGAAAGAAAAAAAACAGAAGCCATAAAAAAGTGAAACGTCCAAAAATTTTCCTGTCTTGGATTGTCCGATATTTGCTTTAGTCTTTTTAAACAACGGGCAATACAAACATTGACAAAGAAGGATGGGCCTTAATGGTTCTTGTGTATTAGTAAATGAGTGTGAATCCTCAATAGTAAAGGAATTAGAGGGAGGGAGGGAGGGAGGGAGGGAGACAGACAGAGAGACAGAGAGACAGAGAGAGAGAGGGGGAAGGGGAGAGAGAGAGAGAGAGAGAGAGAGAGAGACCCAAAAGGGGTATTCTATGCATCTTGCATGATACAAGTTTACTTTCTGGCAGCCAATCACAACCTGTCAACTTGCTGTCAAGGTTCAATAGATGTTTAAACTGAACATTTAAACATCTAAATATGACCCCTAATGGTTTTGACCTTTGATCCTTGACCCCTATATAACATATGGCACTATTATGAACGCTATCAAGTGCATGATATCTCAGTCATGCCAAATAGACTTCAAACTCGCTGATAATCAACAAAGTCAGTGTCGATTAATGTTTACTTTTAGGCATCCAATCACAACCTGTTTTGTTATTTTGAGTACTTTGTTCTTTTAGCTTCTGCTTATAGTGTCTTATTTCAGATTTCTGTTCGTTCTTGCGAGTCACTCTGATAAGTGCAAGATGAAAAACTGTAGTATGTCTGTATTCCTTGTTATATTATTCTTCCAATCTTGTAGTACCAATCTCTCTATTTTGTTTCCTATTGTTTGTCCGGGACCCGTTTCACAAAGCCTCTTTTTCAATGACAAATGACAAAAATCAGTGACAAATCCGCTGATAACCAATCAGAAGCAAGGATTTCACTAGCTTGTAACAAAAACTGTCATTTGTCACTGATGACAAGTTTTGTGAAATGGGGCCCTGAGGGGGGAGGGGGGGGGGGTGGTGTTTCACAAAGATCTTAAGTTGGACTTAAAAACTATGGAAAGCCGTTAGCATCCATGAAAATGTTTTGTAAAACTTGTTTTAAAGGCATAAAATGATGATTCAAATTATTCATGATTTTTATTTTAAGGATATTTAGGGTCTTGAATATTTGAATTTTCATCATTGAATATATATTTCTCATTGATGTGACTGGGGTATCACCAGGCGCGTAGCCAGGGGGGGGGGGCTGAATTAATTCAGACAAGGATTAAGAGTTGAGAACGGTAGTTCGAGTCGTCTTCTTACTCTAATAATATGATGAAAATTCAAAGTTTCCGTGCTTTGCGCTGGAGGGTAAACTGAATTCAGATAAGGATTTAGAGTCGAAAACGGTACATCGAATCGTCTTCTTTCAAAGCTTTCGCGCGGAAGGGGGGAAACTCCCTGCACCCACCCCCCTAGGGAGCGCGCAAAGTGATTCACATGCTTCGCGTCCTCACTACCGCCCCCCTCCCTAAATTGAAATTCTGGCTATGCGCTTGATTTATCCACTTCTAAACTGTCTCATTATTTCAACAGGGTATCCCTTGACATGATGTCAGTACAAGCCAACACGGGACCCAAGTGGGAGAACAAGACGGAAAAAGCTTTCTGGAGGGGGCGGGACAGTCGACGTGAGAGGCTGAACCTCGTCAAGCTGTCCCGAAGACGACCAGAACTCCTGGATGCTGCCCTCACTAATTTCTTCTTCTTCAGGAACGAGGAGGCGGAGTACGGTCCCAAGGTCAAACACGTGTCCTTCTACGACTTCTTTAACGTAAGTTTATCTGGGAGTTTGGGAGATTAAGGAATTGTTGGGGTAGTGTTTTAGTTCAATTTTGAGAGGATCACATGTAAACTTAAATTTGAGGAGGCAGTTTTAAACTTCAAGGTTTATCTTCTAGTTACTGACCATGCGGTTGCACTCATGGTTATAGAACTATATAGTTTACTGACTTTACTCTACTTTACTACTTTACTACTCTACTTTACTTTACTTAAGTTATAAACCACTAGCGATCTTATAGTGAGTGTGATCTGGTGGTGGGTGGGGGGGGGGGGGGGTCCTAACTCGAACTTGCCGTTCAAACGCAAGTAGCTTTGGGGGTTATGTCGGTTTGTAGTTTAAATACCTGCTTACCTGCTTTGTACTTTCAACATGTGGATACTTGTTGTCTTGGTCCTATGTGAACCGATGTGTCTGGAAGTGGATGTTTGTTAATAACTTTTAGGATTGCAAACTTAAAGTTTAAAAACTGCGACAGTCCTGTTTGAAAATACCTATTGTGAAATTGAATGTGACAATAGCCATTCTGGGAAGGTGGACTATCTGTCATGATGTGAACTCCCTTCTTTTTTCTGATTCTTATACAGAAAGTAAAATTGCAGACTTAATGGTACTTTTATTAGCTATGGCAGCATGCTTGAGTACTATATATTCACATAAAAGTGTAAAAGGATTACACTTTATTTTTCAGGTCATCATTTCGATTCACAAATATAGAATCACATGGGTCTGCTATTATGCTATGACATAATCTATAATCCCTGATATGTGGGAGTATAATCCTGGCTGAATGGCATTAATGTATACTGCTGACTCCAATAATTGCTTTAGAAATTCATTTAAGTGCCTAATAAAGTGGTGTTTGCTTTTGAAGAGTTATTGTCATGGTATTAAGGTTTATTGCTTAGGGATTAGAAATGCAGTCCAAAACATATCCTCATTTATGACCATTCACCTGTGTCATGTTTTGTGAAAGTTCCTTGAGACATAACACTGTAGACACCCATTATTTGTTTGATGGGTGTATTATCAGTTCAGTTCAATTCATTTTATTCAAAACCACACAAAGCATGATATAATCTGTTTCATAAAAAAGAGAATGGTAATAGTACATCAATCAACATATTCTAACTTGATTACCGGTGCATCATAAACTGAATGGTTTTAGGACCCCTTTAGAAGCTAAGCTTGTGAGCAGGGCCCTAGTCAACAAAATACATACATCAAGAGTTTCCAGGCGATAAGTTCAACAAGTTTGTATCCAAAGTTCAATGATTCTTTCAAAAGCTACCATATGTATGTTGACAATATTATAAATAAAAATAATAGTCTTCATATGAGGTGCTTCTTGAGGCATATTTTTCCTAAAACCCAATGGCAAAAAGAGATGGCCCCATTTTTCGTTTCCAAACACACAACCCCCATCATACTCCCGCTGCAATTGCTATGGATAGAGAAACAACATTCAGTGCAGAGACTCCACCCCAGCCAGCCTCAGCGGATCTAGAAGTCTAGACTGAGTGCAGAGTGAACTAATACTGATAATAATAATAATAATAATATTTAGGTTTTATTTAGCGCTTAAAACAAATGTCTCTAAGCGCTTTACAAATATACTATTACCCCGGTCATTGGATTCAGTGCTTGCCCGCACACACCATTGATACCATTGATATTTAAGCTTTTTCATTTTTTTCTATTACCTCATCAAATGTGATGATCATAATTATTTAAAACAAAACAATATATAAAGCTAGATCAGCTAGCAAGTAATTTGCAACTTCACTGGTATTCCAGGAATAGAGAGTAGGGATCGACACTGAACTTTCGAGATATCTATTAGAAGTCTAGAAAAGTCTTTTTTATGACCATATTGATTTTTAGACCAAATGAAATTAGTTCCAAGTTTCTCATCCCCTCCTTCCCTTTTTTTGTGCCAATCTCAATTTTTTGTTTGTTTTATATTCTTGCTCAGAGAGCCAGGAAGTAAATAAGAATCCTAGGATATCTAGACAATAGACGTAATAAAATTCCTTTTAATATATTTCAATGTGAGTTTTCCATGTTTTGAGCTTCTGTAGAGCATGTACCGGTACAATTTAATTGAATACCGTACTGTATGTGTGTAACGGTAACATTTTTTATATTTTTTAAATGGACTCAATATTATATCTACCGGTATATAGAAAAAGATATCAAATAACTTGGAACCTCCTCCTCATCATAAAATAAAAATCTGGGATGTGAAACTGTGAATCGATTTTACATGGCTTTAGCTTAATGATTGAGTGATGGTAAGTGTTCCTTGCCTAGCAAAAGAATGTTATATCTTGGAAGGCTGATTGTGATGTAATATATAACCCATTGTCTACAGGGAACCGGGTGGTCACTGTGTTTAGTCTATGGGAATGAGGTAATTTAGAAGTCAAAAGGGTTAAGAAATATAATATCATTATTGTCACTCAGTGACTGACTGAAAATATGTACAATTGGGAAGCATGAGGTTTGTGTACTTTGTGAGAATTTGAATCCATGTTTATTTTCGGTGGCAGGTGATTCGACTGGAGTATTTATTTTGGTGACAGATCAGATGACATACTAGAAGGATTTACTTGAATTAAAGGACCAAATTCTGAAAAAGTAGAAATAACCTGTTCTTGCCTATCTTAACCATGTCACATTTTTTTCAATGCAAGGACAAGAAAACATAAAGAAAAGGAGAAGGAAGGAAGATAAGTTTTTGATACTGATTTCACACTAGCAATATTTTGCTTAACCCCGTACTATAGGTGGGGTTCAAGGGTATCTTAACCCCACCTATAGTCCGGGTTAAGCTTATTCCACTTTCTTTTCACACTGGCAAAATGTTGCTTAACCCCGTACTATAGGTGGGGTTAAAGGGGGGGGGGGTTTAGCCCCACCTATAGTACGGGGTTAAGCTTATTCCACTTTCTTTTCACACTGGCAAAAATTTGCTTAACCCTGTACTATAGGTGGGGTTAAAGGGGGGTCTTAGCCCTACCTATAGTCCGGGGTTAAGCCTATTCCACTTTCTGTTCAGACTCGTATTTACCAAAGTGGGTTAACCCCACCGATAGTACGGGGTTAACTAAACCTGCAAAATAGCAGGGCTAACCTCGCAAATGTGGTGCTTGACTTACTTGACTTAAATGCTCAGGACGGAGTGTCCCCTTGCGCTCCTATGGGTGGTCTGCCTCCATTGATTTCTGTCCTGGGCTTGGAGTTGGGCAGCCTCCAGGCTTAATCGAGAGTCTTGGCGGATTTGGTCTTTCCACCTCAAGGGAGGACGTCCTGGTGGCCGTGGCACAGTAAAGTCATTGGTGTGGACTTGTATTGGTAGGCGTTCCTGTGGCATACGTACCACATGTCCAAACCATTTCAGGCGGCGGTGCTAATGTGGTACTAACTCCTGCTAACTCCGCAATTGTAGTGCCAAGCAAATGAATGAGAACAGAACAAAAAATAGTCCGGGACTACGCAGTGAAGGGAATTAATTAATTCTATGGCCATGGCTAGTAGTACGGGGCTAAGGAATTGCAGTGAGAAAAGCCAAAAAAAATAGTCCGGGGTTAAGGGTAGTATGGAGCTAAGCAAAGTACGGGGCTATATAAGCAAAACAAGTGTGAAAAGAGTATGACTGATACTTGTCTGCATCATATGCTGAGAGCAAGATAACATAACTCTTTAATTTGCATATTGTTAGCATCCTTCTGCCTCTCAGGCGCAGTCTCAGCAGAAAACTCTAAAAGGGAAGCATAGCTTTGAATTTACAGGAAAAAGGGGTGTATGCAATCTTATTAATTAAAAGCATGTAATGGATTTACACCCCCAAAAGTATTTTAACAAAAGAAATCAGATTACTCTAGGACAGAGATAAGATTGATGATTAGACTGAAATGAAAATGTCTAATTCAGTTTATAGAATACCTCAAGAAAGAGTATCTCTCTGCAGTTACATGTAGGTTACATTTACTGTTGAATGAAAAACATTCTGTAGAAAAATAAATTAGTTTAATTAAAAACTCATTAGGAATCTATAATTAGAAGGTTGACGGCTCATTACATCTAGTTCTTTGGGTTCATGGCTCCACTACCGCATTTTCCTATTCTTAGTCTTACAGGTTCATTAGCCCCAAAATGAAATCTGATTATTATTATACTACATGTTAATGAGTAATAAACTTAAATACAATGTACGTCATAATTTTAAGGATGAATGACTGCTCAGAAACCAGAAAGTTAAAAAAAAACTGGCTTGCATGAAACCTTCATGACAAATTTTGCGAATGGTCCAAATGGGATGACATGCACAAGTCACCATAATTTGAGTTTTCTCTTGTACGCAGAAAACCTAAATTTTGTATTCTTTCATCAATATTCGACTTCAAACACATTTGTTTTGACAATCCTTGCAGAAATGTGTCTTAAATTACATCCTCTTTCGCATTGTGATACATTTTACGTGAAATTTTGCCAACAAATTTTTGGGGCTCCCAACACTTTAGAAGGGCTTTAGTACAATAAATAGGTTTATGCACATGTAGTGCAGAGCTTTGTATATATTATAGACCAACTTCCTTCATATGTATAAAAGGGTGACAAATGATTCAAAATTTTACCCCCCCCCCCCACCAATATAACATACAAATAAATAAAGACATGGGAAATGAGCGCCTAAATTTTGATTCATAAATCACAAACTTTCTTGAGTCACATACAGAAAGTCATCATGCAGAAACAGACCTTCATAAAAAATCAGGGATGGAGTGAAATTTGTGTCTATTATTGTGAACCAGGTGACCGAGACAATGATTGATTGTCCAGATTAGTAAGGGCAGGTCATTTGGTTCAAGTTTTCCCAGTATGTCAATCCTAATAGCTCCGATGTGTAGGCTGTGTTCATGAAAAAGATTGAAGTTTGAATCAGGAACATGAAACACTGACCCAAATTGTGAATATGAAGTTCATTTCGCAGTAGCATTATCAGAAGATAAATATCCACACTCACCTTTGCCAGGTGATAGTCTGTTTTGCAGACTGTCATGTTTTGGGCTCCAACATGTTAATATGCAGCTGTTACCGTCAGTCTATCTTCAAAATATTGCAGTTCCAACTTTGTATTTAAGATTTGTGATTACAAATGAAGTTGAGTTTGGCAAAACTATGCTATCAAAAAATGCACCTTTTCTTTGTTTTAGATCAGCGATCTTTCAATATCTTATGACCAGCAAAAAATATCTTGTGAACAGCAAATGTGTTTTAAACTCTTGGTAAAATTTGTCTAATACTGCTTACAAACTGGCTTCTATCGGAGTCACACCGACGAAAATACCGATTGAATTTTCCTTATGTAAACATAGGTGAAACCGCAGTTTTCCCCTGTCGCTTTCTAACTGCCGATGAAATTCTCTCGCTGTGGCGAACCCATGCCGGAAGTGAAGAATTATTGCGTAATTATTAAGCCCGCGCTTCATCTAGCTAGCATGCAGCATGTTCAACCATAAGTCAACAAACAAAGCTGGTTACGATAATGTGTGTATACACTTTGACCTTTGACCATTTTAATCACTGTTTTTATTGCCTTTTTCTCCCGACGCTTTCATACTGGCCGTTTCATCGGTGTCACACCGATAGAATGAGAATTTAATCGCCTATTTCTCTTCTTTTCATCGGCTATTTAATCGCCTTTTTCTCCTCTGTTGCTTTCATACTGGCCGTTTCATCGGAGGATGCATCCGATGAAAATCAGTGCAGTTAGAAAAGGGTATAAGCTGGGTATAATTCTGGGGTGGTAAAAAAAAGTTGTTTGTGAATGCAGCCATGGAGAACAAGGGTGGAAGTGTTTTAGACTGTAATATATCAGAGGTTTGACCTCTATGACCTTTCAAGGAAGAGTCGTCTCCTGAAATTTTTTCCCCTTTCCCTGGACAGAACTGACTCACAGCTAGTGCCTGTGTCGTAGGCGATTGGATGTGGGAGTAATATGTTCAAAAGAAACATTAGCAGTACTTCTTTAATTCTAGGCTTGCTTGGACTTTCTTGCTGAAATATTGAATTGAGTTTTCCTTGCTAATTAATGTTTAAAAAAAAAAAGAAAGAGATGGATGAGTACTGAAATCACATGCCACACCCAAAGAAAGAGAGAAAAAAAGTAAAGAAAGAAAGGAAGGAATAAGAAACAAACAATGAGAGAGGGGAGAGATAAGACACAAATCTACAAGTGTGATGCTTGCTCTTTTCCCAAAGAAATCCTTGTTAAAGCCCTTCTGTACTACTTTACAGAAGGGATTAAACCCCCCTGCAAGTTTACTGACAGGTGGTTATCTCATCAAATCAGCTCTCAATTAACATAAGAAAAAGAGGATCATGGGGGACCAATGGTCACCGATTAGGGATTGTTTGCAATATAGAGGGCACAAGTAGCTATACATAGTGCAGTGGGGCTTTAATACTCCAGATCACCTCCTATCTTCTTGTTTGCATGCAGGACTTGCAAGGTTGCATGTACAGATGATAAGCAGATGGTAGTTGATGTGGTGTAGAAAGAGTTACAAAAATATGCCATCAATAAAATGGGGTTAAGTGTTTGACCCCTATGACCCCTGTAAGGTCATCTCGGAAGTGCCTCTTTGAAGCGGACCTGTTTGGTTGTGACATATTTATTTCTCTTCTACACATTTATTGAAGGGTATACTAAATAATTGTTGCGGTCGTGTTAATAATGAAGTTGTTTTCAGGGTTCTTTAATGAATAAAATGCCAAGTAATGGATGAAATCTTGCCGGGACATTATTCTTCAAGTTATAATTTTATTTATAAAACATAATATACAAAGATACATTGAATGGAGAGATATCAAAAATGATCGAACAGAAATAGTATTCCTTAATTTAGCCTATCCTTCTTGTTCTATTTCCTTTGTACTTAGGGCGCGTTCATGCTTGATTTTGACGGCCAGAATCAGGCATCTGTTACGCGTTTAGTTTAAAACACGCTTGCGTTCATGCTCACTTTTGTAGAATCACCGAAAAACGGCGATCACGATCGCCGATCGTAAACTCACAAAAAGATGCGTTTACAATTTGTAAAAGCATTTAAATGGGGTCAACGCACTGACCTCTAGTGGGTCTACGTAGCATGCACAGTGAAGGTTTGCGAATCCAGCTGGAAGACCAATTAAGGCCACACACTGAGAATTGCCTGGGGGAGCCAGAGAAGTAAGCATGAACAGTGCATCGTGGAACTGCGATCACGATGAGCGTTTACGATGAGCGTTTCAGATCGCTCATTCTGCCTTCAAAATTTAAGCATGAACGCAGCCTATGTCACTCATTATTGTGGCTACTACAGTTATTATATGGTACCTATCCCCTATATAAATATGAATACTTAAGTTACTTATCTTCCAAAATAATATATTGTTTCCTTCTCTATCAATCATTCTACATCATGTTTATTTCTATCATTCTATTTCTTAATGTTTTCCTTCATTCTTTAGTTCAAGTACCAGATCAACGTGGATGGCACCGTAGCAGCGTACAGGCTCCCCTACCTGCTTGCCGGGGATAGCGCAGTCTTCAGACACGACTCCATCTACTACGAGCACTTCTACGCGGAGCTTGAACCCTGGGTCCACTATATCCCCTTCAAGCTGGACCTCAGTGACTTAGAAGAGAGGATCGAGTGGGCCATGCAGAATGATGATTCGGTGAGTAAAGAGAGGGAAGAAGAGGGACAGAGAGGGAGGGAGGGAGGTAGAGAGACAGAGATAGAGAGAGAGAGAGAGAAAAAACAGAGGAGAGAGAGAGGCGAGAGAGAGAGAGAGAGGAGAGAGAGAGAGAGAGAGGAGAGAGAGAGGAGAGAGAGAGAGAGAGAGGATTGAGTGGGCCATGCAGAATGATGATTCGGTGAGTAAAGGGAGGAAAGGAGAGGGACAGAGAGAAATAGAGAAAGAGGGGGGGGGGGGGGGAGAGAAAGAGAGAGAGAGAAATGAAACAGAAAGAGGAAGAGGAGGTGATATGGGGAGAGAGAGGGAGAGATGGAAAGAGAGAGAGAGAGGGGGGAGAGGAGAGAGAGAGAGAGAGAGAGAGAGAGAGAGAGAGAGAGAGAGAGAGAGAGAAAATGAGCCAGAAAGAGGAATAGGAGGAGATATGGGGAGAGAGAGAGGGAGAGGAGAGATGGGAAGAGATGGAGAGAGAGAGAGAGAGAGAGAAATGAGCCAGAAAGAGGAAGAAGAGGAGATATGGGGAGAGAGAGAGGGAGAGGAGAGATGGGAAGAGATGGAGAGAGAGAGAGAGAGAGAAATGAGCCAGAAAGAGGAAGAAGAGGAGATATGGGGAGAGAGAGAGGGAGAGGAGAGATGGGAAGAGATGGAGAGAGAGAGAGAAATGAGACAGAAAGAGGAAGAGGAGGAGATATGGGGAGAGAGAGAGAGGGAGAGGAGAGATGGGAAGAGATGGAGAGAGAGAGAGAGAGAGAGAGAGAAGAGAGACAAAGAGGAAGAGGAGGAAATATGGGAAGAGAGAGAGAGAGAGAGAAGAGAGACAAAGAGGAAGAGGAGGAAATATGGGAAGAGAGAGAGAGAGAGAGAGAGAGAGCCTGTTCAAACTACAGGAAATTCATACAAAACTCTTGTGAACAAACATTGTACATAGAATCATTGTTTTATATCGAGACAGGTGTATGGACTGGATAGCAATATTGTATACTGAAATTAGTTTTGAAGAGGTCAATTGACACGACAGCTGGCCGATCATCAATGCGTGGTCACATTAAGCCCCGCCCAGTATGATATTTGTATGATTTGATGTTCAGACCAGGGGCCATACTCTGAAAACAATGTTATCTTTTTTTATGTTAGAGGAAAATGATGTTCAAAATCAAATTGCACAGAACTACTAACACTTTAAATTGGTGCTCGCGGGAGTAAATATTCATGCAACATGGTGGTAGTTCATGTTTCCTTTCTTTTTTTCGATTCAAAATTATTCCAGAAGGAAGAAGTCTTTAGGGTAAAGATGAATGCAGCATAACTACTCTATAAGTCCATGCATTTGTACCATTTTGTCACACTTTGTTTAAATAGACCTGATTTAATATACCCAAAAGAACCAATTTCACAGTCTGCTGGTTTGTAATCAAAGCCTATTATACCTGCTAAATATACACTGACATATTGTCACGTATGGTTGATTTCTTTTTAAAAGACAAGCATTATTTTTGTTCATATATTTTTGTTTAAGTTTCTACTTTCCCTCAGGAAAGACATAAAAGACTAGGAAAAGGAGGTCAATTTTAATAGAGAAAGGCAGTTTTGTTAATGTGGGTGGCTGGATATTTTTGAAAATATTATTTGTTCTCTTAGGAATTCTGTTTAAAAAAAAAGAAATCATTTATTAGGTCAAGGGCAAATTCATCTCGTTATAGTTACAGGTTGGTTTTAAAGTGTACCATTGCCTTCTATTCTCATCATAAACCTTCTACCAGCTAGGATTGAGACCAGGAGAGTGTTTCACAAAGATCCTAAGTTGAACTTATCCTCTAAGTTGGACTTTACAATTATGGAAAGCTGTTAGCATCTTTGAAATATCTTGTAAAATTTATTTTTAAAGGCATAAAATATTAGGTCAAATCAATCATATTTTCTATTATCATGGGAGATTTCATGTTCTTGATGTGTAATTTATGAAAAGTCTAAAATATTTGAATGTTTGCTTGTGAATATATTTGATTTTAAGGCTACAAATGACTCTCCATAATTTATAAGTCCAACTTAGAGTTAAGTTCGACTTAGAATCTTTGTGAAACACCCCCCAGGACCCCGTTTCACAAAACTTGTCATCAGAGACAAACAACAGTTTTTGTTTTAAGCTACTGAAATCCTTGTTTTTGATTGGTTATCAGCAGATTTGTCACTAATTTTTGTCATTTGTCATTGAAAAAGGACATTGTGGAAAGGGTCCCAGCTTATGAAACTTCATCCACCCCAATCACCATCTTCTTGTCACTGCGATCTCACATCCACCACCAATTTTGATTGTATCCCTAAAAATAGTAACATAACCTATCAAAATATATGATTTCCCATTGCTTGTTATTCCCCCCCCCCCCCCCCCCACCAAAGGGGGTGCCGGATACATTATGTTTTTGGGTTGTCCATCCGTACATAGTTCCGTCCTGCTTTCTCGTTATCGTGATATCTCAAAAATCAATTGAGGTATGAATTGAATTCGGTGACAGTATGTATCACTATAGAAACACAATCTGTAGAGATTTTGGGGTAAATTGGTCAAAGGTCATAGAGGTCAGTTTGTGATATTATAGGTTTTAGACTCATTCAGAGCTGCCAACCATTCCATATTTGCCGGAATTACTCCGTTTTTTCCTCCAAATTACGGTATTACTTTTTCTTCATAAAATATGTTTTTTAATAATATTTTTAATTTTTTTTTTTAAATTTTAATTTAATTTTTTTTTTACATACCGCACGTCAAACAACTGCCCTAAAATGGTGATTTGATCACAAATTCAATAGGAAACTAATTTTAAAACATACTTGAAGAGAAAAATATTCTCCAAAAAAAATGAAATGCCGATAATACCAAAACCACCAAAAAAATTACCTGCTTGTTTGGAAAAAACAGCATGATGAATGAACATTTCTGCGTTGGAAGTGTGTCGCGCATGGTTGTAAGTTTCGTTTTTCATGAATTCCTTTTTTTTGGCTTGAAATTCCTTTTTTTTGCCATCATGATTCCTTTTTTTGGTCGCACAAGGTTGGCAGCTCTGCTCATTGCAATATCTCAAGAAACACTATGGCCCAAATTCACAAAGGAGGTTTACATTTAACCCATGGTTTTAACCTTCATTTTATACATAACCCACGGTTTTAAAAAAGGCAAAATAAGCGTATCTTGCCTTGCGCGCGTCTAATATTGGACCTCTTGACTGTGTTGCGCTTACTTTGCGCTAGTTTTAAGCCATGGGTTATGTATTAAAATGAAGGTTAAAACCATGGGTTAAATTTAAACCTCCTTTGTGAATTCGGGCCTTAGTGAGCGTTAATCCTGTTGATAGTGTGTATCACCAAAATGAAAACAAACAGATTATATTTTGGGGTAGTTAGGTCAAAATTCAAAGCTCACAGTGTCATAAAATGAATACAAATATTGATACATTAATATCAAATTTCAAATTGCTTATGGTAATAAGCTTCTGGTGAACTGTGCGGAAGTGAGAATGGCACGGACGGCGTAGTAATTGTGGACAGCACACTCTCAAATAGCTCTTGTTTGTCTTTGTCTTTTCTATTTCCACAGAAAATACATGTTATCTATGGTTTAAACACAGTAATGTTATGTATAAAGAGGTCTATGTGTACTTTCGTTTCTCTGAATAGTTTGGTTACTACCCTCTATCTGTGTTTATATAGTATATATGTAAAACCGCCATTTTTATATTTGCTGAATATTTTTTGTTTTTAATCTCTTGGTATACAGGCACAGACAATAGCTGAGAATGGGAAAGCTTACGTGAGAGAGAACCTGACGTCCAATAATATCTTCTGTTATTATTTACAAGTTTTAGAGGTAAGATAATGAAGAAAAAAGCTTGCATACAACTATAAAAGAGTCTTAAATGACAGACATGGATCAGATCAGTGTTTATTTCTTCAAGGGGGGGGGGGGATTTTCTCAGATATGGTTTGGATCAGGATGTGCCTCCAAACCTCTACCCATTTCAAGGGTCATTGTAATAGTTAAGGGTACCCATTATAAGGACTTTGGATGAAAAGGGAAATGATTTCAATTACTTTTGCTTCTTTGATTTACACTTTAGCGAGAATTTGTGTGAGGTATTATTATGAAGGAAATAGCATATCTGAAAATGGGGCCCTTTTTGAGGGGTTTTCCAACGCAAAATCATGCCCCATGGTTAGGGATTTTTTTTGGCACACTTAACTGCATACCCCCCCCCCCCACCCCCCCCCCCCCCCCCCCCCCCCCCCCCCCCCCCCTTCTCTCATTGGAGTGGCACTCCAATGAAATCGGCAGCTTTACAATTTTCTCATTAAATGTTGATAAAAGAGTAAACATTTTACTTGCCTGCTGTTCTTACCGGTAAAATATTTTTCTGACATTTTACTGGCCCGGGCCAATGGGCCAGTGGTAGTGTCATGTTTTTGTGAAAATCTGATTTTTTAGGATATTCAGTCTGTTTTATGTGTGTGTCAACAGGTTGGCATCTCTGGGTATCACATATTAAATAAACACCACATTGTGTATTCATCTGACACCGATGTGTGTTTTTGATCTTGACAGGAATATGCATCAAGGCAGGTTGGTTCACCAAAGATACACGAGGGCATGGAGCTTTTAGAACAACCATCAGAAAACAACAACTGTGACTGCCCAAATGAATCAACAGTAAGCAACAGAGACATTCTTTTCAAATATCACACATGAGTATTTTTATCTATTTATAAAAATATATTTTAAGAGGATATTAACAATATCAGCTCACGTAGACACTAATATACGTGGATAATAACCCATGACCTGAAGTTTATGAGTGCCAAATTTAAATTTTTTTTTTTTATGGCTAGTGAGGAAGATATGACTGATAATGTGATTTCCCAAAATGGCTCCTAGATGACGATAAGGTTTACTGATCACACTGAGAGGGAGAGGATTTCTATTACTCACCAAGAGGAATTAGTGGGTAAAAATTTATTGTGATTGTTTGATATACGCTTTTTAGAAAATCTGACCTTAAAAAATGTGCAGAAAGAAACAATAAATAAAGAAATAACAAAAGAATAAAGATTCTGACAAAATCAAGAGGTGACCTGCAGATCTGCGGCAGATCACCTTATAATATTAATATTGAAATAATATGATATTCGATTCGGAATGTACAGTTCTGGTCGACATTCTTGTTGAAGGTATGAATTTGGCATGAATTTTCAAGAATAAATTTGAAACTGACATATAATCCTTGTCTATTTCTTCTGATTTTAATGTTATTTCTATTTCAACAACATTTTTAGTGGGGCTGTTGAAGGTACTAACAGTGATTCAGCAATTTAAACAGAAATTCACCCAAGCTCTCTACTTCACTGACATATCTCTCCTTTTCGTTCTTTTTTTCTTCTTCAGAGACACACAGAATTGTAATGGGACCATAGCGGTGCTCCTGCTACAAAGAAAGTCCATCGGTGCAACAGCACCAGAGGCAGAAGTGCCATACACCAGTCCCACCAACTCTGGAGGCAGATAACGATCTTCCAGAGAGAAATGCCCAACCTGTATCAAATACAGGTTCCAAGTTCTTCTACCGACTTCTTGGAGTAAATACGGTCAAACCTGTTCTAGTGGCCAGTTAGTTTGTCCCCCTCGAGAAAGAAATTTGTATTGTGTAGCGACTGTAGCCTGTCCAGATAGGCCACTTCCTCTGTTTCCCTTGTGTGGTCTCAGTAGACAGGTTTGACCGTACAGTCATGTAGAAGAGAGAACAACGTATTGACATCTCTGTAGCAAACTCGGTCCTTAGCAACTCTTACATGTATTAAATATAGAGGTTATATCTTAGTGGATTTGGTGTCTTTTGCAAGGGAAAATATGTTATGCAATGGTGGAACTCTTCTTTTTAACGTAGAAAAAAGGTTAATGTATGTTTCCCTTGTGTGGTCTCAGTAGACAGGTTTGACCATAGAGTCATCTTGAAGGCAGAACAACATATTGACATCTCTGTAGCAAACTCTGTCCTTACCAACTCGTAAATGTATTAAATATAGAGGTTATATTTTAGTGGAATTGGTGTTTTTTGTACAGGAAAGTTACGTTCTGCAATGGTGTAACTCTTTTTTAACGTGGAAAAAAGGTTAATGTATAATTGTGTTTACATTAGAGAAAGCAGAAGCTGCTGCAATAGTATTTAAAAAATAAAATGCTGACTTTACCTTGGGGTGCTTACATTTTTTATTTCACGCAGGATCCTTCAGTTTAGTTTAGAAATTGCTACTCCTTGTGTTTTAAGAGAGCTTTTTTAATCTTTCTTTTTGTTTCTCCTGCTATAGCTCTCCTGGGCCCTATTAAAGAGTAGCGACTAATCACAAATTTTTTGTGATTGATATCAATCGCAACTAGGTACATAAGAGATATAGGAGACTGTAAACTTGTGATTGATTGGAGGACTTGTGATTGGTTCGGATCTAATCGCTACTCTATATAAGACAGGACCCTGGTCTATCTCTTTGGTCCTGCACATCAATGATCCTATGTCCTTCTAGTCCTAAGATGTACATGTATTATGGGTTCATATTTATAATTGAATTTCATCGAAGTGAATGTGGAACCAATGGGTCAGTCTAGAGTCCCTCAAGCTCTATAGAGTCCTTTTGAATTGTCATTACTACACATAGAACTAGTTAGTATAGTTCTACTTAGTCCCACAATTTTATATACAAATTTGACTACCGGTAATTAGCTGACTAATTAGCACCATTATAAGATACGTGTATGACGATTTTGCCAAATCTTATTACAGTTGAAGATTTGAGAGGGGAGATTAGGATGCATGCAACTGGGCTTTGACTATTGAGTGCTTTCATTTTGATATTAGGATGACTTATTTTTTTCGTACAATTGTAAAAATTATGATTACTGTAGTTATTGAGGTACATGTAGTGACTTAGCAGCTGCTGATATAGGCTGAAATGCTAATGTAGGCTGAAGTTTAGTGTACTCGTATTTATGCTATCATTCTGCATTGGATAATTTATTTTTTGGTAATGACAAAATTTGCAACAAATGTACCATTTATGCATCGTTTTGATTGTATATATATTCAGCTGTTTCATTGTTAAGGGATTATTTTCAGTGGGCAATTTTTATTTTGAAACATTCACAATCAGATGTACCTGATATTTCCATTCCACCTCGTTCCATTTGATATACTGTAAAAGTTTTAGTTTTTTTGTGATGCATCAATGTTTGCAAATTTTCTGCCGCAAAACCCGGTAATGATATAAACAATGGATGGGGGGGGGGGGGGGGGGGGGTTGTATGATTTTCTATGCAATTTTCAGTGCAATGTACTGGTATAAACTATACATATGTTTATTCTTTGCTCTGAATGGAAATTTGATGAGTCCATTTGCAACACTCAGAAAGATTGGAAAATGCATAAAATTTGCAATGTAACTATATAACACTAAAAATATCAAGGTTTTTTCCCCTACTCTTTGAATAAAGTTACATGTACCAAGTTTCCCTTTAAACAAAAGATGTAAACATTTTCGAGACTCACCTAAAAATGCCCTTCACAGTTTAATAACAGGAGTTGTTATCATCACTCAATTTTATCATGATTCAGCTAGATTTGTCATTTTTATAACGTAATTTTGTGCATCTCAATTTTAATTCCAATTATTTCTTGCCAGTTTGTCGACTTAAAATTACAAATATTCAGTGATTTTTATTCAAATTTCAAAAGACTTTGATCTTCAAATGCACAGCTCATGTCATTGATGAATCATTAATGATCACTCCACTTTAATTTATGTGACAGATTTGAGAGGGGTGGAATTAACTCACTTTTCAACTGCCTTTGTGTTTAATAAAAGAACACTTGAGTGAACGAAACATCAATTTTGGGATAAGAAAGAGAGCTGTAGAAATCAGCCACATCATAAATGTCTACCTTTATATCACTCTTGCCACAACAAATGATGAAGAAAGAAGTTTTATGATTTAAATCCAACAGTTTTGATAAGGTCACAAATTTTCAATGTACCTAAAATCTTTATCAAGTGATAACTTATGTATCACTTGATAGTGACGTCAGGTACATCGGAAAGTTGTGACCTCATAAAAACTGATAGATTTAAAGCATGAAACTTCTCTTCTTCATTATTTTTGTGACACCTTATGTCAACACATGGATTTAATATAGTACAGAATTACTCTAATATTATATACATGTATATAGATTGCAAGACATTTTACATGTATATTATCTTGTTGACCTGTACTCAACGGTAGCAAAATTAGTGCAATTGTATGTTTTTTTTATCTCTATGGTGACTAGGTAGGGTTTGAGGATTTTTTTTTTTAATGAGATGCCAAAATGCTACAAAAAAGAAACGGAGAAGTACATTTTATGCAAAACTCTGGACATTCCAACACAAATTACTGATCAAAATCAAATACATACATCACTATTAAAGAGAACCAACCAATTAATTGCTAGAATTGCATAAATCAATAACAGCAGGTTCAAGTAAAATTTCATGTTATCAGAGGAATGACTACGTTCAGAGTTTGTAGTTATTCCATCAACCTTTAATCCTTATTTTGGTGTACCCTAATCCTGAAACATTTCTGTGGCAGTTGTCGTTTTTTTATAATTCATTTGTAGACAGTTTTCTTCATAGAATTAAAGATACATTTATGTTAAGCCACACATATTTCTTATGAATCATGCTAGCTTTTGAAGTATGATTTGTCCTACCTTGATCGATTCTTACATATGCCGCCTTTCAAGATCATTCGCAAAGATTAGAAAAGTTTATGCTATTGATTCTTTTTCAAGAAATGTTCCAAATTAATGGAGTTTTTAATATTTTATTTTTACAATGTAATTATCAATCAATGTGGAAGTTCAAATTTGTCTACTATAGAGTTTGATGTAGAAGTATGCTGAATTTTTAGTGTTATGTAGGCCTACAGGGTATTTCACATTCTTTTGATATTTCTATGTTTTTTTTATATTTCTTAGAATATCTAATATTAAAATAAAGGAGGCCACATTTGTGTTCTAGTAGAGACAAATTTGTGTGTCGTCTCCATCACTAAGCAGCCTGTAGGACTGATCTTTACAGTAGTTGGCAAGCACACGAATGATATCAAACAAATCGTTGTTGAGAATTGTTCAGTAAGAAATTGTTTCTGCAAAATTTGTGATCAGATCAGATTTGTAAAAGTAAAGTGCATGATAATAATTCAGTGACAACATTGAATTATTTAAATTAAATTTTAGAAATTGTCTTTTTGATGACAACTCGCAGAAAAAATCCTCAATTGTACAGTATAAATATATTCTCATTGTACACATGCAATATATTTAAGAGCACTTTTATTGACATGGATTTTATGCAAACCCCCTTCTCTTTAATAAAATAGTGCAGAAAATGTACAGTGTGGCAAAGGGTTGCATATATGACTTTTAGATGAACTTCATATATTTTATATGCAAGGATTTTGCAATAGAATTTTAACTGTTGTGCATAGTCACTTCCCTGTAATACATGTAATCTGTTGTTTCGTGTGTTTTTTTTAAATTTATATATCGAAGTATATACCTTTTGGTGTGTTCAAGTGTGTGTAGAATTGTATAGATTAGGAAATACATGTCTGTTACATTGCATTCACATTAGCCAAACCTTTTTGTCATTCGTTTCTTATCATCAACCATGATGCACCAGTTTGTCTGATATGAACGCAGTTTTCTTGTAAGTTTAACCTCAGTTAACATATGTAAAAATATGTATGTTGGATCGATTGATTTGATGGACAGTCACTTATGACTCGTTCTTTGGGTTAAGTTATGTGATTATTAAAATAATGAAGAATGTGATCCTTGATTCAGATTTGTATGTTTAAGCTGGAAAAATATTTTTGTGTGAGGAATTTTCCCAAATCTCTTCTCTCTCTCTTCCTCTTTCCATATCTCTTCTCTCTCTCTCTTTCCATATATCCTCCTCTTTCTTTCTGTCTCTCTACCTATAATCTCTTCTCTCCCTCTTTTTCTCTCCTCTCTCTCTTGCTTTCTCTCTCTTCCCCTCTCATCCCATATATCCTCCTCTACCTCATTATGTCTCTCTTCTCTCTCTCACTCTTCCTATCTCTCCTCTCCCTCTTTCTGTCTCTCACACCACCTCTCTTCCCCACATCCCCCTCTCTTCCCATCTCCCTTCCTGTCTCCCTTTCCATATATCCTCTTCCTCTTTTTGTCGCCTCTCTCTCTCTCATCTGTATCCTGCCTGTGTCCATCTAGGTATTTAAGGGTGGATGTGTCTAAACTCAAATTGTATTACAAACTGAAATGATTTGACTGCGTATAGACCACATAAATGTTATAAAATTCATGTTTCCAGCATTCATTGGCACTTACATCAGATAAAGATGTACATTAACATGATTTGAAATCACAAACAAATAAATTGAGGTGGTCAATTCTCTACATAATCAAAGACAATATTATAGCAGCATTTCAAATTAAGTATCTGTGAAATTCAAATTTTTGCTGCACAAATATTTCAAGCCAATGATGATGGCAATTATTCTTAAAATTCCATTTTAAAAGGAAGAACTAAAATGAAGGGAATTATACAGAAAACATTAATCAAACGCTTCATATTATGACTTTAATAATTACTGCTTTTCATATTTATGCAAACATTTTGCTTTAAAGGGATCCAGTAACTTTGTCTTTATAGATCCTTTAAAAAATACTGCAATGATAATTATAAACCTTTAGGTCAGTCAGGAACCCCATGACTTTTACAAGCCGATCGCCGGTCTGATTATCAAGATATTTATGATTGAAATTCTAAATCAAATTTTGCGTTTGCCAAACGGTGTTCATAACACTACAGTTTATTGGGGAAAACGAGTATGGTAAAACCAGTCCCTCACAGGTTTTTACTTTTTTGAGGCACTTCTTGATATTTTGAAGCACAATTTTTTTAGGGCTTCACTATAACACAATATCACAGAAACTGATAATACGTAGGGCCATGCATCTCAGATTTAACTTCGTTAAGCAATCCCTTTAAAAAAAAACATTTCTACCCATGTACTTTTCCTATCATAGAAGAAAGTAATTTGATAGGAAATATGTGAACAACAATTGAAAAATGATTTGGAATATGAATATAATGAATCAGTTGGCACAGCAAGCATGTCTGTGCTTAATAAGTAATAATCCATTATCTCTGTCCTACATCTCCTTATATTCGGTCAAAATTGTAGTCCTCATACTGCAGTCTTACATGCAACATACATGCACATGATCAAATGTTCAGACTCCTGGTACAGGTATTTTGATAACATGGCGAAATTAAAGATGACCTGCACTAATTAAGCCAAAATCAGATGGTCTTTAACTGCTACAATGCAGGGACAGTGTTACTAAGACTCTGCATTGTCACTGCTTAAAGGGGGTGTATCATGGCGAGACTGTCTTTCTCGTGGCCCTACTCAGGGCCAATCGGGTATAATACGACTACGGACATTCACATGCTTGCAACATGTGGGAAACCGAAGCGTGAGGAGAACTTCGGTCTGTGTCGCGGACGCTAACGCGCGCTGACCCAGTTAATCAAGTCCATTCGTTTACGTGCAGTTGTCCAAAAGAAGACGTAGATGGCGATAACCAGTATTTGCCATGATACACTCCCTTTAAAATAAGAAAGACTGAAGCTGGACTATCAAGCGGATGCACTATCCCATGCTTGGCTTGCTGTCTCTTTCACTGTGTACTATCTGTTGTCTTCAAGAACGATGGTGCGCTTGGGATAGCCGTCCAGTTCAACAAAGAGATACCTGTACTCGTATCGGCCACTCTCATTCTGTAATTGACCAAAACAGAAAAGAGAAAACAAGATTAATGTTTTGAGTAACAGAGAACATCGTCTTGATTATCAATTTATTCTTATTGTCTCTTGCTTTGTGGCTTTGAATATGCTCAGTTACATATATATACAGTTAACAACTAAATTATTCATACTTTTAACAAGTTTTATATTTTTGTGAGTATGTGAACAAATTGATTTGTCTCTATTAATTTGAGAATGTGACATATTAAAGCTTACATCTAATAGTATTCAACAAAGGCCTCTTTTCAACCAGTCCACCTTTCATTCTTGAGTTACGAAGAAAAGAAGAAAAACATTAAATTTTCAAGGGGCAGGAATAATTTAGTTGTTATCTGTATGTCTAGTGAGGCAGAAAAGAAGTTTTAATGGAAAGATGCTCTTTGAACAAGAATTTTCTTTCAAAGAGGCAAAAAAAGGACACAATGAACAGATATGATGTCTACCTACATCATGCTACATGTACAAGAATTCTTTAGATCAAAGCTCATCTTGGAGCAGAAGGAAACCAGACTTGATCTTCTACACAGATTCTTAGAGACATTTTTAAGGAAACAAAAGAGCCTATAACAGAGAGATTGTTTTCTTACCTACCTCACAACTATCACAACGCAGTAGAATATATTTATATAGTAGTTGCGTTATTTAAATTGATCTAATTATTATCATTATTATCTTTGATCCTATGATCGAGGAACCAAAATGGTCCCAAATGAAAACCATTTCTTACTAACAGATACTTACAAAAATATAACTTGAAAGAAATTAGCAGGGGTAAATACAAGTCTGTAAAAGCATTTAGTAAGCAATCAAACCGCCCCCAAATGAAAACCATTCCTTTATTATAAACAGATTATCAAAAATATAACTTGAAATGAATTAGAAGGGCCAAAAGAAAATACAAGTCTGTAAAAGCATTCAATAAGCATGAAAATGGTCCCAAATGGAAACTATTCCTTGCTATAAACAGATTCTTAAACATATAACTTGAAATGAATAAGAAGGGGCAAAATACAAGTCTGTAAAAGCATTCAATATGCATTAAAAACGGTCCCAAATGGAAACTATTCCTTACTTTAAACAGATTCTTAAACATATAAAGATGGGGCAAAATACAAGTCTGTATTAAAAAACATTCAATAAGACAGATTAAAGACCCTTACCTTCTTCATCTCCAGATGTACAGTGGCTTTTCTCTCAGGTCCTTCCAAGTAGAACTTCATCCTCATGAAGCTCACACCATCCTGGGAGTACTCAAGATGACTGCAAACAAACAAACAAATACAGAAAAGAAAGTCTTGAAGTTTGTACTTGCAAAACACTCAAAAGTCAGTCTTGTTACAGGATCATAATTATTATCTGTCCTTACTAAAGCCTTCTAAATTCAGTCCCTCCCTTCTCTTCATTCGTCTTTCCTGTTCTTTTCCTTTAATACTCTTTTACTTCTATTTTGACTCATACACCTTTTCCCTTCTCTTCTAAATGACTTCTAACCTTACTTTTTCTTTTTTTCTTTCCCTTCGGACAGAAAATTGGTAAATTTAATAATATAAATCATATTAATTATGATTAACTCTTATCATGCCAAATCGCATATCATTCTTTTATTCCTTATAATCTGTTGATATAGTATTGTTATGTATAATTATATGCATTTTGTTTTTATTTGTTAAAACGTTGTACAATGCAGCCTACGCTGCGAGAAAGGATTTGAATACAATATACCATTAAATCATAAATAAAATGTAGTGTCCCACATTTGTATGCACTTTAACCCCATGCCCATTTTGCTTTAAGCTTGCTTTTAAATTTTTTAACAGGGGTGATAGTGAGCACTAAAAAAAAAAAGTTTGTTAGTTTTCCCCTCAGCCACGCGGAAAAAAATGGCATCTAACAACATTCCCCCCTTTCGAGTAAGAAAAATAGGGCAAAATAGGAAAATAGAGAAAATAAGGGGAAATCAGGATAAAATAGGAAAGAAAGAAAAAATCTGGTTAAAAATAATATATTTTTTCTAAATAAAAAAAATTTAAATCGAGAATAAGAAAAAAATCAGGAAAAAATCAGAAAACCCGATTTTAATCGGGTTTTTATCAGGCCTTCAATTTAAAAAGAAAAAAATGAGAGGGAGATGAAGTTTACCTAACATGCCTCCTGCGCTTTCTCCTCGTCATTTCTCCATACCCTTTGATAGGAGTACCCAGTGCATCTTGAATCTAACAGGAGTCAAAACATGCAGATTATGGTCATTTGGGGTCGTTAAAAATCTCCATGGAGACAGATCCGTATGTGGGCAATGGCATACTCTTGCTTCTACCCATGGTTGAGGAACCAATGACCACACTGCACTCAAATTCTGTTCATAACAACATGATATGTTGGCCCTTTTTTACAGTATGTCAGATTTAATAATGCATTCAAAACACTTTACAAGAAACATCTTCTCTCTCTTTATAATGCATAATTTACCTCACCTCTCATACTAAATACTTCACTTTTTTATTCATTTGTTTGTTTTTTGTTTGTTTTTTCTTCTTCTTCTTCCAAGTATACTGTATGTTAATTGTTACTTCTGCACCTGGTGCATTCAATTTTTAAGCCTTATTGGCTTTTACGGATGCACCATTTTCCATTTGTACCATGGTTTATACCTTCATATTTTCTTTATATTTTGAATGCTGTTATGTCAATTTATATCTAACCCCATATTGTTATCTGTTATATATATGAAATTCCATATTTTATCTTTGTATATATTGTCATGATGATGGAAATAAATGTCAATTCAATATAGAGGAACTGTAACAAGGTTTCACATTACGACTGGATTGTTCAGTTTGGAACACTCAGAATCAAAGTTCAGGGCCTTGTTTTACAAAAACTTGTTATCAATAACAAATGCTAAATTTCTATGACAAATTTGATCTCAGCCAATCAAATGCCACGATTTCAGCAGCTTTTTCAACAGTCATTGTAACTTGTTATTGATGATAAGTTTGATGAAACAGGGCCCAGATGATTTTTTTCATGTTTCGTACACAAAACAAATAGCAGAAATTTCCTGCAGCTGAAAACAAAGTCATGGAATTTGAAACAAAATAGAGGTACTTGTATTTTATTATTTGTCCAGTTTTGTATCAAAACTGTAGATTTTTCTGCAAGACCATTGCACAAACACTCACCTCTACATTTTTTTTGCACACTTTATAAGCCTTGGTGTAAATGCTATTGGGACTATCAGACGAGAACAGCTCTTTCCCCAGTGTGAAGAACATCAGACCTGTCAGAATAATAAAGGAAAAATATTGTAAATCAGCTATCAAAGGGTGCGTTTATGAGACCCTTTTTTGCCTAAAATCAGCGTTTTCAAACTTGTTTCAGGCAAATTTTCATGGTGGTATATGCAAGCCTGTTTTCAAACGTCTATAGAAACGCTGAAAAAAGGTGCGTTTTGAATGTGACATAGAGCCATAATCGCGTTCCTGAGAGATGATTTCAAATCGCGGATAGTTGATAAATGCGACATCCCGCAAATCACGTTCGTATAGTGGGGTTCGATATGTACATATAGAAATGCTGATTCCGAGTGGCAAAACATGATAAACGCACCTGAAGTGTTATAGCAGAGCTAAACACGTACCGGTTCATGCTACACAATATACTAATACCAGACCTTCAAAGCAACTTTAACATCTAGGGCTTATTTATACAGAGATACTTCAGCTGGATGCCGGGAAAATAGAGCCCTGTTTACATTTACAGAAGACCACAAATATCGTCCCTATTTTCACGAAGTGACGGTAGTGAATGAAAATTGCATACAATTTGCGTGCGGATTATTCTCACTACCGTCACTTCGTGACAATAGGAACGATATATAGAACTGATACACCAATAACAATTCCTCGTTAACAATTCATGTACTTGAAATTCTGAACTGCTACGTTCATCCTTTTCATCCAAAGCTAAAATAACCTTTAACTTATGTCCCAAAATTATAACCAGAATATTTTAGGGATATTTTGTTTATAAAAAAGTAGGCTGAACAAAGAATGGACAAATTTGTAATGATGTTCAATACAGGTTAAATAATTTCGGCGTAGAAAGTGATAAAGATACTTGGGAGCAGATATCAGTTTAGCTCTGACAATAATGGGGAGAAAGCTATTAAAGAATCTGATTCATATGAAATCACTGGAAAAGTCTTACTTTATCAAGTAGCAAATTAAAAAAAAACAGCTCCAAGTCATTGGATTCTTGAAGACATCAAAAAGTAACCTCTGATCCCTTTAAAAAAATCATGGAAAAATGCTTGTTTAATTCTCAATTATTTTTACATGCACCTTGAGCACTCCATAGAGTGGATTTGGCGCTATAAAAGTTATGTTTATTTTTTATTATTATTGACACACAAACAAAATTAATAATGATATAAATAAATGTATTACACTGGGCACACAGAAGTGTCAAGTTCTCACTTTTAGTGGAACTGCTTTCAAAATGTGTGAAACACAGGGCATCAAGCTTTGCTTATCTTGGAGCCCTGGCCAGTTCTGATTAAAATAAGTTGATATTTCTCCACGCATGTTTCAATGTAATACTGATTTTATTTTGTATACAGAACTGAAAATAAATGAAATGAATAAAGATGAATTCACCTGTAATTCCAACACCCAGAACGATGATGCCTGCATAGGATGCATCTTTGGAGGTCTGTGCAACTGAACAGAAAAATGAGATATTCTTCTTAAAGGGAGTGTAGCTTGGCAAATACTTGTTAACGCCATCTACGTCTTCTTTTGGAAAACTGGCGTAAATGAATGGAGTTGATTAATGGTAGTCATCGACTTAATCTCTACATTGTCAGCATTCGCAAAACAGACCAAAGTTCTCCTCACGCTTCGGTTTCTAGTGTGCTGCACACACGTGATTGCTGCAGTTGAGTCGTCCGTAGTCGTATTATACCCGATTGGCCTCCGAGTCAGGCCAAGGGATGCATAGTCTTGTCAGTCTACACTCCCTTTAACCTCATATCTTGTCTTTGACTCATGCACAAGGAAAGTTGATGGTAAAAAGAATCACGTAAATGGAATTGGATGAACAGAAAGACTGCAAGATCACGGAGAGTACAATTAAAGACCAAGAAACAGTAAGAAACAGTGTAAATAATCACTGGGCTTGGGAAAGTCCACAGGAGCTTGCTAACTAAATTTTAAGGTTGGTAGAAGCATAAACTACATTTTACGATTACCCCAACAAATGAAAGTTTTCTGCATAATGAGACACCAGTTTACTTTGTAACAACTGATACTTTTGATGGGTCCTATGATTGCCCAAAATACAACAACATAAAGTCAAGATGCATACGATCTAAGGAAATTTCTAAAAAAGTACATTGGTTTAAGTGGTCCATCACTAAGGGTTCTAAAAAGAACACTTAACTAAAATATATTGAATATTTCATGACAGAAGTAGGCTCCATATTGGACGCAAAGATGATATATTTGATGATGATTGGCTTATCCAACTGCTAAGAAAGCAACCAGGGGACTGACGGCTTTAAGTCCTCTCTGATGGACCTGGTAATTTGAGGATTGATGCTTTACCAAAGAGCGCAAGTGCATTGACTTGGTTTTGAAGCCGGGACCTACCGGTTACGAGACCACTGCTCTACCACTGAGCCATCGCGTCCTCTCAACTGATTCCTAGGTGTATTTTGCTACTAAGCACTATTAACAATCGATTGTTTATATGATTAATCAATCTATCTTATGATCAAATGCTAAGGTTTGTGTTACATACAGTGCTGTGGATAATATCTTTAATAAGGCATCACTAAGCCTTCCCGCCATCTCTGCAAACATCACTATCTTAAAACGTAGTTTTGCTATTTACCTCTCTTTCTTAACGTCATTTGCCCATCCGAGCCTGTCTTTCTCTCAGTCACAGCTTTTTTCTGCTGGTTGATACTGGAAGAAACAGAGAACCATCGATGACAGGCAACATTCCAGGAGGAAATATCTAGAAAAAGGATATGAATGAAAAATATTGGAAAATATCAATAATGATCAAGGTCTACATTTCAAGTAGTTTACAAACAAAAACAATTCTTTAAATAACACCTACCAGGTGCGTACACATGGGGCGGGGGGGGGGGGGGGGGGGTTTGGGGGGTTAACCCCACCCCCCCCCCCACCCCTTTGGTAATTTTCTGTGTGTAAACCCCCCCCCCCCCATAACCCTCCTAAACCCCCCCCCCTTTGGATTTTTCTTTTGTTTATAAAAAAAAAAAAAAAAAAAAATTATTCCCATGGCTAACCTAAAAAAGGTGACCTTACCCCCCCCCCCCCCCAAGGGAGCAAAATGTCAAATTTTCAAATTTCGAGACCCCCCCCCCAAAAAAAAAAAAAATGTCCTCTTTCCCCCCCCCCCCCCCCCCCCCCCCCCCCCCCCCGCTTATTCAGCGGCTGGCTGAGTCGTTGCGAAATTTCGGCCCGATTTATAAATGTTAAAACCCCCCCTTGAAAAAATCCTGCGTACGCGCCTGACACCTACATTTACTATTGTTGAAGGAACATGTTAGTGTGATATCTGTGAGATCATATTTAAAAGGATGTGTCTCTGATCATACATTTCAGACATATAACAAAAAGTGAAAATTATATGATTTATGGCACAAAACAAATGAAGAATAGCTCTCAAAGGTAATAGAGTTGTAATTTGTGAAGTGATGATGTTCGTTATTACAGCAACCTCATAGTCTTCTTGCTCATATCAGATTTTTTACCGCCATTATTATTAAATGAATATATTGATCTACATGAATATATTTTCTTTTATGGTAATCGCTCATTTTGCAAAGCTTCTGCTAAACTTTGGAACAGACTACCTTTAAATGTCAAAAACTTTTCAACTGTTAACCTATTCAAAACTGTCTTAAGACTCTTAAGACACATTTATTCCAAATTGCGTTCGATGATTTATTAACTCTGTTCACTTTGATGTGTATTCCATGTGTATTGTAATTTGTAGGTTTATTTGCACTTTTTAGTTTTGTTTAATATGTAATTGTTTATCAGTCTATTTTGTGTGTAATAGCGCTTAGAGACTTTGGTGGTAAGCGCTTTATAAGTAACATTTTTTATTATTAATTAAATCAACTTAATGGTGGAGGGGACAGAGGTTTCCCTTTTAATCACAAATCATTACAAGGCACACAAAATTGGCATCTCATCCAAGTCCTTGTGTAGTTGGAATGAACATGATATAAAGGGGGTAAAGAAGGAAGTTGCGACGAGAAATATGATATGAAGCTTAATTGGCCTAAAAAGAAATATTGACAAGTTTCAAACAAAAAGGATATTCATCATTTTGTGTGCAGGGAAAAAAGGCTTTATTAGAAAAACCTTCCTTTATGTGCGTTTCAAAATACAGAGAAAAATGACACACCTACAAATGCCTATGAATTACATTTTAAAGAGAATAGGTTGACATGAGCCCAATGTTAAATTCTTTTCAAATTTTCCTCTTTACTTATCAGTGAATTACAATTGTGAATGATCTTTTGTCACAGCCCCCCCCCCCCCCTCCTTAAAAAATGCATCTTGCAAATTACTTTTACATACCTGTCTCACGCCATAGGGACGGGATGGTGTAAATGATTGGCTACATATTTGACGCTGACTCTGCCATTTATCACCTGCGGAAGACCTTGTACTACACGTCGTGCACCTCTGTAACAGCTTGCTTGATAACGACGAGAAGACGTAATACGCTCCTCTACAGCTCAACTCATTCAGCATCTTTGAATCTAAATATCCTTCAATCACTGAAAGCCTACAGGTAGCAAAGTTGAAAAACATGAAAATGTTTACAAAATAAAGACATATTAAACTAAAGATATGTGGATTAAACCGACCCTACCCATGCCATAAATATGAATGAATGACATGGATACGCTGTATATCCGCGCCTGTGTGAAGTTATCTACCTGTAATATCTGAGACATCACTGTAGATAACTTCACACAGGCGCGCGCCCGCTCGCAACCCACTATCGGTATGTACTTGTATTGTGCAGCGGTTTGCTGAGAAACCTGTGAAAAAGTGTATAGATCTAGGCCTACTATATCAACGTTTTTTTTTTTTTTTTTCCGAAAAACACTCCAAAAATAACAAGTTCAACTTTTAACTCATGATCTTTATTTGGACATTTAATGAATATTTACTTCATTTTGTTTATGTTTTAGTAGGGTATCTCCACGCCGGAGTTACAGGTCAAATTTTGGATAGGTTTCTGAACAAGCGCCCTAACAGTAGATCTAACGTTAGTCAGTAAAACAAGTTGGAAAAGGAAGAAAATTCTGAAAAGTTCATTTAAACATCAAGTTTAGGCCTAGGTCTAGACCCTATATTTATAATTAGGAGGTCTAGACTCTATATTATATGAAATGCAAGAGGGTAACTTTACCTAGGTATATATTTCATGTACCAGCACCGGTAATTCAGGTCTCCCTGGTGGTGTTAAATGTGGTGTTTTGTCGACACTTCGACTTCAGCTTCCAACCCCAGCTTTGGCACACCGCACTGCGACGTCCCGATCCCCTGGCCTGGGCCCTCGACTCCAGCGAACCTCTGCCTCCCCTCCAGGTACGTACGTAAAGCAGTCGCGTTGCACGTAAATCAACGTCAACAGCGAAGTTGTTATTGGAAGCTAGATCACTAGTTTAAGCACTAGCTGTGCAAGCTAAATTTGGCATGGCCGATTTGAAGTACTATTTGTGTCTTTTAATTGTAGCTCCATATTACTGTTAATCCCAAGCTTCTCATAATGTTATCATAGTTTGTTTGCTTGATTACTTGTTTAAATTTTGTTTAATTTATTGGTTTATTTATTTGTGTGCTTGTTTGTTTTGTCATATTTTTTTTTTTTTTTGGAGGGGGGGGGGGGGTGGGAGTTATTTTATTCTGGGCGTAGAGCATGTAAAACCCCAACAAAAAAAGACAAATGTCTTAAGATGTCAGAATGAACCATTCATGATTTCTATTTCATTTGATTTTCTTTTTAACATCTCTTTCTTCTGACTCAATCAAATTTCTCTCGATCTCCGTGCACGTTTAGGCCTCTATTCTATCTCTGCATTAGACAGAAAAATTTGGCTTATTAAATCGGAGGAATTTTAACAAACTTTGTCTTTTGTGACTTGTTATGTAGGAGAGGAATTCGGTGTAGGTTATCTCAGCGGAACATATCCCCGAACATAATATTCTCTCTCTCCCTCTCTCTCTCCCTCTCTTTCCTCTCTCTCTCTCTCTCTCTCCTCTCCTCTCTCTCTTTCTCCTCTCTCCGTCTAGTCTCTCTCTCTCTCTCTCTTTCTCTCTCTCTCTCTCTCTCTCCCCCTCTCACTCTCCCCCTCTCGCTCTCTCTTTCTCTCTATATTATATATATATATATATAATCCCTTTCTCTCACTCTAAGCTCTCTTTCCGCCTTTACCAAACTCTTTTATCTGTATTTGCATCGTTCATCAAGATAACGGTAGCTTTGAAAAACAAACACACACAAATCGTTTTTGTTTAATGGGTTGCTTTCTTTCAAAGAATGCTATAATAAATTTTCCGTTTATTTCCAATTTACTTTCGACGTAGATGCAGTTTCTTAGCAACCCATCGCTTGACACGCCTCCATCTACTGGGCCGTTGGAGTCTGGTGATTTGACTTTTGATGGTATCGAGGCTAGGGCGATGGTCAGGATTATCGGCCATGCACTGAGCTCCTAGCTTGGACAGTTCTCGAACCACGGGAAAACGATGACCTGCAGAGAGAAAGAAATAGAACATAGAAAATAAAAGAGGCGTTACAATATTTGTACACAAATTATTTCATTAAAAAAAGATAACACCATACAAAATAAAATCCGAATGCATATTAACATAATTTAGATATAAACATAACTGCAGGTTAAAGCTGGATGTGCCTGCCGTCCCCACGATACAGCGCCATCGTGAACTTATTTTTAGGAAAAGAACTGTGAAGATATTTATTCGGACTGAGCAATTTTCTTAGCAAAGTTATGTTTACGTGCATGCAACTTTTTTCATAAACCTATCTCGTTTTATGAAAAAGATAACTATAATTACGAACTTACAAGTATGATATTCATTTTTACCTCCAAATATCTCTCCCATATCGGAGAAGATACGGCCGACTGAAAACACATCTGAAGCAATGGATGTCGGCTGCTCATCCAGAACAACCTCAGGTGTTATATAGTCTGCCTCTCCTCCATGTACATACGCCATTTTTACTTCTTTGGTAACTCCGACCATTTTCGGTGGGGCGGTGATCGAACTTGCCATTCCGTAGTCGATGATGACGGCGTTGTATCGCTTGCCACGTTTTTCCAGGAGCACGTTATCGTTCTTGAGGTCATTATGGAGAAGTCCATGATCATGGAACTCCATCATGCCCTTGACGATGTCCTCTGCGATCTTGACAACGTTGCACATCGAAAGCGATGGCGGTTCGTGGAGAGGGTAGCCGGTACCCGTTTTCTTACACCCCACGAACTCGACGGCCTGACAGAGTTCGTTACCGAGATCAAGGGTACCCCAGAACTTTGGAAAGTAAGGGCTGCCTGACAACAACTGTTGGATCATTGCCTCCTTTGTTGCTCTGGTCCTGGTTGCCTTGAGTTCTTCAACCATTTCACCAGGCGAAGCGAAGTCGTCTGACCATGACGGCTCTTTGATGGCAAGAGGAACGCCTGTGGAACGATGACGTGCTATCACAACCCGACCATAGCTGCCCCTTCCAATTTCTTGGAGCGTATTGATGCTCTGTGAAGAAACAAAAAGTATATCGAAATTTGAAGCAAGTTACTTATAATTAAATATAAGTCAGCAGCAAATTACATGTATTTGTCTTCTGTTCTACAACATCGCTGAGAAGGGATGAAATATCTTTTCTAAACTTCCCTTTCCTTATATACAATTACTTCTGAGGGATTCTTTTAACGAGGACTACAAAACTGACTAAGTTCATTCAATGTTTCAGTGGCTATATCAGTTCTTGCTAGGAAATTCTTCTCCCCCTATTCTCTCCCTCTCTTTCTCTCTTTAGGTGGATCATGAATGCAACAAATTAAAAAAAAATTGACTATCATACCTTTACAGTCCATCCCATGTCAAAGGTCAAGAGGTCATCGAGTTTGAGAGTCTGACACGAGACCTTAGGTTGTAGCATTTGGATAACCTCTTCATCAACACTCTTGTTCTGATGGGCCGACTTTTCGGGCTCAAGAGTATAACTGTTTTGAAAAAGAGACAAGAAATATTATACATAAAGCAATAAATAAATGTCACCAAAATCAAAAAGTTTCTCTTTTAAAATGAATATTAATTTTAAAGGGTGGATGCTAAGGCATTTGAAGACCCTTAAGAGCATGACCATCGAATTCATTAATTTCATGTAAAGTGTATTGAGATATTTCTACTCAGCAATATGCATGATGGCTTTCAAATATTGTGGGCATCATTATTCTTAATTACACTTAATTACACTTCTAGTCGACGGTAATTCATTTATGTAACATAAACAAATTGAATTCCGATTTTATATGTTTAGAAGGGAAAAAAAGAGAGAAATATTTGCTGTACCTCTGTTTTGGGATGAATGTTGAGATTGCAGAAGAGTCGATTTGCTGGTCTTTCGACTCCTCGGGGAAATCTCCGCCGGGGTAAGCTTGGGCTTCTTGCTTAGCTTTGACCAGTATGGCTTTGACTATCTCAATGGCTTGAAGGATCTCATTCCCGTGGTCGGATACGGGTCCCAGGGCTAGTCTTTGACAGCGATTTGCCATCCGTTGAGCCCTCCGCTTTCTCTGAGCTGACATACCGGTGTCTACCATTGTCAGAGACTTTACGATTGATCTACCAACAAATTGATATTCAGTTCTGGAGTGAATCTTTTTTTATTGTAGCTAATAAAGTTATAAGCTTTTTATCAAAACAACGGTTCTCAAATATTCTATCACATTTATTTCATCCATATTTCTGTGATTTTTGTCCGTACATAATTTTTCTTAATGTGGCATATGCCTATAGTCATACTAGATTTACTCTTTAAGTATAGGTATATCATTAAATTCGCGTAACATTGGCCGTTGGATAAAATACAAACAACACTTATGATATAACATTTATGAGAATTGGAATTTTATGGTAAATATATTACTATTCAGTTTATTCCTTTATTACCTGTTAACAAAGCAGAAATCTCGGGAGAAATCTCTTTTGAAGAAAGTGATTGAATTCGTTGATTCAATGAGGAAATTTTCGAAAGCACTTCAAAAGAAGCAACATGTGCACTCGGAAGCTAGATCAAAACTGAACACAAAGCGCAACGGTTTGTTGTCAAAAGAGACCATTCCAACGCGCACCCATACCAACCATTGTGTCGTCATTGAGGAAAAACTTTAAGCCAATCAGAACGCAGTAAATCTTTACCCAGTGAAAGCTAGAGCGTAGCATCATGAGGTCACAGTGGTAGCGCGACCTCCACGCATGCGCTTTGCACCTATCATAACTCGATTGGTAGGTTGGATAGAAATTCGGGTAGAAATACCCAGGGTAATTGATTGTTGGGGGGGGGGGGGGCAATGGGCAATGTGCCGCCCTTGATTTAAAACAAATTAAATCAAGGCCAATCTCTCGATTGTCAAATGCAGTGCTCCTGATTATACGACAAACACATAGGGGTCACCAAGATAAATTTATCAAATTTGTTTCTTCTAATTAAATATTATATTTATATGTGCAAATTTCAAAACAAATCCCCCAGTTTTCAAGGTTCTAAAGCTTGTAATGGTACAACTAAAGATCTTGAATACCGTATAGCAAAAGAAGAATACTAACTGGCAACTCATCTTTGCTAAATGGAGGTTTGAAATAAAATATCTTTTCCGATTAAAATTTTGTTTCTCTCCAATTATTTGTAAATGCTGTGATTCTGTTTTGACTCAATAAAACATGAAACATATATCACAAGAGGGTGAAAATCCCTCGGTGGGCAATTTCACTTATGAGGAATATGGGCAAATTTGTATGGATTAAACAAAAATTGTATCCAGTCGCCTCTTTGGAATAAAAATGAGTTTTAGAATTTGGAAGCGAGCTTGTTCTCTCTCTCTCTCTCTCTCTCTCCTCTTTCCACTTCATTCAAGATCTTCTCTTTACCTTACAGTTTCCACCCTTTCCTTTTGAATTTCCCGTCACTCTCTCTCTCTCTCTATTTCCCTCTTTCTCCCCACCCCCCTCTCTCTCTCCCCCCTCTCTCTCTCTATCTCTCCCTCTCTCGCTCTCTCTCTCTCTCGCTCTCTCTCCTCTTTCCACTTCATTCAAGATCTTCTCTTTCCCTTGCAGTTTCAACCCTTTCCTTTTAAATTTCCCATCGCTTTCTCTCTCTCTCCTCCTCCTCTCTTTCCCTTCTCTGCTTTCATTTTTTTATGTGAAGTTTTTAAAAAAGAGAAAGAAAACAAATCCATTTAAAGCTGTGATTAGAAGCAAGCTGGGTGGTAGCAATGATTTTTAATGGTATATGTTTACTGATAATAAAACTATTTCTTATTGATAATCAGGATCAATTTCTGTTGCTAAATATTCAAAATGTCATTAAAATATCAAAAAAAAATTATTTTCTAACTATATACTTTCACCAACATGTCAAACTGTTAAATATTTTACAGAATTGTAATGAATTGAATTGAATTCATTGATTCATCTGTCATACAACAGAACTCCTTCTTTCATTGAATGAACAATAAAAACATATCATGTCACAGCAGAATTATACATACCAACGAAGTGTAAAGAAATGTGACATTGACAAATGTACATTACGTGATCACAAAATCAGAGAAAAATACAAGAGAGGTTTTAAGGAAGTTACAAAACCAATATGTGTCAGAAAAATAATACAAGAAGAGGAAATTCATCTCATGAACTCATTTAAACGCCCTCCTATAATGTATGAATATATTGAATTTATGTTTGATTCAGAGCACAGCCCAGCCCCCCCCCCCCCCCCCCCAACACTATCGCCTCACCGTAGAACTGTTGAATATATAGGGGTATAACATTGGGTACAAAAGAAAACCTGAATCTCTCTAGATTTACAAACATAATACATTATAGACAGGAAGATCACACCAAAAATGTGTTAGGATCCAAAGTAAGAAGGCAAGCTTTTAAATCATAGAAATATGTAGGGCTTATTTGTTACAAATTTAACAATCACATAACTTTAACAACTGTATTATATGGTATACTAGCGACTTACGCCACACTATAATGTCCTTTTGCTAGATATTTTGTGCAAATCTACCACAATTAATTATACATTTAGGCCTGCATCATTTATTTGAGCATGCCTATATCATACCTGTCAACAAAAGAGATCACAATTTTGTGTATTAAAAAATGCATCACACCGAAAGATGTAAAAGGAAAGACATCAAGCCTTAACTATACAATTACTATTAATGATGGCAAATAGCACAAAATAATCTGTAATAAACCACTTAATGTATATATATATATATATATATATATATATATATCATACTAGCTACTTACGCCATACTATAAAGTTAAAATGTCATTGCACTAATTGTTGTTTTGCATATCTACCACTATTAATATACCTGCAAAATTTCTTTGTTAATATATATTACTGTCTGCAAAAGAGATCACAATTCTGTGTATCAAAAAAAGCATTACAAAAAGATGGTAAATAGGAAAGACATTAAACGACACAATTACTTTTACTGATGCAAAGCTGAGTAGCATAAAGTCATTTTTCATTGTTGACAAAACTACATGTATATCATTTAGAATTATTTAATAAACAACTTAATTTTGAAGAGCATTCTTCCTCTCGTGTCGGTCGTCAATGCAGGGAAACAGGATGACTGTTGTTTAATAAGACGTGACTACGACGTAACTAGTCTATTCCTAGAAAAACTTCTGAAAATACAGCTCGGACATGTAGCGAGGAATGGCTGTCTTGGCAGAAATGATCTCCTGGAAAGGGAAAAGGAAAACAAAGTTCTAAACTCTCATGAGCATCAAACTAGCTATCGGACTCACATTCATTTTGAGTACATTTCTAGTTTGTATATTCATTTCTTGGCATTTGTGTTTTACCACAGATATGCAACCAAATGATCAATTCAGTTCACACATCTCTCGGCCACTGAAAATTATTATATCCTGGCAGGGGCGTACGCAGGATTTTTTCAAGGGGGGGGGGGTTTAAAATCTGGCCCAAAATATTTTGCTCCTGAAAATTTGAAAATCGCGCCGGCCGAAAAGTCGCTCAGTGGGGTGGGGGGGGGGGGGGGGTAAGAAAAAACAAAAACAAAGGGGGGGGGGGGTTTTAGTTTTTTTAGGGGGGTTTACACACATGAAAATACCAAAGGGGGGTTTGAACCCCCCCCCCCCCCCCCTGCGTACGCCCCTGTATCCTGGAATGGATAAAATTGATGAGTCAACTCTCATTTAAGTTTGTAAGAATGGGGGGACAGTTAAATTAAATTCTTGATATTTTTTTGCCAATCGTCTTTTTGCCACATCAGCTCTTTCAAAAAAATTCAAATTAGGATACATGTAGACCAATAATATTGACGACTATAACAAAATATGAAGAAGTTGATATTTACAAATTAAATTATCGATGATACATAATTAGGTGCATGATATAAATTTCCACAAATCTCATTCTTCTATAACATGAAAGCAATAGTATAAAGGCAAATTTACCCAAATCTTTACAAGACAAACGAGCTAAAGGGAAATATAGCCTCGGCAAAGGGATGAAAATATGTGAAGAAGAAAAAAGGAAAAATGGTCTATTGACAAAGGAGAGGTCCCAAATATAGCCTGCTTGGTCAAAAGGATAGAGGGGAGATTAAAAAGTATTCAATGACTTTCCACCGTCACACCCCCTGCAATACTGGGTTAATAATAGTTGCAGGGCCCACAAGAACTTTAATAAGGGGAGTATTAATACCAATGTGCACGGCAGCCCTAGGTAAACGAGATTAAATTATTTAGGATTGCTTTTACAACGTCTTAACACTTTTAGTCAAAATAAACTGTGATTTTATATCGATAACTAATAATAATCTTATATTATTATCCCACCTGTTGGTTGCAGTAGCTGGGTACAGTAAACCAATCATCAGGTTTAGGGATCCCAATGGTTATGTTGAACCAGCCAGAAGAAAGGATTCTTGGATCTGTCACAAAAGATCAACATACTGATTTACTGTCTTAACAAAATTACAATTAATTTGTTATGTTAATATGATGTGGATAGACTGACATTATATTCATGTTACAGCTTTGTCCGCGATATTCACAACTGAATGAATCGGCTGTCATAGTACAATAACATTATCAGGAGCCAACAAATTCTGAAAGATAAATGCAACATGTAAATGGAAAACCTTTCTAAAAATGCAGGCATTCAAGAGCAATTTTCTTTTAAGTCGTAGCGTTCTATATCGTGTATCCTAATACTAAAATTGTAGGGGTGATAATTATGACTTTTGATCTGCATGGCTGGTGACAACTGCACCGGGCTCTATTGCATCAAAGATAGCTGTATAAGGCTTGCGATTGTGTTGTAGGTTATAATTAGGGTATAGCGTTAGGTAAAGTGTTCAGTCAAAGATTGATGTTATGATGAATTTGATTAGCGCATGTAATTGATGGTGGGGAAATTGTCGCCAGAGTATGTGTCACACAAAATTTGAAGGAAGTCTATTTCGTTTACCTCAAGAAGTTTTCCCAACATTATTCATAGATTACACCTCAGTCACACCGCCTCAGTCACATCGCCAAACCGTATATTATATACAAATCTCACATTTCAGCAGCATATTAAAAACGTATGTAAATCGGCATCTTTTTAAATTTTTTGAAATTGGGAAAAATTAGGAAACTACTTGACCGGCCAACAACTGCAAAATTAACCCATGCATTTGTATCCTCCCACCTTGATTATTGTAATTCAATTTTTTCTGGCCTTCCGCATTCGTACCTACTTCCACTTCAAAGAATTCAGAATACTGCTGCAAGGCTTGTTACTCTCTCGAGAAAGTTTGAGCACATAACCCCAATATTGCGTTCTCTTCATTGGCTTCCCATACACCATCGTATAACATTTAAAGTTCTTCTTCTTACATACAAAATTCTCCATGGCCAAGCCCCTAAATATCTTTCAGATTTGATTTCCTTACGTTCTTCTAGTTCTTTAAGACCTCTTCGATCATCACCAACCTTGCAGTTAACCCTTGGACCTCGTACCGTTACAAAATATGGCGATCGAGCTTTCTCAGTAAATGCCCTTATCCTTTGGAATAAATTACCAGCGTACTTTTATAATATTCATTCTCTTCAGCAACTCAAGTCCTTGCTGAAAACGCACCTTTTTAATTCATGAATGATATTCTGCAGTTGTGAGTCGGTCGAAGGAGGTGCACACCGTCTTATTTATTGTTTGTTCGATCTTATGTTTGATCCTATGTTTGACCTCATGTATGTTTGATCTCACTCTTATTTTTATTATTATATTATATGCATGATTTATTGAATAAAGAACAGATGTATTAGTTGTGTGTTTATTATAAGTTTTGGTAAATCATTTTTTAGTCAGACTATGGTGCGCTTAGAGACACCAGTATTAAGCGCCTAATAAATATTGTGTATTATAATTATTATTATTATTTGTTCGGGCTGGTGTCGGTTTCGTTAGTGTGACTGTACTATCATGAAACCTTCTAATTCATATAATTTATTCACTAGCTTGTGGAGGTCGACACCTCCACAAGTGGTTTAGTGGTTCATTCACTCTACTCTCAATCTAAGGGTTGAGGGTTCGAATCCCAGCCCGAAACTATATACCGTACGTCTTATTACGGCAAGACATAATTATGATCCACCTTCGCCACTCTCCACGCAGGTGTAAATGGATACCTGGTAATTGCTGGGGTAATAAAGATTGCAGGACCCTCAGGGAGAACACCTCTGATGTTGATGAGGCCTCCTCGGGTAAAAAATGATGAGTATTTTTTATTATTACTATAAAGTGTAAGACTTACACGGAGCTCCCATTTCATTGTTGGTCCCCATGAACTGAGATCTTATCGGGAAGCAGTCCTTGTGTCTCACAGTGATGCTTTGAGAGGCAGTGTTGGTCCCTTCGTGATAGATCTTGGACCAGATGTCAGCTATTATAGAATCTGTACCGTTTCCACCAATCGAAACTCTGCCGGAGAAGGTGGCATCGTCTGTATATACCAGAAAATATTGAGCAAACAATTAAGTTTTTAAAATCTACCATATTAATTGCAGTATAGTATTATAGTAATGGTGATGGTAGCAACAATAGTAGTAGTAGTAGTGGTAGTGGTGGTGGTGGTGGTAGTGGTGGTAGTAGTGGCAGTAGTAGTAGTAGTAGTAGTAGTATATTTGGTGGTGGTAGTGGTGGTAGTGGTGGTAGTAGTGGCAGTTGTAGTAGTAGTAGTCTGTAGTATCGTATATAATAATAACAATAATAATGATAATAATAACAATATTAATAACAATAATGATAATAACATATCACCAAGCTGCACTTAATATAATACGCACACCATGCAGCATATCAAGATCTCTCATACTATTACAAATAAAGTAGTCACACTACAAGTATGGCTAGAGTAATACTACTATTACTACTACTGCTAATAATAATGGTGATAATAATAATTATAATAGCGCACATTACAACATGTATACACTAATAATGGTGGAATAATTATTTTTACCCCAATTTATGGAATGATTTTGACAATGATATATTCATACTAGATCTAGATAATAGTATACATTCTCAGATTTTATTGAATAATAATTTGTGAGCGTTTGATTTGCGTGACTACTAAAGCATGTGTAAGCTACTATGCTAATCAACTAGGGGACCTAAGTCATAACTAAGAAAATGCAATAAATTATCAATAATTCATTTTATTTTGCCCCGACCCCAAGATAAGAAAATCCTCTTTGTGGGCATGCCTTGAACCATAATGCATGGCTCTGCAGAGGAATTTTTCCTGTTGGGGACCGGGGGAAAATGCAATGAATTATTGATAGTTTATTGCATTTTCTTTGTTTTGTTTTTGTATTTGTGGGGGCGTACCCTAGCCCCCGCTGCGTACAGTCATGATTCAGTGGCTAAGCAATGGCCTCTTTACTGTGAGGCACAAGAATAAAAACCGTGTCGATAAGCTATATTAGAGCCCTCTTGTGAATGAGAAATTAATCCTCATTACTGTCAGTTATGAATTTATACGGACGTAGGTCCCCAAGTTGATTAGCATAGTAGCACGCACATTATTTAGCAGTCACGCAAAACAAACACTCGCAAATTATTATTCAATACAATCTGAGAATTTATACTATTATTTAGATCTATTAGAAATAAATCATTGTCAAAATCGTTGCATAAATTGGGTAAAAAGAATTATTCCACCTTTATGACCAACAGTGTATATCCCTATGCTATGGAATGGAAAGAAAGAAAAAAAAGAGTAGAGTCTGCATACTTCTTTAAAGGTGAAATTCAAAGAAAATCGCAAATATGTCAACTAATGTATCACTACAAACTGGTAAGCTAACAGATGGCCATCGTACAAGTTTTAGGTCAACTACATATCGGATGATTTATAAAAAATACAAATACAACCACCTCCATAGCAGCTGGGATAAACGAGAGATTCGCCGGAAAAATAACGATGTTTTAATGACGTCACTACGTGGACCAATACTGCCCAAGCAGACGACATCCCATAAAGAATGCACATAATTGCAAAGCTATTATTTGTCAAATTATGATGAGTTTAGTGTATATAAATGTAATGGCATGTCAAACTATTTAAAAGGGGATATGACCCCATTCTGATAACTAAAATCTTTTGCTTGTAAATACACAGGATAGAAGTTAATTAACAATCAAAGAAACCAGACTTTCAAATTGGAAACCCCCCGGAATGATATTAAGGACGGCATTTGTTCCCTCTTGAAACGCCGAACATACGGTGTGTGCAGCTGAATATACAATGGCGTCTTATTTTGTTTACAAGCGACAGATTCCTTTATTTTTGTATCGCTGCATTTGTCATCAAAATAAAACCATGCGCGGGGTTTTGAGTGAGGTAATAGATTATACATTTAGCCTGACGGTAGTGAAGTAAGAGAAAGAACTCAAGAGAAGATGAAAACACAGGCACTGAAAATATGTGAGATGTCATGGGACATCGTCTGCTTGTGCAAATCATGTCCAGACTGTGATCTCACACATCTCAGCAGCGTTCGGAGAGCTCTTCAGGTGCTATGCCGGGGCTGTATTTAAGCGTTTTGTAATTTATAATTATCATTACTTCGAATGTTTCCAAGCATTGAATTTTGATAACCTTGTCGAATCAAAGTTTCAACTTTGCAATAATGAAAATAAAGTTAGTTTTTAAAATCAATGAATATCTACTTTAAGTCCCCAGTTAACACTAGAAGTGTTTGTAGAAATAAATGATCAACAGTAACATAACACAATTTGTTTACATGTATGACTTCGGGCTTACCTGGGATGCAAACTGTTGGTTCTGGTGGGGTCGTAATTAGCTTCGTGCAGGTCTTGTTGCCTTCATCAATTATCCATTGGGTGGCCTGTATGACAACAAATTATTTAAAAGAAAAACTAATGTCCATGCACCAAATTTGAAGTTCTGAGGCTTAATTAAATCATTTATTCATGATTAGAGTAGACCTAGTTTGAAGATACTCATCCGAGCATCCTGATTCACGGTATAAGTGCATACGAAACGAAGATATGGTGTTTTTTTTTTGTTTTTTTTTTAATTTTCAAGTTTTTACTTTGCTCCTTCGCTATTATGTTTCCTCAGGATCTCGAAATTTGTGCTCCCTTTAGATAAGACAAATGCATGGAATAGCATGATTTTGAATTTTGTAAAAATGAAAAGGCCAAGTATCGAAACAGATCTTAAAGGTCTCTTTGATAGAATTAACCTTATATGCAAATTGATGACAACCCTTGCCTCCTTTCAATGATAATGTTTAGAACTGGCACATGAAAACTGGGTTATTTTGCCTATACCTGAGTCAAAGAGCTGTAAATAAATTCTTTTGTCAGGATATTGCCTTTGGATGTCAGAACATAGGGATAACAGAGTAAAGATAAACAAAATAGCATCCCACAAAATTATTTCCCTTTTGGGGGAAATTATTGCATTATTTATTACTGTATAACTTTCTTTGACCAAAAAAAACACAACAAAAACAAACAACAACAATTTAAAAAAAATTGCATTTTTAAGTCAACATAATCAGAAAAAGAGTTATTGCCATTAAAGTTGGAATAAATTTGTCTTCCCTCTTTTCACGTAACGATTGTGTGTTGTGTTAATATGGTTTATTATTGGTAGATAAAGTTTATACTTTCTTAGAACTTTATCTATCAAGAATAAGTCATTTTGTAACAATCATAAATCAGGGGCGGTCGAGCGACTTTCAAAGTGGGGGGGGGGGGGGGGGAGAAAAAAGGGCACTTTCTGAAAAAGATTTGTGAGGTCGCAGTCCGAAAAATTACATCTTGTAAAGAGGAAAAAAAAACGAATCCTTATGGGGTTAATTTTAACGGTTACAAGCACATTTTAATAACGGAAGACTGAATGGCCTTTGATAAGTAACATAATAATCATCTATAAATGCGAGCGAGCGTAGTGAGCGTGCTTTGGGGGAAATTGCTCTAAGTTGTTTTGAAATTAGAGGCGCATTTAATGATGTGACTGAGGAAAAGGGGACACTTATCAGAAATAAAAGGAGCACGTGTCAAATTACAAAGGGTAATTATCATAAATGAAAATGGGGCACTTCTTACACCCACCCACAAAAAGAGGCACATACTAGGGATGAAAAAGGGCACTTTTGAGAATAGGAAATGGGCATTTGTCGAGGGAAATGGAGCACCCATCATATTTTAATAGAGGCATTTATAAGAGGTGAAAAGGGGCATTCATGAAGAGGGGATAGGTCCCTTATTAGAAAGGAAAAGGGGCACGTATCATAATTGTAAGGGAAATTATCAGAGGTGAAAAGGGGCACTGACCAGACATGAAAAGAGGCACTTATGAGAATGAAAAGGGGGCACCGATCAGATTTTAATAGGTGCCTCTGTCATTAATTCAGGTAAGAACAAATATTATTCCAACTTTATGGGCAACAAAATTTAGAGGGGGAAAAACACAACCTCCTACCTTTCCATAATCCTGGATCAGTTTGTAAGGGTACGGGGGGCTATTGCCTGAGATCTCGATCATCACGAACCCAAACCTCCTGTTCTTGTAGTCCCACGCACCGACTTGTAAGATGTTTGCCCCAATGGGCTCCTGGCCAGGGAATACTTGTCCGACCAAGATCTCTGTTAAGCACAGAAAACGAGGAAAGAATCTTGTAATTGTGTACATATAGGCCTTTGGCCTTATTTACAGTAATTGTTACTTACTACTTGTTACTGTATTACAAATGTATAATGTGATATAAATTATAGGCCTTATTTTTACTTTTACAAATTATTGTTAAAAAGCTGTAGCTATATCATAGATTTTTAAATAAATTTTATCCCTATTTTTACTTTGTAATTTGTAACGATTTCAGCTTTTGGCTTCAGATTGCTGTGACAATAAATCAATACAATATAATGCAATGCAATACAAGCAATACCAGTCGCTATCATACAATACTAATTCCAATACCAAATCAGTATATGGGAAAACAAGTTTAATTAAAGATCAACATTTTGAACTTTTTTGTTAAGAATACACAGATGAAAATGTTAGTTTTCTAGGTGCATCAATCTAGATGCATCGTTGAAGCTAGAACATTATTTCCCCTCTTTCCAACGGGACAAAATGATTGAAAATGAATTGGAATTTCCTTATATTTTTTCAGGTTGAAAATAAAAAGGGAGATATTAATTTTAAAGCAAACCGGACAGGAAATCAGAATGAGACTTTTCTGTAGACTACTTTTACCCGACACACATGTTACTTTCCGAATTCATACTTTATAAATGCAATACAAGAATCTAAATTGAAGTACAATGAAATCTATATTGACCACTCTGCGACAACGAATTGAATATGCTTGCTCATATTTATTTTATGCATATATTAGTTTAAAACTTACCCTGGACTCCCATATATTGAGATGGGCCACAGCACGGGGATGATGCACTGACTGATGCAACCAGCACGGCAGCAACAACTAGCAGTTTCAGCATTCTGATTTAGAGCTGCAATGTGAGTGAGGAAAAACATTGTGAGACTTGAAGGTCCAATATAAGAGAACTTGGCCCTCATCAACATAATATTGAAACAGCAAACAAATTATTTCGTTCTTTCTTTCTTCTTCTTCTTCTGTTCCCTTTCTTTGTATTCTTCGAAAGTAGTTTTCAAAGGGCTATTTAGCCTATCACGAAGGTGAAAATTGGTTGCTTGATAATTAATTAAAAGGAAAATTTGTAGCAAAAGTGTAGCAAAACACGCGGGAAAGACGGGAAAAACAAGCATGCATTCGATCATCCTAATTGCTATTTCACAATTTCTGCTACTCTGTGAAAGGCTCAAAGGAAAAGAAGAAAGAGTTCAAAAGAAAATCATGAATATCAAAATAACTTTAAGTTAAAGTAGATTAGCCAATAATTATATATATCATCGAAAGTGAACGGGTTACCCACTAAAGTTAGAAGTATTGAGGCAAGGCTGAGACTGAAGAGATTCCATTAAAAAATTAAAAAAAGTCTAAAACTTTAAGAGATATGAAAACTACTCATACATTCCAAAAAAACTTCGTGAATGGAACAACTTAAGAAGAAAGTAACCTAACCTAAACAAACACAAATATACTCACGATAATAATTGTAGTGGAATTGATTATGATCTCTGCTGAAGTAGACTTAAAATGTCCTTTTGATAGAATCGAACACTTTTCGATCTTATTTATTGTGTTCCAAGTACTTTCATTTGCAACAAAACCACCTTGGAATAGTCACATGCTAGTAAATGGTTTCATTTCCGAAACTGCGCAGTCATACAAAAATGTCTTTTTCATAGAATTATCATTTTCTTTTCTTTTTCGATCCTCTTTATTCTGTTGTAGTTCCATGTACTTTCATTTGCAACAAAAACACTATGAAATAGTCACATGTTGTATACTGGTTTCATTAATGAAACTGCGCAGTCAAAACAAAATTATGACCTTCGATTCAGAAAGGATGAAGCCTTATAAAGGGGGAAAGAAAGAAAGAAATGTAAAAACATCTCCATAGGCTTCACATCTACCCGCTGAGGGCGACTGGAAATCATTGCTACGGTCTGGAAGTCAGGTTACACTCATTGTTTTTGTTTTCATCGACGCCCCGCCCCTTTCTCTTTTAAATAGCAAAACATTTATTAGTCAGGTCAATATACGGTCAAAAACACCCCAACCCCCCAAAATTTTGTGGTTTCCTGAACCACTGCTTAACGTTCTAACTTATCCTAATGGATTCTATGACCCCGAAAACCATAGCATAGACACCCCAATTATGTCTTTCGGATAGTGGATAATAAGTGACTTATGGCTTTTTCATGTTATGGCGGCCATTTTGGACGCCATATTGGATTTCGTGGATTCCTTAACCACTGATTAACGTTCTAACTTATCCTAATGCATTCTATGACCCCGAAAACCAAAGCATAGCCAACCCCAGTTATGTCTCTAGGATGGTTAATAAGTGACTTATGGACATTTTTATGTTATGGCGGCCATTTTGGACGTCATCTTGGATTTTGGGGTTTCCTAGACCATCACAAACGATTCTTACTTGTCTCAATGGATTCTCTGACCCCCGAAACCATGGGATAGACACCAAAATTATGTCTCTGGGATGGATAATAAGTAATTTATGGCCATTTTTAAGTATCGGCGGCCATCTTGGACGCCATTTTGAAAATAACAGCTTTCTGAAGTTTCGATTTTTGTCTACTTTTAGTATGTTATTCCTGAGGTCGAATACTACTAAAAACCGTTGAAAAACCTTTTTGTTGCAATTTTTTTGGGTTAAACCATATATTGACCTGACTATATAGTGAAAGCTGAATATTTTATTTACCGCTTTTATCTTTCGCTTTTCCCCATCAATAATATTGCAGGCCTAAGATATACCTTTTTTCACTTTCAATTCAATTGTGAGGTCTTGTGAATTTACAGGGTAAATCTGTCTTATTGTCATTATCATTGGTGTAATTGTTGTTGTCGTAATATGTTCTTTGGGTCAGTGAAATTCCATCCCTCTTCTGTTGTTAACCGAGCTTGTTACTTTTGCTTGTCAAACTGCTGAAATACAGCACTGTTTCAGTTTTGTTGTATGATATATTAAAAATCATATTCGCATAGAACTTGAAATGTAGTTTCGTCACCATGCATGTCAGTGATCCTATCCGGGGAAGTTTGAAGTTTGAATTTTATTAACAACAACAAAATGTATGTACATCATAAAACAAAGTATGCAAGGCAAAACAATAAAATACAAACCGTAAATAATGTACAAAAGCAATGAATTATTGCAAAAGCTTAATCAATGCTAACATAAAACACATTGATATAAAAGTTCAAGTTGTTGCTAAAAGAAAACCAAAAGTTAGCACAAGTGCTACTCGAGATCGGTTTTCTCTGTTCACTATAATATATCGATAGTGTATCTCTTCGTTACTATAGCATTACACCAGTTCTTACAATTATATTGTCTACATTTTAAAAGACAAAATAAATTGTGAGGGTATTACGAAATGAATATCTTGTTTGTTGGTCTCTAATCTTCTGAGGTAAGCTATTCCAAAGCTTCGGTCCAACAAAAGAAATAGTGAATGTACCTTGTGTCGTCCTACACATTGGCGAGGGTGCTATTATCAAAGTAAAGCACTTTAGAAGTCATGGCATTTTATTGTGTCGATCATTTGTATTTTGTTACGCTCAAACATCATTAACTTGTATACCCCAAAGCGAATAATAATGGGCTATATATGGACATGACCATGATGAAAACGATATTGAAGGATTTATTTTTCTTTCTTTTTCATTTTTGAAATCATTTGAACAACACTGTGGCCCTTCTCTCGTGCGCTCTCTTACTCTCTCTTTATCTCTTTATCCCTGACTCTTTCTCTCTTTATCCCCCCTCTCTCCCCTCCTCAATCTCTCTCTCTTTCTTGTCTCCGTTTTATCTCTCTCTATATCTCCCTCTATCTCCTCCTCTCCGTTTCTCTCTCTCTCTCTCTCTCTCTCTCTCTCGTCCTCTCTCTTGCATGACTGTGTGGATGATCAATAACCGAATTCACTGTCTTTGTTTTCCTCTCTTTATCCCCACTCTCTGTCTCTTTCTTTCTCTGTATCTCTCTCTCCCCTCTCTCTATCATCCTATTTTTGCACTTTCTATCATTCTCTATATCTCCCTCTCTTCCTTCTTATCCCTATCCACCCCCCCCCCCCCGCTCGCTCTCTCTCTCTCTCTTTCTCTCTCGTCTTCTCTTTAGCCCATCTTGATGTTCATTTATCTAATTCACTGCGTCTTTGTTTTCCTCTCTTTATGCCCACTCTGTCTCTTTCTTTCTCTTTTACCTTCTATTTCTCTTTGTCTCCCTATCTCTCCTTCTCCTCTTCTCTCTATCTCCCTCTCTCTCTTGCATGTGTTGATGTTCACTGTGTCTTTGTTTCCTCTCTCTGCCCTTATGTCTTTACATTACTAATGTGGCCAAGTTGTTTTGACATAATTTGTCATTGTTGTTTGGATAATTTTGTTTTGTTTTGCGTTTTTTCATTCAAAATGGAAAAATTCCCAAAAATAAATGAAATGGGTCTATATCATCACTGCAGGAAAATAATATACATCAAAAGAACTTTTTGTGTCCCTCGGAATCCCTCTTTACACTGTCTTCAATCGCACCCCTTTCTTAAGGTAATGTTCATGTTCAACTATCTTATTCACAATTGTAAAAAAAAAAAACAACTAATGACTTTATCACGACATTGTCAAGTTTGCTTTAAGCTCAATATATTCGTGAACATTTAATATTCATAATGGATACAAAAAAACACACAATTTTTTTTCTAACATAGAGAATTGACTTGAGAATCAAATTCTGAGAATAAAAATATATTCTTACAGTAAACTACACTATACTTGCAATAATTCAGATTGATTATCATTATTCATTGCCTATAAAAGAGTTTGTGGACAAGGTATATAAAACTCATTTACTTTATTCAACCAAGAGCAAAGTACCTTTCGAATCATAACTCAAACATGATTTTCCATGGCAATAGTGTTCACTCTATTCTACTTTTCAATTACAGGTGGCCATTTTGCATGATAACTGCCAGGTCGACCAGTAAGGAGTAAAATATATTAAGGCTGAATACAACAAGCTGCTTTAGAGATCAACTAACTTTAACATTTTCAAGTGAGAATGAGAGTAATTCAATTATGCTTAAATCTTTTCTTTTTTTCAATCTAAGAACAAATTTGAAATTTTCATTAAAATTGATTATCAGTTAATGGGAAAAAGAATAGATTTGCTCATTTTTTCTTTTTTTCTTTTCTAAATAGTAAGCAAAATGCATGAAGACAAAAAAAATGAATGATTGCAATGAACCATGAGTACATTTTCGGCAAGTTTATTGAAAAATGCAATATTATTTTACCTAAAAGGTAAGTTTTGTTGCCCCTACGGAGATCTAAAAACAATAATTATCGGCAAGGTTTTGTTGCCCCTACGGAGCTCTGAAAACAATAAATATCGGCAAGGTTTTGTTGCCCCTACGGAGATCTAAAAAACAATAATTATCGGTAAGGTTTTGTTGCCCCTACGGAGATCTAAAAACAATAATTATCGGCAATGTTTTGTTGCCACTACGGAGATCTAAAAATAATAATAATCGGCAAGGTTTTGTTGCCCCTACGGAGATCTATAAACAATAATAATCGGCAAGGTTTTGTTGCCACTACGGAGATCTAAAAATAATAATAATCGGCAAGGTTTTGTTGCCCCTACGGAGATCTATAAACAATAATAATCGGCAAGGTTTTGTTGCCACTACGGAGATCTAAAAACAATAATTATCGGCAAGGTTTTGTTGACCCTACGGAGCTCTAAAACAATAATTATCGGCAAGGTATCGAAAACCACTAAAAAGTAGCATTTTGAGGACTCAAAATATCCTGTACTGTGTATAAGGCGCACCCCCGACTTTTGATTTTTGCCGACGGAAAAAAGGTGCGCCTTATACACGGAGATTTACGGTATATGCAAATCAGACGCGTACGCAGGGGTTGGTTTTGGGGGTTAACTAATTATATTTAAACGTCTTTGGTTAACCCCCTCCCCCTCAAACTTTGTTTATGTGTGGGTATCGGAAGATAACTTCCCCCTCACTTTTTTCAAGTATTCAACAAAAAAACAAAAAAAACTGACCTTTGTGAAGTCGCAGTCCGAAAAATTACATCTTATAAAGACGAAAAAACCCAATGCTGATGGGGTTATAAGCACATTTTCAAAACGGAAGACTGAAAAGGCCTTGATAAATGCGAGCGAGCATTGGGGGAAATTGCTCTTAGTTGTTTTGATATTTTATTGGGCGCATTTAATGATGAGAGGAAAAAGGGGACACTTATCAGAAAATAAAAGGAGTACGTGTCAAAGTACAAAGGGTAATTATCATAGGTGAAAATGGGGCACTTCTTACACCCACCCACAAAAAGAGGCACACACCAGGGATGAAAAAGGGCACTTTTGAGAATAGGAAATGGGCATTTGTCGACGGAAATGGAGCATCCATCATATTTTTATAGGGGCATTTATAAGAGGTGAAAAGTGGCATATATGAAAAGGGGATAGGTCCCTTATTAGAAAGGAAAAGGGGCACGTATCATAATTGTAAGGGAAATTATCAGAGGTGAAAAGGGGCACTGACCAGACATAAAAAGGGGCACTTATGAGAATGAAAAAGGGGCACCGATCATATTTCAATAGGGGCCTCTGTCATTAATTTAGGTAAGAACAAATATTATTCCAACTTTATGGGCAACAAAATTTAGAGGGAAAAAACACAGCCTCCTACCTTTCCATAATCCTGGATTACTTTGGAACGGAACGGGGTGCTATTGCTTGGGATCACAGTCATCATGTACCCAGGCGCGGATCCAGGATTTCTTAGGGGTGGGGGCCCAAATTTGAAATCAATTTGAAATTTAGTGTGCTGAAATATGAAAATCGTGCCGGCCAATATTTCGCTCAGTGGGGGGAGGGGAGGGGGGTGGGGGGGGGGGGGGTTAGTGAGCACTAATTTATTGTTGGTAAGGTAAGGGCCAGCCTTTTTTTTGGGGGGGGGCCCTCGAAAATTTGAAAAATTGCACTTGAGCGCCAGGGGGGGGGGAGCATCTCCAAAGAAAGATAAAAATTAACGTTAAAAAATGTTTTTAAAAAAAATAAAAAATTCCAGGCCCCCCCCCCCCCTGGATCCGCCACTGAGTGTTATGGAATATAATGAGGATGAAAATAAGTGGTCCGATTGCAGCTGTCTGCGTGGAGATGATGAGGTAAGAGCAGATTCTGTATCCTTCGGGGATGCCTAAGTTGGTAACGATTTTTATTTTTATGTCAAAACTATTCCAAAATGAGGGGCAAGTAGGCATGCAGGTTATTATTTTTTTTTGAGAGCCAAAGCTGTTTGAAAAGTTTGGTTTTCCACAACGTTTCTTTCACAATGCAATCGCATGACCATAACTGGTCTTTATCTTGAAGTCTTATTAACGATCATCAGTGGCGTACGCAGGATTTTTCAAGGGGGGGGGGTTAAAATCGGGCCCAAAATTTCGCAACGACTAAGCCAGCCGCTGAATAAACGGGGGGGGGGGGGGGGTGTAAGCGGACACTTTTTTTTCATTTGTCATTAACAAAATAAATTCTATAAAAAATGACTTATGTAAGATCATGTTCTGTACATGAAAGAAAGAGGAGACCTTAGAGAAGCTGGGCTTGTTAGAGCAAGGTCCCCAAACAGAATATGATACCTGAATGCTTTAATTACTTCGAAGAAGAAAAACATGAAAACGGAACTACCTTATAAGACTAGAAATAAATACAAATGGGAAATATATTTACAAAAGAGATAGATTGATGTATATATCAAAAGGAGAAAATGGGAAGATATATACAAAAGGATGGAGAGCGGAAGCGCAAAACGGAACAAAACGACAACAAAGAAAAGTTGAGAAATAAGGGGTTATGTAGGGGAAATGGTGATGGGGAATAAATAGAAGAGAGAGAGAGAGAGAGAGAGAGAGAGAGAAAGAAAAAAAGAAAAGTACAATAGAGCAAAACAGAACTAAGCGAGTTTGCTAATAAATGAAGAAATGTTGGTAAGGTAAGGGCCAGCCTGGAAAAGAGAAAGAGGGGGGGGGGGGGGGGGGGGGGTATCATAGACAATGAAGCAAGACAACAAATGTGATGACATAGTTTTTAAACATTCAATATTTTCAGCACGATTACTCAATAAATGTAATTTCAGTTTGCGTTTAACAACAGAGACACTTACAGAACGAGTTACATCAATAGGAAATGAGTCCCATAATACAGATCATAGTTAAACAGTTATGCTACCTAGTAATATTTCATATAGTTATAAAAGAGGTTAAATTAGATTTTTGCCTGGTAGGGCAGGAGAGAATGTCAACATTTTTTTTTTTTTACAAACATTGGAATGTAAGCAGATCGCCGTCGCCTTTTTCTTCTCCTTCATTTTCATTTTCTTCTTCTTTATGAATTCCTCCTTTGAGCGCAAAACTGTGCGTGTGCACAAACTACCGGGAAACAATAACACTGTCAGAGATATTCTTTAGACAAGAGACTCGAGAAGAATGAAATGTGGAAATAAAGTGTAAATAGATATTGTGGTATAAATGCAGATTGGCTCGGCCAATGCAATGTCAGAAGCAGGGATAACAGTTGTCTTCCCTATAACGATGAGATAAGTGCAGGCCGCGTGCAGCGGACAGGTGTCAGGGGGAGAAGCCTCTCCTGGGGGTGTTTCACAAAGATCCTAAGTTGAACTTATCTCTAAGTTGGACTTAACAATAATGGAAAGCCGTTAGCATCTATGATAATATTTTGTAAAAGTTATTTCAAAAGGCATAAAATGTTGATTCAAATCGTTCATATTTTCTAGAAATGAAGGAGATTTCATGTTCTTGATGTGGAATTTATACAAAGTCTAAAATACTTTTTATTTGTCGCTTTTGAATACATTTTATTTTAAGGCTACAAATGGCTCTCCATACTTTTTAAGTCCAACTTAGAGTTAAGTTCGACTTCGGATCTTTGTGAAACACCCCCTGGGAGGGTAGCGGTATAGGCTGGTAATAAACGCCGACCTCGCGGTGAAGTAGAGTGGGCACAGAGTGCATACATAAATAGTAGTTGATAGACAAGTATTCCAATGTAAATGTATCAGTCTGTTGTTTTCAACAACATTTGCATTATTTCTTAAGCTACTTACAGTAATCGTAAATCTTTCGTTTATCAGTGAAAATCGATCATAAATAGGTTACATGCATTATCATAAACAATTTAAACAACTTTGATTAACATTTATATTTACAAAATGAGTTGTTCACTATAATCGAAATTGGAAAGATCGTCATGATGGCATTAGGAGATTTAGCGGATACGCAACCTGTCCACACACCCGCCCCTATTTTTAAAATCTAAGGTACACACTTCTCTGTTTTTTGTGCCCCTTTTAAAGTGACTCGGTAACCTTGTTAAAGGTTGATGAAAAAACTGCGTAATTTTTGATGAAATGTTACTTATTATATGTTACTGTACTAACCCTCTAACGTGCAACAAATCCTAAAAAAAAAGGTTCTCAAACCACAAAGATATTTATGGTTTTCTTTGAAGGCGTCACTGTGCAACACCCTCAAACAGTAAGTTCTCCGAACCATCTTTGAATTTTCCCAATCGTTTTTCCATGAAAATACAGTGGCGGATCCAGGGGGAACAGGGGGCACGTGCCCCCCGGCCAAAAAAAAAGAAAAGGAGAAAAGGGAGGGGGAAAGAAAAAGGAGAGGAAAAAGAAAAAGAGGGAAGAGAGAAAGAAGAAGAAAAGAGGGAGGAAAGAAAAGGGGAGAGGAGAAAAAGGAGGGGGGAAGGGAAAGAAAGAGGAGAGAAAAGGCGGAAAAAGAAGAAAGGCGGAAAGACGGAGGAGAGAAAAGGGGGAAAAGGAGAATAATGAGAAGGGAAAAGAAAGAAAGGGGGATGATATAAGAAGGTGTTTTTTACCGGGTAAGGGGCGGGGGGGGGGGGATGCAATTTTAAATCGAACATGACTAATACCAAAAATGTTATCTCCTTTATAACTTCTAACTTCTAACTTAGTCTTGAATTGATTTTCCGATATACCTATTCTAAGTGCTCTTTCAGCATGCAGATTGTCCCCGCCATTAATCCTGCCACAGTTGCTGGTTTGATTGTCATATTATTTTCTGTCATCCCTGTGGCCGCGAAGTTTCTATCCGTTTCGCAAGCACTTTTTTTTCCATCGCCTACATCTAATGCTTATTGCTTCAAGTTTGCAAAAGATCCCAGTGGCGGATCTGTGGGGGATGGGGGAGGGGTTAGGGGGTTTAACCCCCCCCCCCCCTTGGGCTGCCAAGTGAAAATGTGATGTGAATAGAAAAACGCCATCATGTGTCCAGACCCACACGGTTTCCGCATAGTCATCGGGTCAAACCCCCCTTAAACTGTTACTTGATTTATAAAGACGTTATCATGCACTGTTTTTTATGGTCTCCATTGTGTTAGTATATAGATGCCAGGGAAACATCACTTACGGGGGTTAAAAATAGCCCCCCCCCCCCCCCAACAACAAAAAATCGCCTCGCCACTACGCGGCTGGGACCTTGCGGCTCGTGGACGATGCTCCGCATCGTCATTGGGTCGAACCCCCCTCAAACTGATACTTGGTTTAAAAAGACGTTATCATAAACTGCTGTTTATGGTCTCCATTGTGTTAGTAGATGCCAGGAAAATATCACTTACAGGGGGTTCAAAATAGCACCCCAAAAAATCGCCTCGCCGCTATACGCGGCTCGTGGACAATGCTCTGCAATCGTCTTTGGGTCGACCCCCTTAAACTGTTACTTGATTTAAAAAGACGTAATCATCATGCACTGCTTTTTATGGTCTCCATTGTTTCAGTAGATGCCAGGAAAACATCACTTACGGGGGTTCAAAATAGCAACAACAAAAAAGCTCGTGGACGATGCTCCGTGTCGTCATTGGGCCAACCCCCCCCCCCCCCCTTAGCAAACAGCCAGATCCCATCATCCGCCCCTGGATCCCTACTCTTTGAGGGGGCAGGAGAAAGCAATTTTACGTCATATTACTCCAGGAAGTGCCTGAAAATGCACCTAATGTGGTTCTAAAATTGCAAATGCTTCCTACTCAGGGAGGGGGTTCTGACCCCCTCCCAGACCCACCCCCGCTTGGTCGCTCCGCTCCCTCGCCGCTGACGCCTCGCTCCATCGTTTTTCATATATTACACCCCATGCGATTTTGTGCCCCCCCCCCCCCGGTAGGAAATTCCTGGATCCGCCACTGAAATAAGACATAAACGAGCACCTTTCAACACCTAAATGTCTAGAATGGTATATAAAACCAATTCATTGTTTTGTGATGATTTACATTCACCTAAAATGTAATTAAATTATAATTATATAGTTGGGAGAATTAATAAAGCGAACAGATCAGTTTTATGTTTTCAGATTATATTCATTGTACATATAACATTGAAGACACTACATTAGCACCATATTCTCTCATCTGAACAATGTCACCAAGTCCTTTAAAAGTTAGAGCTTAAATACACCTCGAAAATTTGTAGTTTGATTGTACTTTTTTCTTTTTGTATGTTTTTTTGCTGTTGGTTTTTAGTTTTTGTTTTTCTCGTCTTGTCAGATATATATAAAAAATGGTGCCCCAACCTTTACAAAATAATCGTGGAACCGCCCCTGATCGTGACGTCAGCTATATAGCTGACACATTATTTGACACATTATTTCGACACATGTGACTTGATTGGCACACGCCTGGCTTAAATCGAAGCTCTTAAAGATTTCGAGTACGTTTACGAGCGGGAACATGACCACGGCGCCGACCATGGTGCCGATGGTTGTACAGCCTCCGAAGCACATCATGGACATTCGGGACCCACTGTCGGAGCGGAGAATCCAGGCGATGGTCGCCCGGCAGTAGGAGAAGAAGAGCCCCTGGGTGATCCACGCTAGAACCTGCGTGATAATCAGCATAACAATGTTATATTGTTATATTAAGAATGAGAAGAAAAGATGATCGCTAAGGCTTTCGAGAAATCACTTAAAGTGCCCTTTCGTCCCATGGAATTATTTGGCCTGAAATATTTAATACGTCAAGGTACATGTTAGCACGATCGCACATTCAAAATATGACGAAAAGGGCTATTGAAATCATTGATTGATAATGCCTTTGGTGAATTTTCGAAAGACTTTGCGCGATCGGGTGATAATGATAAAATAACAAATTGATAAAATTAGAAATATAATAGGAATGAAAAAGAGTAGTAGTAGTAATAGAAGGCAAAGTAGGAAAAATCGCATGAGTTAGATGAGTCTTGATAGTTGCAGGACAAGTAATATAACCTCTCTGTAAGTTAAAGCAGTTTATTCAATAGAGTCTAGATTTGGGAATAATAAGTACACATTTGTCAATAATTGAGCGAAGATAATGAAGTCTTTCACCTTCTTTGTGCATAGCTAAACATCAAAGAACTGGAGTTAAGTCTTTTGTCAACTCTGTTTGTTGCTACGGCAGGCAGCCAGTGAAAACGAATTCGTTTACTAAAATTATGGAAATGCAAGCATTACTTTAAACAAACAGAACTTTGTTATTCCTGACTCATTTTTCGTGATTAAGGTGTCATATGAAAGGGCAGAAAATGAACTTTCTAGAAATGTGATTTTCTCTTTGAAATTCAGATACCGTTCGCCAAACGACTTTTTGGTACCCTTTCTTCAAATTGTTTTAATCACTCATGCGTGAAATATGCATCATATGAGTTGCATCAAATGAAAGAATAGGATCTAAGCTTTACAAATATGTGTCATTTATTAATTATAATTGTGACTAAGTTATGATAAAACATCGATAATTCTCGGTTTCTTTTTTTTCTGGGACGCATTGTATTAGTGAGCATTCCCATTTTTTCTTCTAACCTGAACTTTCTTGAGGAAAAAACTAATTGATACAAACTTGAAAACCCGCCTTTTTGAAGAGTATTTTTTCAGAAAGCTTTTTGGCACATTCGGGCGGCTACCGACAAAAGTCACAAAACGGTTTTAGGACCTCTATCTATACCCCTGATGTATTCAAATGAAACTTACAATTAAGGTTTGCCCAAAGTTGTGTTCTTGCAGCGGAGGGGTTGGGCTGAGGGATGCTGTCACGATGCAATAGCAACCGGCAGCTACACCACCGAGCGATGTCAGGAGGACAACTGGGTAGCTCGTTGTTGGACGAATCATCACGAGGAAAAACCCAATAGGGACACTGATTTCAGCAAAGGTCGTAGCAAAAAGATAGATGTGTGACCCGTATGCTGCTGCCGAGTAGCCCTGAATAGACGGTAGGACACCATAGGTGAGGGCGCTGATCAGGGTCAGGGTCGTGAAGAGAAATGCATATCTTGCTGAGAACCTGCTTTTGGATGGACGAGAGTTGCCATTCACGTCGTCTTTCTCAATAGAAATGTCGCTAGCTACAATTTTTGCCATTTTACTGTTATCATTTTGATGTTTTTCAGTTCCCATACATGTTTCCTCATTTAATTTTAAGTTGTCTTCGCAGTTTGAATGTACCGTTGCTTTTCGTTTATCCTGAGTTTTGTTTTCTTCAAAAGTGTTGTCACTTGATAACAAAGGTGTTTTCTCGTCGTCGTGTTTTCTCGTGTTTTCGCATTGCTCATCTTCGTCATATTGGTCCCGAAAAAATGGAATACATCGCAGGAGGCAAAACGATGTTGTACTGAGCGTAAACAAAACAAATATAAAGATAAAATAACTCTGTGGAGGGAAAAGGGCATCTCCATTCCTCTCAATGGCCCATACCGTGCAGTTTTGACAAATTGTGACGTTGGTGTTTGGGTCCTTGGTGATGTTAATAAATGTATGATTTGCAATGCATTCATCTTCGCCACCAGTGCCTTGAATGAGCACCACAATACTTGGAATCACGGAACTAAGTCCTTCCCCTATGAAATACCAATTAAGGTACTTTGATTTGAGACTGGAGATGAAAGGCATAAATGTCAGGTTGGACGTGCTGTCGACAAGAGCCATGAAGAACGCTAGGATAAGGAACGCGGTGCTATGCTCACGCCCTGACCAGAAAGAAAAAGAGTCCCAGAAAAATATCAAGAGGAAACTAGCTGTGGCACCCACGGCTAGAGTCACGTAGATAGTCGGGATTTCTAGATGATAGTTGTTTGGAGCGAGGCACTGGCATGTGACGAAAATAAGTGGTCCGATTGCCGCTGCCTGCGTGGCGATGATGAGGTAAGAGCCGATTTTGTATTCTTCGGGGATGCCTAATTTGGTAAGAAGTGGCAGTTCTACCCAGAGCCCACCTAGTGAGACCCATGTGCTGGTCCCAAAGGTAACTACCAACAGGGCCGTCAAAGCATCACAGAGGACAGACTTGGAGCAAAGCATCTTCTTGTACTGTCTTACAAAGTTGCGTATTTGAAGGAAATGATTTTAATGTAGTTGAACTTTCCCAATCAGCATAATCAAAAACTGATCCGTAGCTTCCGATCTAACATGAAGTTATGCCTCTCCGAAACTATTAGTACAAACAGCCACAGAAAGTACGGGATTTATCCGTTGTCCTCTTCATTATTATGACATTATGACTGGCATCATTAAGTTCTCAGATTATATCATCACCAAGAATCTATGTGCAAGAAGGAGAGAGAGCGAGAGAAACAATTTAAAACAGAATCGGTTTTTATATTGATGATTTTCTGTTATACAATATGATGTACTAGATGCTTATTGGATGCCTCAGATGTACCCAAACCTCCTGTTGGTGTAGTCCCACGCACCGTATTGTACGATGTTTACACCAACGGGGTCCTGGCCAGGGACGGCTATCCCTATACCATGGTCTCTGTTAAGCACAGAAAACGAAAAGAAAAAAATATTGTACTTGTGTACATAGTCATTACTTACAGAAATTGTTACTCACTACTTGTTACCGTATTATAAATGTATAATGTGATATAAATTATAGGCCTTATTTTCACTTTTAAAAAGTATTGTTAAAAAGCTGTAGCTATAGCATAGATTTAAAAAAAAAATGAACGGTAAACTTTATGCTTTCTTTGTAATTTGTAACGATTTCGTCTTTTGGCTTCAGATTACTGTGACAATAAATCAATACAATAAAACACAATATAATGCAATGCAATACAAGCAATACCAGTCAATATCATACAATACCAAATCAGTATAACAGAGAACAGGTTTTATTACAGATAACAATTTTGATCTTTGTTGTTAAGAATGCACAGTTTTATTCTAGGTTATGAATTAAGTTTAATGAAAATTTTAGTTTTTCTAGGTGCATCAATCTAGATGCATCGTTGAAGCTAGACAATTATTTCCCCTTTAAAAAAAATATATAATTTTGGTCTTTCCAACAGGAAAAAATTATTGAAAATGTATTGGAATTTCCTTATATTTTTTCAGGTTGAAAATAAAAAGTGAGATATTAATTTTCAAGCAAACCGGACAGGAAATCAGAATGAGACTTTTCTGTAGACTACTTTTACCCGACACAAATATTACTTTCCGAATTCATACTTTATAAATGCAATACAAGAATCTAAATTGAAGTACAATGAAATCTGAATTGACCACTCTCCGACAACGAATTGAATATAATGGCCCAGATGTATTTTATGCATATATTAGTTTAAAACTTACCCAGGCCTCCCATATATTGAGATGGGCCACAGCACGGGGATGATGCACTGGCTGATGAAACCAGCACGGCAGCAATAACTATCAGTTTCAGCATTCTGATTTAGAGCTGCAATGTGAGTGAGGAAAAACATTGTGAGACTTGAAGGTCCAATATAAGAGAACTTGGCCCTCATCAACATAATATTGAAACAGCAAACAAATTATTTCGTTCTTTCTTTCTCCTTCTTCTTCTGTCCCCTTTTTTCTTCTTCTAAAGTAATTTTCAAAAGGCTATTCAGCCTATCACGAAGGTAAAAATTGGTTGCCTGATAATTAATTAAAATGAAAGTTTGCAGTAGCAAAACACGCAAGAAAGACAAGCATTCTTTCGACCATCCTTGCTATTTCACAATTTCTGCTACTCTGTGAAAGGCTAAAAGGAAAAGAAGGAAGAGTTAAAAAGAATACCATGAAGATCAAATAATCGTAATTTAAAATACATATAGCCATTAAGTTTGTATATCATCGAAAGTGAACGGGTTACCCCGACTGTAGGTCTGTTAAAGTTACAAGTATTGAGGCAAGGCTCTAAGAATGAAAGATACTCATTCAAAAATTAAAATTAAAGAAGTCTAGAAAACTTTAAGAGATATGAAAATTACTCATATACTCCAAAAAACTTCATGAATGGAACAACCTAAGAAGAAAGTAACCTAACCTAAAAAATTTAAAAAAATACTCACGATAATAATCGTCGTGGAATTGATTATGGTCTCTGCTGAAGTAGACTTAAAATGTCCTTTTGATAGAATCGAACACTTTTCGATCTTATTTATTCTGTTCCAAGTACTTTCATTTGCAACAAAACCACCGGCTTGGAATAGTCACATGCTAGTAAATGGTTTCATTTCCGAAACTGCGCAATCATAAACAAAATATCTTTTTGATAGAATCAATTTTTCTTTTCTTTTTCGATCCTCTTTATTCTGTTGTCGTTCCAAGTACTTTCATTTGCAACAAAACCTCCTTGGAATAGTCACATGCTAGTTACTGGTTACATTTCCGAGACTACGCAGTCATAAAAAAAAATGTCTTTTTGATAGAATCAATTTTTTCTTTTCTTTTGCGATCCTTTTTATTCTGTTGTAGTTCAAGTTACGTTCATTTGAAACCTAACCACTATGGAAAAGTCACATGTTGTTTATTGGTTTCATAACTGCGCAGTCATACAAAACATGATGACCTTAGATTCAGAAAGGATGAAGCCTTATAAAGGGGGAAAGAAAGAAAGAAATATGAAAACATCTCAACATGCAGGCTTAACATCTATCCGCCGAGGGCGACTGGAAATCATTGCTACGGTCAGGTTACACTCATTGTTTTTTCACTTTCAATTCAATTGTGAGGTCTTGTGAACTTACAGGGTAAATCTGTCTTATTGTCATAATCATTGGTGTAATTGTTGTTGTAGTAATGATGTTCTTTGGGTCAGTGATTCCATCCCTTTTATATTGTTAACCGAGCTTGTTACTTTTGCTTGTTAAACTGCTGAAATACAGCACTGTTTCAGTTTTGTTGTATACGATATACAGTCAAACCTGTCTGTAGCGACCGCCCAAGGGAAACACAAAAAGTGGTCTTTGTAGACAGGTGGTCTTTGTGGACAAGTTCCTTTAGTACATGTTTCAATGAGAAACCATTTTCAAGGGAAACAAAAAATGTGCTTGTTGTAAACAGGTGGTCACTAAAGCAGGTTTGACTGTATTATATTAAAAATCATATTCACGTAGAAATTGAAATGTAGTTTCGTCATCATGCATGTGATCCTATCCGGGGATGTTTGAAGTTTGAAGTTTGAAGTTTATTAACAACAACAAAATGTATGTACATCATAAAACAAAGCAAGGCAAAACAATAAAATACAAACCGTACATAATGTACAAAACAATGAATTACTGCAAAAGCGTAATTAATGCTTATATAAAACACATTCATACAAAAATTCAAGTTTTCGCTAAAAGAAAACCAAAAGTTAGCACAAGGGTTAGTGCTAGTCGAGATTTTCTCTGTGCACTATACTAATCGATAGTGTATCTCTTCATTACTATAGCATTATACCAGTTCTTACAATTATATTGTCTACATTCAAAATACAAAATAAATTGTGAGGGTATTACAAAATGAATATCTTGATTGTTGGTTTCTAATCTTCTGAGGTAAGCTATCCCAAAGCTTCGGTCCAACAAAAGAAATAGTGAATGTACCTTGTGTCGTCCTACACATTGGTGAGGGTGGCTATTATAGCACTTTAGAAGTCGTGGCATTTTATTGTGTCAATCATTTGTATTTTGTCACGCTCAAACATCATTAACTTTTATACCCCATAAGCGAATAATAATAGGCTATATATGGACATGATCATGATGAAAACGATATTGATCGATTTACTTTTCTTTCTTTTTTATTTGTTCATTTTTAAAATCATTTTGCCGCCTTGGACAACACTGTGGCCCTTCTCTCGTGAGCTCTCTCACTCTCTCTTCATCTCTTTATCCCCTCTTTCCTTCCTCCTTCTTTCCCTTCCTCAATCTCTCTCTTTCTCTTCCTCTCTATCTTTTTTAAAAATCTCCCTCTCTCTCCCTCCATCTTCTTCTCTCCATTTCCTCCCCCCTCTCTCTCTCTCTCTCTCTCTCTCTCTCTCTCTAATTTTTGCCCATGTTTCACTGTGTCTTTGCTTTCATCTCTTTATCCCCTCTCTCTGTCTCTTTTTCTCTATTCCTCCCTCTCTCCCCTCTCCAATCTCTCTCTTTCCTGTCCCCGTTTTATCCTCTCTATCTTTCTCTTTATATCCCTCTATCTCCTCCTCTCCATTTCCTCTCTCTCTCTTGCCTGTGTGGATGATCAATAATCTAATTCACTGTGTCTTTGCTTTCATCTCTTTATCCCCACTCTCTGTCTCTTTCTTTCTCTGTCTCTTTCTTTCTTTCTCTGTCTCTCTCTTTCTTTCTCTGTCTCTTTCTTTCTTTCTCTCTCTCTCTCTCTCTCTTCCTCTTCCTATTTTTGCACTTTCTATCATTCTCTATATCTCCCTCTCTTCTTTTATCTCCTTCTCCCCCGCTCTCTCTCTTATTTTCTCTTTCGCGCATCTTGATGTTAATTTATCTAATTCACTGCGTCTTTGTTTTCCCCTCTTTATCCCCACTCTGTCTCTTTCTTTCTCTTTTACCTTCTATTTCTCTTTGTCTCCCTATCTCTCCTTCTCCTCTTCTCTATCTCTGTCACTTGCCTGTGTTGATGTTCACTGTGTCTTTGCTTTCCTCTCTCTGCCCTTATGTCTTCACATTACTAATATGGCCAAGTTGTTTTGACATAATTTGTCATTGTTGTTTGGATAATTTTGTTTCGTGTTTTTTATTCATAATGGAAAAACTCCCCAAAATAAATGAAATGGGTCTATATGATGATATAGACCCATTTCATTTATTTTTACTGCAGGAAAATAATATACATCAAAAGAACTTGTTGTGTCCCTCTGAATCCCTCTTTACACCGTCTTCAATCGCATCACTTTCTAACAGCACTGTATTTGTGTTCAACTATCTTATTCACAATTGTAAAAACCAAAAACAACAACTAATGACTTTATCACGACATTGTCAAGTTTGCTTTAATGTCAATATATTAGTGAACATTTAATATTCATAATGGTTACAAAAAACACACAAAAAAAATATCTATCATAGAGAAATGACTTGAGAATCAAATTCTGAAGACAAAAAATATATATAAAATTAATTTACACTATTCAACCAAGAGCAAAGTACCTTTTGAATCATAACTTAATAATTATTTTCCATGGCAATAATGTGATATCTCTTATATTTTTTCAATGACAGCTGGCCATCTTGCATGATAGCTGCCACGTTGACCAGTAAGGAGTAAAATCTATTATGGCTGAATACGACAAGCTGCTTTAGAGATCAACTAACTTTAACATTTTCAAGTGAGAATGAGAGTAATTGAATTATGCCTTAATCTTTTCTTCTTTTTTCAATTCTAAGAACAAATTTGAAATATTCATTAAAATTGATTGTCAGTTAATGGGATAAAGGAGAGATTTGCTATTTTTAGTTTTTTCTTTTTTAAAAAGTTAGCAAAATGCATGAAAACAAAAAAGAAATGATTGCAATATTTATAAATGAGCACATTTTTGGTAATCTAGTACTGATTATGGAATGCTATATAGCCATGAAAGTAGGAAAAAAGGGAACAAGGTAGAAATCAACTCAATTAGTCTAGCCAGCACCCTTACACACACTTCAATTTT